AACGTAGCCAATCATTATTCATTTGTGGGATCTCGACGCAAACTTGCTATAATATTGCTCTTTGGGAATCAAACGACTAGCGTAACATCCAAAGCGGCGAAGATGGTGAATTTCTGGCTTTATACCATGCAGAATCTCATATGGATATCGGTCTCTAAGTGAGCTAGTAGGAGATCGAACATGGAGATAGACTGCAGTCTCAATAGCCTCCGCCCACATGGCATCTGGGAGAAAGGAGTCCAACAACTTGGCTCGAGCTTTCCCCACAATCGTCCAGAGCATCCGCTCGCTAACACCGTTTTTGTGCGGAGTGTATGGGGGTGCTGGCTCAAACGAAATCCCACTAACACGAAGAATGCCACGGAAGAGAGAGTTGTCGTATTCACCACGTCTGTTATCGCAGCAGAACCGGGCGATTGGCCAGTTTGGGTAAGCAGTATCAATTCTGGCTTGGAACTCTTGGAAGATACTCATGATTTTGGTAGACTCGTTGGTTCATAAAAAATAGGTATAAGGCCATCGAGTATAATCGTCAATATATAGGATCAAGTAGCGGGCACCTGACCAGGAGGGAGTCGAGATTCGACCACACAAGTCTGACTGGATAAGCTCAAAAGGTCTTGTAGTTTCATTTACCAGTTTACGTTGAAAGTAGCGCTGATGTTTAGCCTTAACGCAGGTCTGACACAATGATGGTCGGCCAACAGAGAGACCAGTTATCAAGCCAACCGCGCAATGATTTAGGTGTCCTAGCCTTTGGTGCCACATTCCAATTGAGGAGTTCGGGCTGGTCCCAGGTTCGGCCAAGGATTCCACCATATCTTGGGAACTCAGTCTATCTTCAGAACTACCAGAAACTTGAATCTCTGGTGCGGGTTGAAGGTCAATTCGATTGGTAGAGTTATCCAGAGTTGTAACCGATAAATTCTCCACTGCTGCTGGGGCTGCACTCGATGTCGGCAATTTATCCATTTGTGGTCGGAACTGGTGTCCATCAGGAAAGTCGTATTTCCTAACTCTGGATCCTGGTATAACCGTTCGTCCAGTTCCAGTAAGCTGCCAAAAGCCATTTACCAATTCTCCTAATAGTACTTTTGTTCCCCATTGCCGAGCTATCAAGCAGGTGGTGTTCAGGAAGGTAATTTGGTATTGGGTTGATAGTCGTCCAACTGACAGAAGTAATATACGAAGTCTTGGAACATGGAGTACCTGAAGGTTTACTCCAAAGGTTTGATCTTCAACTTGAAGATGGATCCGGACCAGTCCAGTACCAATAGCATAAACAACTGAACTATCTCCAAGGTAGATAGGAACATGATCTTGGAGACGTTGATATGAGTGAAAGACGTTACGATCTGGACTAAGATGGTACATAGCACCAGAGTCGATTATCCAAGCAGGAACTCGCACACTCCCAGGTGGATCTCGGACAACTAGAGCGTGTCTGTCGTGTAGCATATTCTCTTCCGTACCAGGTAAGCTGAATGCGGTATTGATAATCGAATCAGATTGTGCCACAGCTATAAGAGCTTGAACCGAAGTACTTATGCCTCCAAGTCTAAGGCTTCGCTTGTCTCGCCCTGGTGATGCAATGACTGCATTGACTCTTCCACAGTCAGTCCTCTGGCTTCTGGATTGTTCCTTTGCTTGTAGACCTCGTTCTCAAAAATTGCAGTCCTGTTGAACATGACCAACGTTACCACAATACCAGCAGGCTTGCTTCACAGTAAAGGTTTGCTTCCTACTTCTGAAATTGCTGTTTCGGTAAAGGTGACTACATCTGCGATACTGACCGCACTGACTTGGATATCCTTGGTAGTTACTCGAACTTTCTGTAACCAAGGCTGAACCAGAGGTAGTAGTTATATTCGTACTGGTGTTCTCAGTAGTCTTGATTCACAGGGTTGCTTCTTGGTGCTTAATGGCTGTAACGTAATCGTTTACAGACAGATTCCCTCGCTGATGAAGAAGCTGAATAGTGGTATCGTACTCATCTGGCAGCTATGAGGTCAAGCGAGAAATGAAAGTTGCATCCGAAATTCTCTGATTAGTTGCATCGAGGATATCCTTGTAGTCCATAAGTGCAGTAATATACGCACTGATTGAAATGTATTCACTACACTTCAATCTGTTGAATTCTCGAACCAGGCCTTCCCGTCCAGCTCGCGATGCAGCAGTATCAAATTCGGCTTTAAGCGCTTCCCACATGGGCTGCGGGGACCGGGAAATACGACGGAGACAGGCCTTAGCTTCGGGACCACAGGAATTGTATATGTAGGAAACTGCCATTCCTTCGCGCTTATGGTACTCTAGTAACCTTGCTGGTTGAGCTGCTGGTGGTGGTTGTTCTTCACCGAGGACTATGTTGAGAGTGCTAGCTGCCTGGAAAAGATACTGGAGGTCTAGAGACCACTGGAGAAAGGTGAGCTGAGTAAGTTTGGTCGCTTCACCATACTTGCAGCGATAGATGGCTTCAGTACTTGCTGCCTTCATATTTAGTACTAAACGTAGTACTTTGAAAGATATCAGTATGGATAACAAGAAAGGGGTAAGAAACTGAGGTATGAACTGTATTGACCATGCGCTATCCGGGCTCATAACCTGAAAAGATTAAAACCCACAACACGACATATATTGACTAGTATGCGGCAAGCCTACAACTATATATATGATCTGAGACAGTAGACAGGATAAGAAATAATAAGCCTTGTTAACAGTAGACAAAGGGAAGTATAGTTCAACAAAGAATCATATACAAAGAATAGAACCGGGTACAAAGGATTACAAGAAGATATTTCAACAGGAGCTATTTGCAGACTGGCCGGACTCGTTCAGATGAGCCCTATGGGGCCGGACTGGCTATCCGGGTGCAATCGCTGATCCGCATGGAGCGTGTATCCGGGCCATTTAGTGGGGCTGGAGGAAGGCCCATTATTATGAATAATATACATATGCATGCTAGGGCAGATGGGCAAGCCATACAGCATTGTAATATTCCTGTCACGGTACGCCGCTGGCCCCCAAACCTGCAAAGGTTGACTGAGGGAATGAGAGAAGAGGAATCATATTAAGTTCCCGCTACGACTTGCCAGTATGGCAGATATTGAGGCAGGGGAACCTATTCCTTGAGGCTGTTGGCCGGATCAGTGATGCATTGCTTTCCGGGTATGTTACCCTTGTTATACCCGGAATCAAAAGCTTAGGGTTTATGCACCCACAGTACCGAATCGGCTTCGCTAGTAGCATCGCCTATCAGTAGTATATGATATGGTACCAATTTTACCCTCACCACCTGCGGCCTGGATGGCCAAACATCCGCTGGATATCTGATATCCGGGAGAGACATGGCAGAAGACAGCGTGAATTCCAATGTATGACGACCTACGGGCTTGGCGCTCTCCTTTTTGGAGACGAAGACGAAAACATCTAATTTAGCTGACTAATATACTGATACACTCTCTCTGACCCCACGCCGCCTTGCCGCTTACAGCCCTGTTTGCGTATAGATGGAGGCCTCGCATTCCTATGGTCTTTGATTCGCTCAGTACGTGAGGGAGGACACTCGAGTACTGTACGAGTACTAGGATACAATACTCGCGGTGTTTTTCTCCTCTGCCTGCCTTTCTGATTTCGGGGGGGGGATGTGTGGTTGGTCCCGGACAGAGGGGCTGCGGGGTTGGGGGCAAGCCAAAGCCTGCGGGGAGGGATGCGTGGGGCGATCCCGCGTACTCCAAGAGAGGAATAAGTGAACCCCGTACGGTGTCCTGAAAACCAACCGACAAAGTCGCTACCCACTTGGAATGTGGGCCCCCCGGGGAAGGGTAAGGACCTCGGGCAAGTGTGTCCAAAGCTAGCGCTTTGACAGGTTACCTCTCGGCTGGCGGACTGGCAGGCGGTAGCCGGGCAGCTTGGTTAGTGGCTCAAGATGGCACCAGTTGGGTGAGAGCTGCAAGGTGCGGTCGGCTACGGATAATGTGGTGCAGCCCATATCCTACGGCATAGCGAAGGTGGAGTAAATGCCACTGAGGCTGGGTCCTCTATATGTTGCACCGGGACTTGGGTTCTAAGCATATAGAGGGGCACGACAGGACGGATGCGCGCACCGGTCTCTTCACGACATTGTTGCCGTACGTGGGGCAGACCCCTTCGGGGAGCGTCACCCAGCTCTGGGATCGCCTGGCGGGGAGAGGCGGCGAGGGTGCGTACGTAAGGCGTGACCCAGTTCATCTGGGATGAGGCTCAAGGAGCAAAGGCAATTATAGCACCAGACACGCGGGGAGTTAGGTGGCTCACGTAGCTTCGCGCTCGACGCAAACCTTCCGCAAGTCGTAGAAGGGAGGGATACCCCCTTTACCGGGGATGGCTTGTTATCCTGCGACCCTGTCTCTTGCTACGAGGGAGGAATGAAGCCCGGGGATCCACCATCGAGCAATCATGGTGTTCAGACTGCCCTCTTCCCCCACTGGAACGGTCACTGATTCAAACCGCCTGGATGGGTCTGCAGGTCGGTTCTGGGCCGAAAACCCAGTTCTCTAAGCTGATTTCCGCTTTACCTCAGAGGGGGACCCGAAAGGGTCTGGAGCCGCCCGAGCTCATGATTTAGAAGAAAGGCACAAAACACCAACCTAGGTTGGGAGATCCCCTCTATTGTGCATTGGAAAGGGCTGGGATGCCTTTCTTTTGTTGGTGCTTTGGCTCTTTACGACATATCTTGGGTTGAATCAGACGGACGAGCCCTGGTCCTGTACGAGTACTCGCACAGTACCAAAATCAATCCACGGACTTCACAAAAAATTGAAAATTGAAAATTCCCGCCCTGGTTCAGCGCAGTCCCATTTAAAACCCCCTCAAAATGTCAAATCTGACAACCGTCATGGGAAAAACCTCCCCATCTCCGAGTTTCGGTCCGCCTATGCTTGGTCGGGTATTGGAGGACCCAGAGGACGTGTTCGCTCCCGCTATTGATGAAGCGATACCCTGATCCACCCCCCCCCCCCCCCCTATAATGTGTCCAGTACGCTGGGGTCAAAATCCGGGGGAGTGGAAAAGATCTTCCAACGATAATTCATCGCCTTGTTACGATCATTAGAGCGAGTAGTAGGCACGCAAGTGCGGCAGAATAATTCCACAGACCATGTTGACCGAGCAAGCAGCCACTTCCGGGCAGGAAAATCAGAAATGGGAGAAATGGAATGCTCGACCAACCATCCCTGAGACGCAGGATCTCATCTCGTATTCAATTCAGCATTCCACATGCCCCTCCCTTCCTCAATTAACCCCGCCCAGCTAACTCACTAATGATACACTATGAATCGAAGCCTTCCCACTTTTAATACATCCCAAACAAAAGAAATGATAAATCCCGCAAGCTAAATATGGCAATGGAAAACGAAAAAAAAAAAAAAAAACCAACTTTACAGACTCTCCAGCTCTTCTCTTCTAGCTCTATAGACCTCTTGGGCCTCCCTTTCCTTCCTGTCCAAGAAGGCAACCTCCCTCTTGAGCCCTTCAAGTCTTTTCGGGAGGGCGACCATTTCGCTGATTTTCAAGGTTCTGAAGCCCTCCAGATCCCTCCTCGTTTCCGCGATCGCTTCAGATGCTTCGATTAGCTTTTGGCGCAGCATTTTAGAACGGGCTTGGTAGCCGCCGAGGTGGAGGCTGAGCTTCTTCTCTAGTTTATTGCCCTGAGTGGCATCTTTGGTGAGTCTTTCTTGGATGAACTATATTATTACAGACATAGGTTAGTGCGCTGCTATTGTTTCAATATGCTGGGCTTGGTGGAACGTACATCGTAGGTTTCGGCCGTCAACTGGCTGTCTTCATCCTCGTCCTCTCCATAACCTTCAAGCCCTGGAAGGTTAGGGGATGAGTGAATCCTCAGCCAAGCATCCTCAAATTCCGATTTGGCCTGCTCAACAATTTCTGGTGATAGCTCTAAAACAATCTCCATTCTCGCCTTCTCGAGGAGATCGTCGTCAAATTTATCGAGCATTTTTGGAGCACCTGTGACCTTTCCGCCCTTGACTGGGTAACGTAGAGCATCTGTCCCAATCAGGGCGGTCATTTCTTGGGCAATCATTTTTTGCACAGGATTCAACATCTTGGACTCTGGAAGTGCGCCGATATCAACAACGCCTGGGCGCGGGAGGGACTTCTGTATAACCTGGGTTCTGCGTTTTAGTTCTGCGGCAGCCTCAGCCTCAGCACGTTCACGGTTCCGACGGTCTATTTCTTCTCTGTCCTCTGCGAGCGTTGACCCCACCGGGATGTCTGTATCTTCTTCTGGCTCCTCTGGCTCTTCTAACTCTATCTCCTTAGGCTTGGGGAGTGATGCAAAACTAAGTGATGGTTAACAAACATTAAGTAAATCTTGGATAAGCGAAGCACCCACCCAGATTTCAACCGCTGCTTGATCGAGTCCTGTTGCAACCTTTGGTCCCTAGGAGTCATAGAAACGAGTGAACCGGCATAAGCCCCATTCTGATTGATTGCTAAGGAATCTCTTGGAGTCCTTAAGGGCGTTTGTCCGGGTCTCCCTGGAGTAGCGCCAGGTGTAGCATCTGCGGCCCCGCCAGCACGGAATGGTGTTGCTAGAGGGTTCGGTGTTGACACAATCATCTTCCGAGGGGCAATGCCGTCAAAACCAGTGGTACCCGATTCATGCAATGGGGTATTCTCTCCTCCAAGAAGCGAGGACTGGGTTTCGGTAAGTGCACGAATATTCTTGATCTCGTTCGCTACACGATCTTCGGTCGGAGGAGCCCTTGGAGTACGAATGGGTGCGCCACTATTGATATTAGTATAGCTGCCAACCAGCCCTTTGGTCGACTCGTTATCGCTGGCTCCAGCAATTTTATTCGCATCTTCACCCATCAAACCCATTTTGACAATCTCCTCCAATTCTGTCTCCCCAACTTGCGGCGAAGGAAGGACAAGTTGCCTCCTCTTGCTCAATTGCTCGGCTTGTCGAATTTTTTGCAATTGCCCAGCCTTTGCTGCGGATGCGAAAGCAGCGGCAGCACCGTTCTTGTCTTTATCCCCCCCCTTCCTTCTCTTTCTATCTAGATCCTCATCCTGATCTCCTTTCCGTTTGGTATGGGACAAAGCCTTCCGGGGATCGATGTTGGCGCGCTGCCTCTCATTCCGAGCCTCTTCCTCAGTAATATCGTAAAATCCCAGTGCCGCTTTCTTCTCAAATGGGATATCCGCATTATAATCCATCTCGCCTCTACGGCGATTAGTTAATTTGATATTGATACCCGCATGTTTGAGCTCCCGGCGCTTCTGAAGCACGGCTAATCGCCTGGAGTCCTCCAGTTGCCGTTCACGGGCCTTACGCTTGGCCTTCTTTCCTTGAGTATTCGCGAGACGGGCACGAGCTTCGCTAAGCATCTCCTTTTCATCCTCATCCATGTCAACCGCATCTAAACAATAGCAGTCAGCAAGAAAGTGGATTTCATCATAATATAGGGACCAAGATAAACACACCGGGCCTAGCAGGTTTTGTTTCCGGATCAGGATCAGTCTCTCCTGGCCTAAACCTTCTAATGTCATCCGCACTCGGTGCACTCGCCTCGGCCCCATCTGGCCCAGCGAGGCCCAACTCTGAACTCTCTCGAGCTTCAGCCTCATCAAGGAGCTTCTGGTATCGATCTAGGCACTGTGTGGCGGTTCTTCCAACAATTGGCGCAATTGTCCTCCATTGCGTGGGCATCAACTTGGCCAAATGAAGGAGTTTTTCATCTTCATCGCGGGACCATTCAACTTTCCTAATACTAGGATCCAGCCATTCCGCCCAACGAGCTTTGCATTGTTTCGCCGATTTTCGGGCAAGGAGCGAAGAGACGCGTTGCCATTGGTTGAGTCCGTATTTAGAAACAGAAGCTTTGAGAATTTCATCCTCGACGTTAGTCCAGACGCCGCCCTTTACGACCGGCATGGTGGGAGAAGTGGACGAGATTTGGAGGTTGTTGGAGCGCTGTGTTTGGCTGTTGGGCGGTCAGGTTGAAGTAGGTGGAATTCTCGGGGGACGCGGAAAAGCAAGAAGCTTTGGAACTTGGAATGAGGCAAGGAAGCGAAAGGTTACCCTACCTACATGTGCGGTGAAATCTTGGCAACACCAGTACCGGTACCAAGGCTTGCCCAAATTTTTGAGGATTTACAGCTTAAAGTGCAACCATTCTATCTTTTCTGGTGATAGTATTCCATCCTATCTTAAACTCCTCGCCTTCCCCGCTCCGCTCGGCCATAGGAATCATGGTTAAGAAAGCAATGTGTGTTACTCTATTCTCTTACAATTCTATTCAACGCATTCTGATTGCGAATTGATAGTGACAAGCGCATTCCTGATCTAATCCGAAATGGCGTTCAGGCAAGAATTCTTCCCCAAGTCCGCTTCGGTGCCCAAGATATTGACAATCGTATAGGAGAAGAAGCGCAGTTTCTTCGTTGTTGTCGGCGACCGGGGGAAGGATGTCATCTTGAACCTGCACTATATTCTCGGTAGTGCCGACCCCAAGCAGAACAAGTCCGTCCTGTGGGCTTACAAGAAAGACCTTCTCGGATTTTCGAGGTAAAAATTGATCTCTGATAGTAGAGCAATTGTCTCTCTTTTAACTGACAGTTGATTCCGCAGTCATCGGAAGAAACGCGAAGCTAAAATCAAGAAGGAAGTCAAGCGCGGAATTCGAGAGGCCAATACTGAGGATCCATTCGAGCTTTTTATCAGTCTCACCAACATCCGGTACTGCTACTACAAGGAGACTGAGAAGATTTTGGGCAATACATATGGAATGTGTATCTTACAAGACTTCGAGGCTCTGACTCCGAATCTGCTAGCGAGGACGATTGAGACGGTTGAGGGAGGTGGGCTAGTCATTCTACTATTAAAGACTATGACTAGTTTGAAGCAGCTTTACACGATGACTATGGCAGGTGGAGACAATGCGAGAATTTTAGGGTATTTGCTAAATATATTGCTCTAGGATGTACACTCGAGATACCGAACAGAAGCCTACGGAGATGTCGTCGCTAGGTTCAACGAGAGATTTATTCTCTCCCTTGCCGATTGCACTAGCTGCTTAGTAGTGGACGATGAACTTAATGTTCTTCCAATCTCGGGTGCAAGGGGTGTCACTGCTCTGCCGCCCGTATCTTCGGAAGAAGGAATAACTGAGCGGAAACGAGAGCTGCTGGAACTGAAAGAGAGCCTTGCTGAGACTCAGCCTGTCGGCTCCCTAGTGGATATTTCAAAGACAGTAGATCAAGCCAGGGCGATCATGACTTTCATAGATGCAATCGCTGAGAAAACCCTTAGAAGCACAGTTACGCTTACAGCCGGACGAGGGAGGGGAAAGTCTGCAGCACTAGGTGTAGCCATTGCCGCGGCCGTCGCACACGGGTACTCCAATATCTTCATCACTTCACCGAGTCCTGAGAACTTGAAGACCTTGTTTGAATTTATCTTTAAAGGTTTTGACGCCTTAAACTACAGCGACCATCTCGACTACGATATTATCCAGTCGACAAACCCAGCCTTCAACAAAGCAATTGTCAGGGTGAATATTCACCGCCAGCACAGACAAACTATTCAATATATCCAACCCCAAGATGCTCATGTGCTCGGGCAGGCAGAGTTGGTGGTTATCGATGAAGCAGCCGCAATTCCCCTCCCACTTGTAAAGAAGTTAATGGGGCCCTACCTCGTATTCATGGCATCAACGATCAATGGATACGAAGGGACTGGTCGCTCTCTCTCCCTAAAGTTGATCCAGCAACTACGAGACCAGTCCTCCGGGCTCACCAAAGCAGTCCAGGACGGTGAAACCGCAGATCGCTCCGGAAAGACAAGCAAAAAGTCAGACGCTATCGGGTATAGAGGAAGAAGCCTGCGTGAAGCTACACTCTCCGAACCAATCCGGTACGCGCCGAACGATCCCGTCGAAAAATGGTTAAACGGCCTTCTCTGCCTCGACGCCACCCTCCCCGGCAATCGCAGCTCTGTGCATGGAACTCCAGACACTGCAAAATGTGAACTTTTCTACGTTAACCGAGATACCTTATTTTCCTATCACCCGGTTTCGGAACGGTTTTTGCAACGCATGATAGGACTCTATGTCGCTAGTCATTACAAGAACTCCCCGAACGATCTACAGCTTATGAGTGATGCACCTGCTCATCAACTATTTGTTTTGTTACCTCCTGTCCAAGAGGGCAGTAAGAATATCCCAGACCCTTTGTGTGTGATTCAAGTATCATTGGAGGGTCGGATATCTCGGGAGTCTGTGCAGCAGAGTTTGGCCCGAGGAAAGAGAGAAGGTGGGGACATGATCCCATGGCTTGTCTCCCAGCAGGTAGGCTCATTTTTATCTCAAGTGTCAAACCAAGCTAACCATTCCAAAGTTCCAAGATGAGGACTTCGCAAGTCTTTCTTGCGCGCGGATCGTTCGCATTGCAACCAACCCCGATTATACTGGAGCAAGAACCCCTGTCCCACGACCCCCCAACAGTTGCAGCGACTGACATATCGATAGATGGGCTATGGATCTCGAGCTCTCCAGCTCCTCGCTGACTTTTACGAGGGAAAGTTCCAATCGCTTGACGAAGGAGCAACATATGTCAATGAGGAGATGGTTCGCGTGACTGATGAAGAAATTGAGAATTCGACCCTTCAGACCGATAACATCAAGATCCGCGACCGGGAATCTTTACCCCCACTGCTTCTGAGAATGTCGGAGAGGAGGCCTGATGCTCTAGATTACATTGGCGTCTCATACGGCTTGACGGACAAACTTCACAAGTTTTGGAAAAAACAGAAATTTGCTCCGGTATATCTCCGACAGACAGCTACTGAGCTAACTGGAGAGCATTCCTGCGTAATGATAAAGGCTTTAACCGGCAAGGACAATGATTGGTTGGGGGCATTTGCTAAAGGCTTGTGCCGACCAAAATGCGAATCCGAGTGTCATATCCTGGGGCTAATGCTTGAAAACAATAGACTTCCACAAACGCTTCCTCACCCTACTCTCTTACGAGTTCAGAAAATTCCCGACTGTTTTAGCTTTAACTATTTTCGAATCTGCGAATGCTGGGGCAAGGCTTTCAGGGCAGGAGGCTTCCCGTGAGTACCTTTCAATTGGTCCGGGCCCGCCAACTATACACTAACTCGACTACAGTTTTGACAAAGATCCAGCTCGACGAATACCTCTCACCTTTCGATTTAAAACGTCTGGAATCCTACGCAGACAATATGCTCGACTACCACGTAATAGTTGACATGGTCCCCCTCATCGCTCAATTGTTCTTCACTGGCCGCCTGCGAGAATCCGTTAAGCTAGCTGGCGTTCAGCAAGCTGTCTTGATGGCTATCGGGCTACAAAGGAAGACATTGGAAGACATCGAGGAAGAGCTGAACCTTCCACCCGCACAGGTCCTCGCCATGTTTCAGAAGACCATCCGAAAGGTTGCCACATCATTCCGACATCTCCTCTCCCAAGCAATCTCCGAAACACTCCCACAGGAGGCCGGAAAATCAAAACCGAAAAAGATCAGCGGCGGTGGCAACGATAACGAAGTGGAAACGGATGAATTCTGCCCTGTCGAGCAATCCCTCGCGGACGACCTCCAAGAGGGAGGAGAGGAAATCATGGCGAGCATGAAGTTGAAGGAAAAGCAGAGGGAGCTGATTAATTCTTTGGATCTCTCAACGTAATTCTTTCCATTCCCCAATGTCGTGTAAATTTCAATAGACTTAGTACTCTCTGAATCCTTGCCCGCGCAGCCGCAATTTAAGTTCTAATGTGTTAATTTTTCTCGGTAACCCATTAGATACGAAATCCCCTCAACCGAATCTGCGGACTGGGAAAGCGCCGAGAAGCAGATAAAGTCCGCTACAGGTAAACACAGCAGCGGCAGGAGCACCGTCGTCAGCGTCAAGACCAAGAACCACAAGAAACGGAAGGCGGGAGAAACGGCGGTAGAGATCTACGAACAGGAGATGGGGAAGGTACCTAAAAAGGGCAAGAAGAGTAGGAGTAAGAGCAAGAAATGAAACCCACGGCATTAAATTGGTGAAACAAAAGGATGGAGTGATGATATCTTAATCGAGACGAGCTGCTTACACCGGTGCCAAAAGTTTTTCTCTTCCGCTCCCGTGGGAGATGGGGCTTGTATGATATTTGGAAATAGATGCAGTATCATAAACATTGGAATTTTGTGTACTGTAACTACTCATACCGGTATTCTGGTTTGGTGTCTCTTGTCTATAGCATCCATACTAGAGGGCCCACGCCGCCCTAAGCCATCTACCATCCTGCCGTCCGCCATCCCGGCGAGTGATTGCCCATGATGATAATACCTTGGCGTCATTCAAGCTCGACACAAGCCAACTCGGCCCAGGCCTAGAGTGACCTTTCCCCCTTTCCGAGGATCGCTAATTTATTATATGACACTCATGATCTACAGACGGCCAGCTAAACCGGGAACATGGCGAAGACAAGGTACTATAGCTTAGCCAAGTATCATGATTACCATAGACCATGTGAGCCCTCAGCGAGACGGCACCCTCAGCGAGGCACGGAGTTGCCTACCACCTAAACTACTGCTATTTGCCACAATAAAGCGACTTTGAACCCTTAGCGTCTCGTTGAGGGTGCCGTCTCGCTGAGGGCTCACACGGTCTATACCTGTACAGAGCGGTAAAATCATCCCCCCGCCCTGCCCCAACTCTCGCAAACCACCACAAGAACCTCTCGCACCCGGAGCGGGTCCAGGGCGGGGACAGAGAGATGTGTACTCAGGTTTGGATCATAACCGCGCTCTCTCGATACATCCGGTAACTTCAACATCACTGCTGTCGACGGTGGATCTGCTATCCTATCTGACTGTCCTAATTGAGCCCTGTAGATGGATGGATGAGGCAAGCAGGCGGTCATGCCAGAGTGGCTGGCAGACGCAAAAACACCGACTAGTTCCGAAACCTGTCTGATGACGCTAGAGAAAAAGATGGATATATCTGACAACGGGGCATGCATCGCCCAGAGTATGATCTGGGTTTGGTAAAAGCAGAGAATCCGCAAAAATAAGCCAACGAAGGGGTGGAACTTAGTAGGTTATATCATAACTGCAATGTGGTTCGTTCGTGGTAGACCGCTCTTGTAATCCTGCCTGGTGTACACACACATATATATACACACGAGAGTGCGGTAGACAGCTGTTGTGCGGGAAGAGACATCGACCCTTATCGATCGGATACCAATCCTTCCCGCTGTCCGGGTATCAAAGGAGTATGATATCGGGTTTGTTGTCCCCACCGCGTCCAACCTTCATTTATAGATCCAATACTATAGCACCCCCCTTTGAATGGCAAAAATCTAGGAATAACCTCTAGAGAGAGATTGCCGCTCAGCTGCTGCAACTCCCGAACAGCTGTTATATCTCTTACTGGTAGTAACTATTCGTACCTGCCAATTTTCCCCTTTTTCCATTTGAGAAATTGTCTGTATCATATCAAGTTTGCAACGCCAGGAGTGCCAGCGGCACGGTCTCTTTGTTTTGGCGGTGTAGTAAAGTAACCATTGCTGACCGGTTCAGTCATTTTGGTCCTTGGGGGTCCGCACGGAACCCGGAATTTGCGTTTCTATTTTCCCCAATCAGAGGGGGGGTCCAAGCAGAAGTTTTCATTTCTTTCTGTCCCCTATCATCCGATATTTTACTACACTACCACCCCTAGGGGTATGGACAAGGATCGGTTTTTATGATAATATTATTATAGAATGCCATCTGATCGCCAGACTAAACCTTTGCCCTACAGCCTTATCGATAGCCAAGGACCTCAAGCTCCCGGTCACCGCGGGGCGGGATTTGTTTCTTTTATTACTATCATACCGTAGGTGATGGATCGTTAAATAAGGACTCATTGTTAGACAATAATCGGATTCCCGGGCTTCTGCTGGTCGCACAATGGTAAATTGGTACTTGACGTTTTGGCCGCCGCGCTATGAATTCCACATAGTCTGGGCAAGGGAACAGATATTTATCCTGCTGGTAGGTAGATATTGATTTGATTTTTTTTTCCTGGCAGGGGTTAAATAGTATATACTGTATTAAGCACTGAATAGATTATAAGGGCGGATACATCCCCAAGAGAAGATAGATCATAAACTCTGGCCCCAGATAACTAACGAAAAACCCACTTCGCGTGCAGAGGGGTGATTACAGCCGGAATATCGGTGATGAGAAAAGAGGTTGGTTTGGTTGCGAGCTAGACAGAATTTAGAAAGAGTTACAGATTGTATATGTGCGTCCTGAAGTCACCAAGTGCTCAAATATTGAATGCTACGATATATATGACTTACCGAAACTTAGTTCAGAGAATCACGAGTCTGTGAGATTCCGGGCGGGGGAGAATTCACACCGAAAACGAACCCCGCAATTGAATAACGACATCGTAAAGGGCTAGGGGTGCTGCGCGAATACTCGCCATTCTTCTCTTTCTCCTAGCCTTGCTCACCTGGCAGCCGGAAATAAGAATAAGGAGCCTCCAGATCCAGTACCCACAAGAACAAATATACCATTACTGCCCATCATTATTTTCACCAGATATCACTCGCTATCTTTACCAGGCGTCAAATAATACAGCCCCCCATTTATTATCTCGAAAGCGAAAAGACTGCAATCTACAGTTCGTTAACCACCCTCCTCTCATCCCTGAGTGCACAGAGCTTCTCAAGCGCCACGTCGATCGGCACTAATTCACCCTTATTCTGCGTTTCCTTGTTGTCTCTATTACGGATGTTCACAGAACGGGACCGTTCCTCTTCAGCTCCAACAACTATAACACTGTTAGCACACAAGGGTTTAAGAACGGTAGAGGGGGGGTAAGGTGTACCAAATATAAAGTTATACTGTTGTAACTGCCCAGTCCTAATCTTCTTCGCCATAGTGTTCGATCCGATATCAACATCAACATGCATCACCTTTGCTCTAAACAACCTTTGAATCTCAAGCACATAGTTGTTCGCGGCAGCCATTACAGGAATGACCAAGATCTGTCGAGGGCTAAGCCAGAACGGCCACTTCCCGCCAAAGTGCTCCGTGAGGATCGCGATGAAGCGCTCCAGACTTCCAAGGATAGCACGATGAATCATAACGGGGCGCTTGTAGTGCCCCATCTCACCTGTTCCGTCCTCACCTTTCGCCGAGGGCTCACCGGTATTATACTCTAGCTTGAAGCGCTGGGGAAGTTGGAAATCGAGCTGAATGGTAGCACACTGATATTCGCGGCGAAGGGCGTCCGAGATTGTGATGTCGATTTTGGGGCCGTAGAAGGCGCCGTCTCCCGGGTTCATTTCCCACTTTCCACCACCGCTGGCGGTGAATTCGTCAAGGGCTTTCGTCAACCGAGCCTCAGCGGAATCCCAGGTTGCGACGTCGCCGACGAATTTCTCTGGGCGGGTGGAAAGCTTGAGTTTAAAGGTAAAGCCTAAAAGGCCGTAGACGGTCTTAAGGAAATCGAAGAGTCCGTGGATTTCTGACCCAACCTTTGCCCCTTCTACATGAATATTGAATATTGACATGTTGGGATGGAGGAATTACTAACCTGCTCCTCGGTGCAGAAAACGTGAGTATCATCTTGCTGGAATCTTCTAACTCTAGTCAATCCGGTAAGGGCGCCAGAAAATTCATTGCGGTGGATAACTCCAAAATCCGCAACTCGCCACGGAAGCTCTCTATAACTGCGTTCGCGGTGCCCAAAGAGCAAACAATGGCCAGGGCAGTTCATAGGCTTGAGACCATACTTATCCTTCTCAACCTCAAAGGTAAACATGTTTTCCTGGTAGTTTTGCCAGTGTCCACTAGTCTCCCAGAGTTTGGCATTATACATGTTGGGACTGATAACCTCCTCATACCCACGTTTCCAGTACTCCTGACGAAGGTAGTCAACTAAGGTGTTGTAGATGCGGGTCCCGTGTGGGAGGAAGAAACATGAACCAGGGGAAAGCTCGTGGAAGAAGAACAACTCTTGCTCTTTACCAATTTTACGATGGTCGCGTTTAGCAGCTTCTTCGAGGAGCCTTTTGTGCTCCTCAAGTTGTTTCTTGTCAGGGAAACTGACACCGTAAATACGCTGGAGTGAGTCATTGCTAGCATCGCCAAGGAAATACGATGAGGAGTTCTGTACAATTGTCAATTTTTATTTTCCTTTTTTTTTAAAAAAAAAGAAATCAAAAGCAAAACAAAGCAGGCAATAGCTAGACAAAAGGGTCGTACTGTACCTTCATAACCTGGAAAGCCTTTACTCTGCCAGTGTTTGGAACATGAGGACCGACACATAAATCGATCAGTGGTCCGCATCTGTAAACAGTAGTACTGGTTCCATCTGGAATCTTAGATCCAATCAAAGTCTGTTTATATTTGTTGTGTTTGAACATCTCGATAAGGTTTTCCTTTGATATAACCAGTCTCTCAAAAGGTTGCTTCTCCTTGATGGCTTTCTGGACAATGGTCTCCAACGGCTTGTAATCGGCAGCCGTGACAACCTCACCCTCACCAAGACCCATTTCGTAGAAGAATCCATCATCAGTCGGAGGTCCAAGGCAAAGATGGCATCCAAATCGGCGCTCAGCTGCTTCACCAAGAATGTGGGCCGATGAATGCCAGAACACACGTCTACCTTTAGAATGGAATGTCAACAAAGCGATAACAGTAGAAGTATCTGAAGTGACCCACCTTCCGGATCTTCAAAATCCAAAAGCTCTAAGGTTCCAGATTTCTCGAACGGTCTTTCCAAATCCCACACCTTGCCGTCGACCTTTGCGATAACGGTTTTCTCAAAAAGGCTCTTGCTAATTCCGCGGGCAATTGAAGATGGAGTAGTTTCCCAAGATTTACCGGCAACAGTTTTTCCATCGGGGAGACTGATAGCGATGTCCTCGTGAGGTCTCGCTATAAGAAGCTGTTCAGCTGAATGACTCAAAGTTGAAACAATAGTCCACCCGTACCAGCGACCTCTTGATCATATTCGGCTTTCAGTCTTTCAAACAGTTGAATTCTATGTGAAATATACCCGGGAGGAGGTTCCAACTAAAGAACAAAAATTAGTCCTACCCAGAAATAACTCTTGTTTGTGAAGGGGGGGTGTATTGTGCACCTCCAAAGGGCCCGTAGCTGTACTACTAACAACTTTCTTCGACTTTTTGTCAGCCTTAGGAGCTCTGGGGGCTTGAGAAGCTCCCTGAGCAGGCTTTTCACTCCCTTCACCGAGCGCGATCTTCTTGACACCCTCGATTACTTCGTTATCCTTTCCCATTGTTGATTTTGTGATGGTGGGAAAGAGAGAAAAGAGTTTAGAGCGGGGTATTACCTTGCATTCAGGGACCGTTAAGTTACCCGGCCCAAATCCCCCCACCTACCGTAACTTACCTACCACCACCTTGATCCAATACCGATAGTTAGAGTTCAATCTTTTTTTCTTGTAAATCCTACACTGTACGAGTACGATATAATCGAGTCTCCAAAGCGTCAAACAATTTATAGAAGCAACAAACGCCACGACCCCCAGCAATCCCAGTATTTATTTTATTTACCCACTACTACCGCAACCACTTTATTGTTAGGAGAATGCCAAAAGAAGTCGCACCTCGTCAGAGCCGACGCCATAATCCTCTGCATGATGATCTGGTTGAAAACGACAGCGGAAATCTACAGAAAATTGCGCGGTCAAGACGGAAGGAAAAGCACGAAAATTTTGAGAGCTACGTCGACTCTGGGTTATCAAAGCGAATTCTAAAAATTGCTCGGGACCAACAAGATGAACTTCACGAGGAAGAAGCCGAAAAAAACGCTGCGCAGGGTGAATTCTTTGGATCGGCTGCCGACATACGATTTCAGGACGAGGAGGAAGAATCCGATGAGGAAGAGTATGACGAAGTTGACTTTGGCGAAGATGATATTGTTGAGGAAGTCGTATGCTTACCGCATATTTCTACCGCAGACCTAGTACTGACAGTTAACAGGAGGTCGATGAAGGAGACATAGAACTATTCAATCAATTCATGCCATCAGACCAGGGGCCCGAACAGCGGATATCTCTTGCGGACAAGATCTTGGAGAAAATCGCAGAGCATGAGGCAAGGTTAGCGGGGCACCCAATAGAAGGCGAGCAGACGTCTACACTACCGCCAAAGATAATCGAAGTCTACACAAAGTTCGTGTGTCCAACATCCCTCATCATATCTCGCCTCGTAATCGAATTTTACTCACTACAGTTTCATACAGAGTTGGGCTTTTGCTCTCACGCTACAAATCTGGGAAGCTCCCTAAAGCGTTTAAGATCATCCCATCCCTCAACAACTGGGAGGAGATTCTCCTCATCACCAGGCCAGATCAGTGGTCGCCCCATGCTTGCTATGAAGCAACCAGACTCTTTGCCAGCACCAAAGCTAATCAATGCCAAAAGTGAGATCCCGCCTGACAGTCTTACCAGCTGCCGGTATTCCTACTAACAGCTTGAGCCCATAGGTTCTTAAACGTTGTGCTTCTCGATCGAGTACGTGACGACATCCAGGAGCACAAGAAACTCAATGTCCACCTTTATAATGCCATCAAGAAATCGCTGTATAAACCTGCGGCGTTCTTCAAAGGATTCCTATTCCCTCTTGCTCAGGTTCGTGCGATCCCCCGGTCCATCAGTGCGACGTATCTAATATCCAACCCAGACTGGAACATGTACCTTGAAAGAGGCTCAAATCGTCGGCTCAGTCTTAACTCGCATCTCGGTCCCAGTTCTTCACTCCGCTGCAGCGCTTCTCCGCCTATGCGAAATGGATTACACCGGCCCAACATCGGTTTTCATTAAAGTTCTAATCGACAAGAAGTACGCGCTCCCGTACAAGGTTATCGACGCTCTTGTTTTTCACTATATGAGGTTTAAGTCGGCCCCCGACGCGCTCCCGCTGCTGTGGCACCAGAGCTTTTTGGCTTTTGCCCAGAGATACAAAAATGATATTACTGAAGACCAGCGGGATGTGCTGTTGGATGTTTTGCTTGTCAAAGGTCATCCGCTTGTTGGCCCGGAGATCAGGAGGGAGCTCCTGGAAGGGAGAGGTAGGGGTGTCGAGACCGGGGTAGCAGATGACGATTTGATGCTAGACTGAACTCTTAATGTAAAATAGTCGTAGGCAGTGGTTCGAAGTTTTTACGACTTTTTGCAGCGAGTCTGCACTCATATCAGTAGCAAATCTAAGCACGAACACCGTCATTCCCTAAACTTCGCTTGCTACATTAATTTCGGCAACGTATTTGTTTCTACCTTGTTCCAGCACCATTCGATTTTAATGAAAACCACCTATCATACAACAAATCAGAAGAATCCGCTCGGGAACGTAGACTAAGTTGTCAATATTTAGCTTCCAAGCTTTGCTTTCCGAGTGACACACTATGATTTAATCCCACCATCACGTGCTCGCCAAGACATGTTAAAACTTGGTGGCCGACTTCAACTTCTCACATTTTTTCAACAAACGGCTACAATCGCAACCCCCCCACCAACGCCATGCCTCAGAACGAGTACATTGAGCGCTGGACCAAACAGCATGGTCGAAGGTTTGCTATAGTGTCCCTCCTGCAAAATCGGGATCTAGTACTAACCAAACCCCCATAGACTCGACCATGAAGAGCGAACGTAAGGCTCCCACTAGCCCCCCGGCACTCATCCCCAATTACCATACTAACCAATCCCCTCAGACGTAAGCGCATAGCCCGTGAGGGCCACAAGGCCTCTAAGAATGCCCAAAAACTCCACGGCCTGCGCGCCAAACTCTACGCCAAAAAGCGCCACGCGGAGAAGATACAGATGAAGAAGACCATCCGGCAACACGAGCAGCGGAACGTCAAAACCGATGGCCCGTCCGAACCCTCGTCCAACCCATTACCAGCCTACCTCCTCGACCGCACGCAGCCCAACACCGCTAAAGCGCTCTCCTCGCAAATCAAGCAGAAGCGCGCGGAGAAGGCTGCCAAGTTCTCCGTGCCTTTGCCGAAAGTCCGGGGTATCACTGAGGAGGAGATGTTCAAGGTTGTTAAGACAGGAAAGAAGACGGCAAGGAAGGGGTGGAAGAGGGTCGTTACCAAGCCAACATTTGTCGGGGCTGATTTCACTAGAAGGCCCGTCAAGTACGAGAGGTTTATTAGGCCTATGGGGTTAAGGTATAAGAAAGCGAATGTTACGCATCCGGAGTTGGGCGTTACGGTTCAATTGCCTATTCTTGCGGTTAAGAAGAATCCGCAGAGTCCGATGTACACACAGCTCGGCGTACTCACCAAGGGAACGATTATCGAGGTTAACGTCAGGTTTGTTCTTTTTACCCCCCCTTTGTTTTTAATATCATTGAGCAGTGGTGGCTGATAGTTTAATAGTGAACTCGGTATGGTCACCGCCGGTGGGAAGGTCGTTTGGGGTAGATGGGCTCAGATCACTAATAACTGTGAGAACGATGGGTGTGTAAATGCGTAAGTTGTCCTGGCCCTCTTTCTTCATGATTCCCGGTTCCTGACGTGCTAAAAAAAACCCTAGTGTCTTGCTTGTTTAATAGACAGGGATCCGGGCTGGCAATCTCGGGTTCGTTTTCAGTCGGCAATGAAAAATAAAATTTAGTCCTGTCCTTGTTTTATGTGTATGATATAATATGCAACTATGATACTTCTGAAGGTTTTCTTTCACCAGAGACCGAACATGTTCAATTGAACTGAGATCTGATAAACGAGCAGGAATTTCCATAAGGGTGACTCCCCCTTTCGAGCCACCTCCCGAAGGGCAAGTGAGTCTTAGCATTGTCAATTATAAAAGACCTCTTCCTTACCAAGTCCCCACTTTATATGTGAAGAATAGGAGGCGTAGTTTCTTAAAGAAAAAGTATTTGGCAAAAGGGTTTGATTTTGGCTGAGTTAGAGTAATCTCTTTAGGTGGAGTTGCAAATTTGGGGTGTTGAGGAGTGTTGTGTTGTCGTGTCCCTTCGATGCGTGGTTGTTTTTGACAATGGACAATATTTTCAATGAACCAACTATCATACCTGGAAGGAAAAACTAGAGGTAACTAGTTAGTAGACAACCAGGAACTTCGGTAGGGTGGCCAGAATTTCCGACAAACAGCGAACGTTCCCGCGATCTCCATTGGGATCGGTGCGCGATTTGGCAAGTGATATGTTATGAGTACTCTTTGTTAGATCTTGCATTTGTGCTCTTGGTAAGACTATCATCTAGAGTGACGCACTGTGGCCACCCACGTCACCCTCCAGTCCATAAGCTCATCTTCTCTGTCACTACCTTCTCTTCTCTTCTTCTGTCTCTTTTTCTCTCTCAAGAACAATAACAAACATCTCATTTCTCTCTCTATCTTCTAAAACTCTTTCCGAAACCGGTGTCAGAAGGTGCAAGAAGCGCTGCTACAAGTCAAGCGAAATTGAGTTTGGGGTTCGGTGCTTCTCGAGCAATCAGGTGTTCGTATATTTGACTATAGGAAGGAAAGAAAGAAAGAAAGGAGAAAAGGCTAAAGAATAGAAGAAGAGAAAGTAGGAAAGCGATGCCTTTCGGGAGGCGTGTACATGGGGCGCGTGACACGGGCAGTCATAGGTTATCACTCACGGCGGCACATAGAAGTAGGCAATAGAGTCGACAAACTCGAATCCCAACAGGGTGCATATCTGTTGTATCATATCATGGCTCCCAGTTCACCCTTCCTAGCCCCCGGGCATGAGATTGAGATATTTTCTGTGAGAGAACCCCACTCATTAATTTATTTCGGGTGACCTACTGTAAGTCGCCGTCCGCCGGGAGCTCTGTACCATACACGGAAATAGTGGGGGTAAAATGACAACTTAAAAAATACACGGATTGATGCAGACAATCCAGACATGAGTGTCTAAAAGTATAGTACCATCATCATTTCCCAGATTTCCCCTACCACCACTACCACCCCTCTTCAGCACTGTCCTCGCTCTCACTATCCTCACTTTCATCATTACTATCAGGAAGGGTATAACGATCCTCAGCCTCCTTCTTCTCCCTCTCCTTCCTCTTCCTACGCTTCTCTCTCCTCTCGTGACCCCTCTCCCTCTTCTCCTTGACATTTAACATAGCCCTGTCAGCCATATAATCGGCAATCTCCTTGACCCTTGCCTTCTCCTCCTCCTTACTCAACTCTTGGACCTCCGTCTCCAAATACTCAACCTCCTCGTCCTCGTACCCATCCCAAAAACCCCCCTCCTTAAGGTCCCAAACCCCCCACCCACGAACCCGAACCATCTCCACATATGCAGTGGAAATCACAACCTCCTCAACGGGCAGGAGTGCATGCGAAGTTTGACAATTCACATATATCTTTTCTCCACGATAACACCCATCGAACCAATCACCGATACGCAACTCGCCAACGAGCATGGACAACTGGTTCTCCGCCTCCTCATTCGCCTCGTCGCGGTACTTGTAGACGCCGCGGATGCCACGGCTGGTCTGTCCGGGGCGGGCGGAGCTACTAACCTGCACGAAGACCACAAAGACATGGCCTTCATCGGAGAGGTACTCCGGGTCGCCCCAGGGGTCGTGCATTTCCAGCTGGATGAGTGGAAGGCGGGAGGCGCTGGTTATCTCGATCTCAGGGAGTGGCTTTGGGGGGTCGTTGATGCTGTCCTTGCCGCTATCGCTATCACTCTCGCTGCTGCTGCTGCTGTCACTGCTGTAATATTCCTCCATAACACACTGCCGTCCGATGAAGTGACCGTTCGGCTGCAGATATTCCAGCAGCGGGTCGTCAGAGGCGTAAATGCTCGGATAGAGGGATTTGAAGTGCCTTTTTGCAGTAGCGGTGGCGCGCACGTTATCGCTGTGGATGGAGTGGAGGGTGATGCACGGTTCGTAGTTGGAATAAGTGCGGATAACGGCTACTAGGAAGATGTATTCCTGATTGTCACGCTCAACGGATGCCATGGCCTTGCTGGCTTCAGGGGTAATGACCAGCTCGCGAAAGCTGGCAGTCCCAGTTTTAGTCTATATATCGCCCCCCCCCCCAGATATAATGTCCACCAGGGAACGAGAAACTTACCCATCACCGAAAAGTTCCACATCCAAGTCATCTTGCTCCTCCTCATCATCTATATCAGGCATGATTATATCACTGCCCCCACTATCCTCGCTATTCCCACCATCACCATGTCCGTCGAACTCCTGCCTAGCTAGCACCACCCCCGTCGCAGAATAGCGGCATCTGTCATGTATCTATTAGCACCCACTTTCCGCCCAAAAAAAACAAATGCATGAAAAGAAACAAGAAAGAGCAAATACCCTTCATTTACATAACCTCCAGACATCTTCCCTTTTGCGCCGGTGCTCAAAGGCTCTTTCCCAGACATGATTAACCTCCGCTGTCTCTCCCAGGCTCTATTTTGCCTTCTTTTTATGTTATTTTTTATTTTTATTTTTATTGTTTGTGTTTTTTCTGTTTTTTTCTGTTTTTTTTCTGGTAAAGTGGCTGTCCGTAATGTACCTGTGCTGGCAGCAATGGTACGTGGTATGATATGTGATGGTAGCAGGGTAAAAAGCCCTTGGTGAGTCCTGTTCCTAAGAGGTGTGTAAGGTATTTTTTTAATTACAATGGCGAGCAAGAGTCAGTTACCTTTGTATGATAGATATTACACACGCATACACACAGCCCTATTTTTTACCTATCTCTCAATAATTTTTTCGTAGGGCCTAAAAGAAACCTAGCCCGAAGCCCCCAGTTCTTAAACACAAGATCTCACTCGCGGGAGTTTTCTTCGAACCTGGTGGTGTGAGGGGGGAGTGTTTTTAGCGCGACACGGTAAGTATGGCTAGGCGACAGGGACGGTTTTGGTTTAGGAAGGTTGTTTATAGGAGAGAACTGTGACTGGGTGGGAGTCATTACAATCGCGTCTCTCCTTAGAAAGGTGCCGTTGCCGTCGTGAACATCACGGTACCAGTTGTATGCGGGACCGCGGGGGCGGGCTGTGGACTTCAAGAGAAGCACCGACACTAAGCATTTTCTACGGGAAGCTGAGATTTTGTTACGATACCAAATAGAAACTGTAGGCCTAGCATAAGCCGTAGGAGGAATAGGGTAGATATAATCGTGAGTTTAAGTAAGGTCGAGGCTATCGAGTGACAGTCAATGATAGAATCTGGGAACGGCAAACCAGAGCCTTCATAGTCGAACTAGGATATTCTATTCTTATCACAAACCGGATATATATTAAAGCGTGCGTACCTTATCCCTACAGTCCCACCCCCCCCCCCCCCCAAAAAAAACGAAAGAAAAAAAGAACAAAGTAAAAAAAGTAAACCCGAAGGCTGGGAATCGAAGAAAGCATGAATCCCGAGTGAAAAAAGCTACCCAGCAAAGAAAATTAATTAAACAAACAAACTGTAGTAATAATCATCATCTACTCCATCTCTTGATGGAAGGTCTGGAGGGTTGGTGTGGAAATCGTCCGTGTACCTCACGTTAAGAAGTCTGATCTTGAGCCCATAATTTGTCACCACATTGATTAGTTTTGATGTCTCGGAGGTGATGGGCTGTTGGTTCAGGAGCATCAATAGCCCGTCTAGCCACTCTGATGCAACGCTATGGGTTTGCGGATCGAGAGCTAGCAGTACGGATTCTTTTGCACGCTGTGGGTTCGGGTCGGTGTATCCGTGAATTGTTATCTTGGTACTAGCAAGCTTGGAGGCTCCTTGGGTCAAAGTGCCATGAGACGAACCGGAATCAATACTTGCAGGTACCACGTTTGACACAACACTAGAGACAATTGAGAGGTCGACTATTTGATAAGTTAGACTGGGCGTCCCCATCCAATTATCGATAGTGTGATAACCTACTCTTTTCAGGGAGTTCCTCTAGCTTAGGTTCATATACCGTTTCGTTCTCATAGTCGCAGTAATGGAGATACCTCCTATTGTGAGAAAGTCGGACATATCTCCATCCACTCGTAGACTTTTTATTATCGATTTGTATCTTCAGCCCCGACGCCTCCGTTCTGCGAGTCGTTACAGGAAACCATGCACCATGTAATAGACATCGTATGCGCTGCTCCTTGACGAATTGCAGGGCTTCGGTTTTCAGTTCTTCCCTCACATGCCTACAACCGGGAAGAGAGTTAGATTGGCACTTCAACAAATCAAACCGAAAAGGGATACCAACTTCAGATGATTGCCCCATGCACTCTCATAGGTGTTCTCTAGGATCTCCATTTGAAGGTCTCGCAAACGCAAATATTCGAAAAGCGCGAGCTCTTCTTCCACCTCATGGACTTCTTTTGTTCGTGGGGCTTGTCCAATAACGTGGTAGATCAGCACCTTCAATAACTCTGTAACCTTTTCATAATCCTCTAGGCTAGCTCCAGTCTCCCTCCAGAGGCGGATGAATGCAAGTAAAGCTCCGGTATGGAGTCTTGACCACTGAAGCAATAGCGGGCGAAAAGCCCTCTCATAATTCGTTCGTGACTCGAGAACTTGATAAGTCTTAATATCGTCGATCTCCGATTTGTCCACCCGGAATTGATGGTAGAGGATCGAAGTGACAGTGATGCTCGCGCGAGCAACTGGGCATCTATACTCCATTGGTTTCGCGTTTTGTTCCAGGAGCACCTTCCGGAATCCATCCTCATCCTTCCTGACAAAGTCTGTTAAATCCATCATGCCTAGAAATCCAACTTCCCCAAACTCCCACGCTGGAGACTCGGTCTCGAATCCTAAGCGCCTCCATTTTTCCGGATTATGTTTTTTCTTTGCTGGCGAGTCTGCCTTCGGGTCCGCCCCGGGTTCTGATCTCTCTGGTGCACTTGCTAGGTGCAGTCCCTTCAAAGCTATCCGATGTTCCTTGACTTCTAAATCTACTTTGACATCTCTCCACCTCCGCAACAAAACTTTAGTCAATGCCTGGAACTCCAACAATGGATGCGCAAGATCCTGCAATGCCGAGCTTTGCATAAGAATCTGTAGCCCGGATTGTCAGCCAACCGATTCCGTAAATAGAGCCCTCTGTCCATAGCAAAGTGAGTCGTACAAAGACAGCCTTGATAACACCCAAATCTTGCAATCTCTTAATAAACCTTGGCCACTCGTTGTCCGTATCATTGGTGATAGCATCCCTCATAAGAGAGTTTATGAGTTGTAATGAATTCGCACATAGAGCATGGTCCGCAGATGACAACCTGCTAACCAACATCTCCAAAAACTGCGGGTGCATAGAAATGGCAGGCTTTAGCGCTCGAAATCCGAACGGACCGTTATAGGAACCTCTGGTCGAGGACGTATGTGGGTGAGAAACAATGGAAACGAGTATCGACATGGCGCCACGAAGAATATTAACGAGAGGATGTGTGACAATTAATTCCACAACCTAAAATTTGCCAACCGCACGACATCAGTCTGAGCCCCAGTGCGTAGAAAAAACCGAGAGCACCGGAAAGTAAGTACCCGCGAAATGAGTTCAGAATTGACAAAGTCCCACCCTTTGTCGAGTTCCAAAAGCCTCGAAAAAGACGTTAGAGAGTAGGCAAGTGTATTCCCGTTGGCTGTTAATGCTAGCTTCCGAAGCTTCGCGAGTCCTCCTTGAGCTATGAATATCTCGGCAAACGACGGATCCCCGATATTGGATTGGAGCTTGAAAACCGCCATTTTTTTAACGGCATCCTAACAAAGTGTCAACTAGAGAGCCGGGGGGCGTGGGTAGGAAGGAAACTAGAATACTTCGTCGTTCGAGAGTCTCTCAATGAGTTCTGAGATGTTATCCATTGGAGCGCGAGGTTGCCTGTATATCTCACGAAAAGGGGCAGAATCCCCAAACCGAGGCTTTCTGGGCTAAATATTGTGGCAACGGGTGCAAAATAGGTACAGTATGTGTACTCAGGAAACAAATGGGTTCCAAGGCCGCTAAACCAAGGCGAAGAAAAACACAGAAAATAGCTGTTTCCCCGAACCCTAGTAGCAGAAGTTCCGGAGGATGGTGGAAGCCCATTGCGCAACTAAATTTAGTGAGGTGGGAGCTGCCGTCAGGGTTAGGTTTTCGTTGAGGTTGATTCAAACAAACGCTGACACTCGACCAACCCATTACAGTGCACCGCATGATACTGGTACGGTACAGTACTGGTAGCAGAATCTCTTGTTTTGCACGACATCACAGCTTATGGTATCTACATCAGGGGAGGTCCTGCACGATCTTTACAATTAAGAAATCACACCTGTTATCCTACAGCGATAGACGGATAGATTCTAAACTAACTCTTACGAGTACAGTACGGTATCTAAGAGCCAAGCATTATCAGGAGCAATCGGTGAATCGAGACTCAGCACCATATGGGAATCTTAAACTCTACATTTCCTACAGCGGCCCGGTATGTCAATACCCATACGGAGGTGGAAGCCTCCCGCATCCCCGTGGCCAGTGCACGCTAGCAGCAATCCTACGACCATATCAATTATTCTAATTACTGAACTATCTACAAGTACCAACCGCCAGAAGTGCACAACAACATTTGTCCACCCATAGTTTATCACAGATTACAGAAAATTTCCCACAACAGCCCCTATCCTAACTCCAGATACGTTCACCTTAGCAAGCCAAAAGGAAGAAGGAACTCCGCTATCGATGCCCCTTTGTGCAAGAATACACAAGCTGTAGGAAATAGTTGGAGAGAAAACAGATGAACCGGAAATGTCGCTTCACAAGCATTAATTGAACAGTCAGCTGTACCGCTACTACTTCTTCAACCGTGCCATCACTTTCCCAACAGCTTGTCTAGTCACACTTCCAGCTTTCTCAACTTCCTTCTTGGTATGGCCGATGGTTATACAAGCTTTGAAGGATGGTACACACTGCCAACCGAAAGGCTTAGTACCTTGCGTTTCATGGATGTGCTTGACACGTGAGGCCATGACACCATTCGCGAGGGCCTGTGGAATGTCTTATAAGTCCAATGAAACAGTGAAGGGCCAGGGTTAATTTTGATCGCAAGAAAAACGAACCTCATCAACAATGTCCATCAACACCTTTTCTTCACTATCAAATATCCTTCCCTCAAGGCCATCTCGCTTAAGGATAAATATGCAGACTGGATTGTCCAAAGCACTAGTGCACTCGACATACTCGCACCTATCCATCTGAGCTCTGAAGGCTCTAATGTTCTCTCTTAGCGCCGTTAAAACCTGAGGATTTCCCTCGAGTAACTTGAGAGTTTCCGATGTAGTAACAGCAAGCATAGCTGGAAGAGCGGCAGAAAATACATAAGCGGAGCTGGAAATACGTTGGTGATCAACAACTTCCGGACTTCCCGCACAGAACCCTCCACCTGAACAGATACCATGGGCGAGTGAGCCAACGAGCATCTCCACGGACTGAGGGTCAACGTTCTGATGTTCGGTGACGCCACGCCCAGTACGGCCGAGGACGCCAAAGGAGTAAGATTCATCGAGGATTAGACGATACTTGTAGCGCTGCTTGAGTTCAACCTAGGATGCCAGAATATAGCGGTTAGCACCATCCCACCCCACGAAACCACAAGGATAGAAATTAGCTCACGATGGCCGGCAGATCAACAATATCACCGGTATTCTCAAAAAGCCCCTCTGTAACAATAAATCTTCTCGTCAAAGGCTTTCTAGCCATATCCTTCTTAACCTGTTCAAGCACCCTCTCCAAGTCTTCCATGTCATTGTGCTCGTACCACCTAATAGTACTTCGAGAGATTTGGAGTCCCTTCTGAATCGCAAAGTTGACTGCCTTGTCGGCAACAATAATATCACCGCGTTTGGAAAAGGCGGGAATGACAGAAGAGATTGTAGAAAATGCTTGTGCATAAATAATGCAGGCCGGCATGCCGAGGAATTTAGCAATGTCTCGTTCCGTGTCCATGTGAACATCCTGGGTTCCATAAAAATTTGGGGGACCACAAGCACCGACACCATAGTTGCGAAGAATTTGGACAGCACGGTCTTTCAAAAGTTCGTTGGAAACAAAGTTGAAGAAATTATAAGAGGCGAAATTATTGACGGTACGACCATTAGAAAGTTTAACCTTGGGACCGGTAGGTCTAGCAAGCAGGCGCATAGTTAGAATAGAAGCCACTGAGACTATTCCGGAATTGAAAACAAACAAACCCAACAATTACCGGCCGCTTCTCGTTCTCAGCTTGCTCAACCTCAGTAAGACCTGGTACAAGTGGTTCGGGAGTCCAATCCTCGACAAGTTCGTCAATCTCCTATTCGTACGTCAAATTAACTCACGTGCAACAACCTGGAATTTCTCGTTATCTTTTAGAAAGAGAAGGAGCTCTATTACTTACATCTTCAGTGAGCTCAACAGCCCCCTTCTGAGTGGTCGAATATCGAGGGGCTAGGAGGTACCTAACTGCGAAGAGAAACAAACAAAGCTCAACAACACTACGAACAGGATCATTTTGGTATGAGCTTTTAATGTAGCGTAAAAGAATCTGTGAGCCAGGAACACGTTGAAACCGAGTGGACAGCTCTCCGGCCGACCAGTTAAGAAGAACATATGCATCGTGAAGATCCATTGTATGCCAAAGCGTTGGTGTTGAGGGTTCAAACGCTCAGGAGAAAGGAGACAAGACAAAATGTGAACGGCTCGGTGAGTTAGGCTGCCGAGCACGATTGAGGCTCAAAAACGCCGACTGCCGGTAACCGTGCCAAGATTCCCGTAACTTCGAAAGACCCCAATCCTCGAAGGCTGCTTTACAGGTACCTTGTTCGAAGTGACCTTCTTCAAACTCTGGATATCAAGTAATAATTCTGAATCCTAAACCTACGAACCGTATACTTTACCAAACCCCGCCACTTATTTGTTCTTTCGGCATCCTCCGCAGAGTCCCTTTAATGTACCGTACTGTACCGCAAGATAGTCACCGGAGGGACTCTACTTGTACTATCGGTGCCAACGGTATTAACCTATTTGTTTATCTATTAGAAGGATACAAGCATGCAGCCAATCCTAGAGCACATTCACCGGACTGTCATGACAGCGGTGCCCATAAGACTCAAGTAAGAAAGTACAGAAAATCTAAATTGCTAGTGATATTCCATTTCGCAGCAGATAGAGGGGCGGCATTCAGGACAAGGTAGAGAAACGTCTGCTAATCTACCGCAACCGAATACCGTAACTGGAGGACCCGTATTGGGGACAGATATGACAGCGAGGGCAGCAGGACATAGATAAAAGTAACGATAACAGTGCGGTGAGCAAAGAAACGGAGCGGCCTGGCTTTAGCAGGCATCGATATCTGTGAGCTCTTGAGAATTTAGGAAGCAGTTGGTATTGAGGATTGGTATTTTTTTTCTATCCGGAAGCCCCATCTATCCTACAAGGAGTCATCCAATACCAGTGTGATTGGTAAAAGTGAAAAACTCTGTCTTCACCTAATGTATATTGTGCCCTCCCACTCTCATCACTGTAACCCTTTCCATCCCTAGGCAGCATGGGGGAAGGCACTTAACAAGTGATGACCGTAATGGTTGGTATGCGAGAACGGGAGCAGAAACGAAGGGACAATGTTCGAGCCAAATCTCGGGCGAAAGCGAATATGATTTAACCACGGCCGATCCTGGTACGCTCTTGTGGGTTGTATCTGAGCAGTCGAGCGTCAATAAGTGCCATTCCGCAGAAATTAGGGAGCCTACCGCAAGAGCTTCTCAATGAGGTCTACATGAGTCATCAACATTCTCCTGCAGCAGTAGCGCTTGCACCCAAGTTGGTCCATAGCATCCCTATAGGAAACGAGTCAGGTATGTTTGTATAGATGAGAGGCGGAACAAATACCCCTCCGCGACACCATCTTCAAGAAGCTTGAGGTACCGCTCCCAGAGATCACCGACAACCTATGTAAAATCGCACATTAAATTAGGCCTACAAATAAGAAGGGATTTAAGGGTATACAAACCTTGCCACATGAGAAACAGCGAATCGGAATGATCATTTTGTGGGGGCAGCGGGGAATGTTTGGTGATGGGGACGAGTGGTAAGAAAGTGAGTAGAGAAAGAGAGAGAGATCAAACGAGAAGGAAAAGGTCTCATGAAAAGGGACTAGCTCTACCAGTAAATCCTATGCCGCCAAGATTTGGTTCCACCTGTGTGACCTGCCAGTGGGCCTCCATTAGAAAGAAAAAAATTTGAGGTAACGAGGCGAGAACAAGAAACCTCGAGAAAGCTTCGAGACCTTTTTCAACCCACCACAATTTCCCCACCATTCGAGCAATCGAGCCATTCGAGCACCACTGCCATGTCTTCCACGGAGACTCCGGAGGCAGTCAAAAAAATTGAAAAGCCTGATGAGTTTAGGGAAAAGAAGAATTCCAAAATTGCTACGAGAGAGCCGGGGGCGAATCCCGATACCCTTGCGCCTCTGACGGAGGAGGAAGCTGAGCGCAGGAAGAGGAAGAATAGAGATAGGCGAAAGCGCAGAAGAGAAAAAAGACATGCCATTCGAGAAGGATCGGCTGAAACTGGGGGCATTGGGTCAAAGGAAGTTAAAGAGATTTTGGGGGGAGATCGGATAGTCGAGATCGCCGCTAGTAAACCACCGAATAAACCACAAACTCCAAAGAAAAAAACATGCGGGGAGTCAAAAGCTGCCACCCATAATGCTGTAGTCCCAGCCGAAGACAATGGAGGATCTGGTGTTTCTGGTTGGAGGATGTCGTCTGCTTTGGGAGGAAGGTTCCTTCCTTTGGACATGGTGTTTTCGCAAGATGAGAAGTAAAGTATTCTCAGCGCCATCCCCGGAGATAAATGCTAATTGATTTATTGTAGGTTCTTTCTGTTGGCGCACAGTTTTTCTCTCAAAATATACTCCGCAAAGACCTCACTGCAAGTTCGCGAGTTCAACCTGGACAGCAAACCCTCCGAAGTAATCACGTCCTTCAAGTTGGACCCGCTAGATCCAAGCAAAGTATATATAGGTACTTCTGCTTCTGCAATTTATCTTGTGGATTGGACAGCCGGAAAGCTCGTCAAATCATGGCAATTAAGTAACATCCGTACCATCCAGTGTCTCGCTATATGTATGGATGAAAAGACGGAAGATGACAAGACGCATGGAATCCTTTATGTCGGTGGCTCTAGATCTGAAAACCCGCCTGTTATAATTCAACGGGTTAAGCTGTCACTGTCGGTAGCACCGATCGAGGATAGGATCTACGTATTCCCAAAATCTCCTCCGATAGCATGTATGCAAGTTCTTGGTCAGGGAAGCATTGTTACCGCGATAGCGGGTAACACCCTGATTATAGGAAACAAGAATACGGAGGAGGATTCATCCGATAAGAATCCTTGGGGAGTTTTTCGCCACTACCCAATGTCATTCCACCTAGCCTGTATGGATACCTACCTTCCTAGTGAGCCTGATATCATAGCCCGTAAGGGAGGAAAGTCGAACCGGGAGAGCGGGCGTGAGGCAAACCAATTGGGAGACGTTGTAGTTGGCGATAATCAGGGAGCCTTACATTTGTTTCATAACGTGCTGAGAGTGAAGGGGGTATCAAGAGGATCACCGGTAATCAGTACAATGCATTGGCATAGATCTAGAGTTCAGGCGATCAAATGGGCCCTAGATGGTAACGTCATACCATCCATCTAGCACTAATTCAACTTACTAACTTCTTGACAGGAAAATATATAATCTCTGGCGGTTCAGAAACTGTGCTAGTCATTTGGCAGCTAGGGACAGGCTTCAAACAATTCCTGCCGCATTTGGGAGCAACAATTCAAAACATCACAATTTCACCCAAAGGCTCCTCTTATGGCGTCAGCTTTGCCAACAATTCCGCCATGATTCTTTCGACAACAGAGTTCAAACCCACATCAAGTGTCACCGGTATTCAGTCTCGAGTATTCCGTCTTGAGAAAGACTCTGAATACCCAAGATTCACCTGTCTTATGCATCCAACATTGTCGAACCGTCTGCTGCTGGCATCTCCCTCCTCACAGACCGATCCCTATTCCTCCGCATCATCTCTTCAAACATTCGATATCTCCTCTAATAGGCAAATATATAGACAGGCATTGACTAAGAATAACGTAACAAGTGTCAACCAGGGCCCTGATGAGTATAAAATTAAAGAGCCAGACCTACCGCACTTGGCTATCACCAAGGATGGTACATGGTTGGCTTCAATTGACGAATGGAAGCCTCCAAAGAAAAAAGCATTCCACTCCAATGAAGATAGCCGTTCTTTGCAGGAGGGTGAAAGTGATCAGAGCGAAGTATCTTTGAAGTTTTGGAAATGGAACGAGAGATCTCTATCGTGGGAATTGGCCACCATCGTCAAATCTCCCCACCCTTCATCTAGCACAGGGCCTGAAGAGGTCCTAGATCTAGTTGCTGCGCCGAAGGCCCACCTATTTGCGACGCTGGCTGGCGATGGAAGCATCCGCCTCTGGAAGCCAAAAGCCCGAGCAAGGGACGGCGCTAGTCTACGAGGGGAGGATAGTATAATAACCGTCTGGTCCTGCCGGAAAGTTATCAAATTCTCCAAAGGGAGAAAAGAACAACAAGTCCTAGCGCAAAACCTCCTCGGCGGCATGGGTCCGCAAAAGGTCTGGTGGGGCAGCGCCACCTTCTCCGAAGACAACTCCGTAGTCGCTGCAGCAGTCCCCAGTTCTCTCGGCGATGACTCAGCGATCTACCTTGCGGACCCATTATCAGGCGTGATTGTACACTTTCTCAGCGGCCTGCAAGTGGGTAAGACCGCAGATATTGCAATCCTGGAACGCTACCTCATCATACTTGGCACATCGAAGCTACTCGTGTGGAACATGGTCAATGGCACCGTGCAATGGGAATTCAACCTCAAGACCTTATTACCAGTTGACAACCCGGTCACTCGTCTAGCAGTGGACTACATCAGCCAAACCTTCGCCATCACAGTCTCCCAGCCCAACGCCCAATCCCCAAAAATATTCCTTTTCGAAGCGTCTCACCCAACGCCAGTTCACGTCCAGCGCTTCGATTGCGGGTACCAGATTATGGCGCTCATAGCAACAGGCACAGGAAAAGGTTACGTCACACTAGACAACCAAGCCAGGGTCCGCTGCCTATCCCCCATCCTCGCCGGACCGGTTCAACGCATCGCCGAGGACGAAGGGGAGGAGCAAGAAGCATTAATAGTTGCAGAAGAAGACGAACCCACAACCGGTATCCTTTCGGGCGCATACTTATCTACCACTACCTATTCCATGAGCGTGGAAGACCGCATGGACCTGGACTACGCCAAGGACGATGGCGTCGTCGATCGTGTCGTTTCTCGTGAAGCACTGGAAAATATACTGGACTCTACGCCTTCATACGCAATCGGCTCGCTTGAGTATAAATTCGACCAGGTTCTTCAACTGTTCGCGAAGGAGCCGCTGCTGAGTGGTGGCGATGGTGATGATGGAGATCGCAACGACCCTGTGAGGGTGGTGGAGGAGAAAGGTGGGCCCGAAAGCGGGAGTGGGAATGAAGATGATACTGGGGAGGATACGATGGAGGAGTAGCAGCGGTGGGTTGGTGTTTTTTTTTTCCTTCTCGCTTTCTCTGTAAGATACTTGGGTTCAATATCTTTTTGTATTTGTTGGTTGGGAGTATAAACGATAATGCAGTCCAAAAGTTTTCCTCTTTCTCGGGAGGAAGGCGGTTTTGTTGAGCGAAGTTTGAGCTAGACTAAAGCGGATGTATGGTATGTGGACCCGGATTATTACGCACTTAATTTAAGCTTGTATCATATCATTATTGATAAACTCCACGTTTCAAACCATCCCCGTCATCCCCATCAACCAAGACTCACGAGTGAGGGGCTATGATGTGACCAGTACCGGTAGTTCGATAGGTTCACCTAGCGTGCGCTTCAATTACTTCCCTGTTACCAAAAGAAATTTGATATTCAACAAATGCTTTTATCTCAACCTATCTCACAAATATCTGATATAATACAAGTGTCCCCTACCATTACTACCACTCTCCTCATCTCACAATACTAATCTCAATCCTCGAGCATATGAGCATAGTCCTCGGCACTTGCAAACGTCGGCAAGTGCTTCAATTTGCGCCTTTTCTTATTACTCCCTCCTCCCACCGCCGCATTCTCCCCTTTGTCCTTCCCCGTCGCAGTTTCCAACTCTGTTTCAAGCGCCTTTTGAAAGCTCCTCGGCGCTTCCTTCTCGTCGTCCTCTTCACTCCCCCAGACATCATCTTCATCTTCTGCAAGATTTGATATTCCTTCGCCGCTGTCATCTGAAATATCAGAGAACCCCGCAATGCTATCCTCGCCGTCATTGTCCACATCCCCCTCCTCGATATCTGGCCGACTATCAACCATAGCCTTCCAAATTTCACCCTCAGCCTCAGAATCCTCCTCTTTGTCTTCACCCCCATCCCTCCCAGCCTTCTTCGCTTTCTTCTTCTCAGCAGCAGACTTCTTCGGCGCGATCTGGTTGAAATATTTATGGAAGAATACCTCGTCAGCATCCACTTCCTCGACTTTTCGCCTCCAGAAGGCTTCTGAGTTGACTGGGATTTGGGCTTTGCTGATGCCCCGGGTGGAGAGGATTACACCTCTTGTGTCGCCGCCACCAAGAGGTTGCATGATTGAGGAGCCGCGGCTCAGGGTGGGAGTTGCCTTTGAGTTTCTGTAGACAAAGCGGTCGAGAAAATGTGTTAGGGTGTGCATTCCTAAGTCAGGTTTACTAGGCATGGGTCTGTTCTCTAAGAAGCTGGTGGCGAAGAGGGCTACCGAAGGGTGGTAGCAGCGGAGGAGGGGTATCTGCGGTTTTAGTCAGTGGTGATCCGGTTTTGGTTCACGGACGGACAATCTTACCAGTTCCCAAAGGCAAGTCCTATCGGCATTGGTGAACAATGGGTCTCTTCTCCTCCCATCATATTCTACATGCTTTACTGAAAGTTCTCCTGCAGTATCTTCTGCTCGCCCTTCTCTTTCCTCGGGAACATCCCTGAAAACCTCTTCTTCTTCATCCTCCAGTTGCTCGGGTTCTTCCAGCAGAGAGCGGCCAGAAGGTACACTATCACATAGCTCATTAAGTAGATACAGAACGCCGCAGATGAAAGGAGGTTGGTGGAATGTTGCAGCAATCTGAACTAATCGTTTCAGGAACGCCTTAACACGCTTTACCTGGGTATCCGCTTTGAGTGCCCTAAATAGCAGGTTCAAATACATGGCCTGTTTTGAAGAATTCACAAGTCGCTGATCCAGAAGTGACTCATAAAGTGTCCTATAAAACCTATCCGAAACAGCCTTTATAGCATTAGCATAAGATGACCTTGAGGACCGGAGGGCTATACCTGCTTGCTATTTGAAACCTGGAAAATCAACATCATAGCCTGAATACTAGTATTGAAGTTGCCAGAATGCGTGATCTTAAACAACGTATCTATGTGCTTCTCGAACACATTGTCGTCCACTTGCGAGAATGGGAATGCACGGTTTACACCGGTTAGGATTGCCGATAACAGTTTTGCGATCAGGTCTGATCGAAATTGCTTGTTCTTCTCCTCTGCCCCAGCGCGCGCCTTGGCTTTGCGGTTCATCTTGCCCCTCTTTGGTGGTGGTTTGGCGGTGTCATTGAACTTGATATGCTTTGCGCCCCCTGAAGAAGCGGTAGTTGTAGATTCGTCTTGGAGAAGAGATGTGAATGCAGCAAAGTATACTCCAAGAAGCTTGTTAGCAGCCTCATAGTTGTCTCTGGCCGATAGAATTGTTTGGTTAAGGGTGATTATGGCGTAATATTTGGCATTGAGTCCATTTCCGGGACGAAATAGAACCTCCGATTCAATAGCGCTAATGATAATGGTTTTCATAGCAGGGTGGGTCGTCTGTAATTGGAGCAGCAGATAGGAAACTTTTGAGGCAACTTTTTTATCATTATCACCCTATTCCGCAAGATTAACCGATGGGTCCCTAGTACGTATGATATTTGGGTCAACCCACCAATTTGTTAACCAAAAGTCTAAGCAGATTAGCCTCCTGCTCGGGCTTAGTACTCAAAAGTGAGTGAACGAATCCAGTTGCATTTGTCCTTGGGAACACCAATGGATCTGTGCAAAGTCCCTCGAGAGTTGTCAAAACCTCAAAATAAAAGTTCTTGAGCCAATCCTCGTAAGCCCAGATGACCAGATGCTCCTCAGTTGTCTCCCTAGCTCCTATCTCGGGCTGCTTTGAAAAGAATCTTAACTTTCTATCCTCGGGCAAAACCGATCCAGGACCGAATAAATCCTTAATCGCGGCCATTGAAGATATTGCCTGACTACGAGACTTTTTGCGCGCTAAACCCAGAAGAGTCTCGAGCGACTTCATAGTGTGAAGAGGAGACTCTTGGCATATCAAAGTTAGTGCAGATATCTTATCTGAGAGTGTCCCAGATGTCATAATTGTGCTCAAAAACTGACGGTCGGAGGATTTGGTGAGATGAGTGGCCGAGTAGACAGCATTCTCGGCCTGGAGAAGTGACTTTGCGTGCTCATGAAGGTATCTAATAGTTACCGCCGATGGTGCCACCGCCGGAGAAGCTAGAGGGGGTAATTTGTAGGCATGCCAGTCCGGGCGGGGCGCCACCTTCTAGAGTTGAAAATCAGCACAAAGCACGAGAAAATATAGGTTCTTCGACCCAGGAAAATACCGACTTACCAATTTACCACCCTTTAACTTTGGATCCGGTTTAGTCTCCAGAGGTTTAACGATAGGAGCAGATGCCTTTGGTTCTTCACCGGCGTCATCCATACCTCCGCGTTCATCCTCGTCCTCGGTTTCGGCATCTTCAAGCTCTTCGCCACTATCCTCGTCGGTCCAGTCCCCATATTCGTTGTCACACTCATCCCCCACCGTTGAAAACTTCCCGCCCTCCAACCCAATTTCCTCAAGAAAGCCCTGGAGTTCTTCCTGCAACCCCTTGCCGGGTTTTCCAGACTCAGTAAAAACAATATCTTCCTCGTCACCATCAGAGTCTATCCCATCAACAAGATCAAGATCCTCCTGAGTACCGCCAAGCTCAATTATTTCTTTCAACAAGCGCTCTTTATCAATTCCTCCCTTTTTTCCTGGTTTCCTGGGAAGGCCGTCTTTAGTTATATCTCCCAACGGAGGAAGTTTTGGGTTGGATTTTTTAGTGTGTACTGGTTTTGGGACGTCTGCGTCGCGAGCTCGCTTCCTTCCTCTAGGAGCGCCGGGAAACTCTGCCGGCTTCGCCCTCTGCCGTTCGAGTTTCCCGGATTGTTCGCGCGGCTTCGTTTCGTACGCCTTCCCCAGGTTCCCATCTGTAGGCTTAGTATCCCTCTGATTCTTCTTTCTCCCACTCACAGCCTCCCCTTGTTTCCTAAAATTCTTATTATCGCCCTTGGACCTTTTTGCATCATCGAATCCTGATTGTATGCGCTCTGTGAGTTTGCTCAATGCATCCGCTGAAAACACGGGCATCTCTAAAGCTGCAGGAGGTGCGGCCGGTGCTTCCGCTTTTGATTTCGATGAGTGTTTCTTAGCCATTGCGATTCGAACGAAGAGAAGCGGATAAATGAGGTTTTCACCTCGTTCTGGGCAGGTCAGGGCGGGTGTGGGATAGGACGCACGATTGTTGTATTCCTGTGCGTTTCCGAGGTCGAGCGCTTTCTTCTCCCGCAAAAGATCTATCGCACTTAAATTATCTCGCCAAGAGGCCACCGAGGCAGTGGGGCCGTGTGCAGAACCTTATGGGTTAGGGCTACTTTGCGGCAAACCAGCGCCTGTCGCGCCTGTTGCGGGGAGACACAACAGGCTAGAGCGGTGTTGCAAGAAGAGCGAGCAACTGTCTTTGAATCCGAATAATGCTTTTAGTGTCGACTTTATTGGCAAAGCAATGTCTCCAAAGTCTATTCAGACTGGCTTATCCCGAACTTGCCGGCTATGTCTTTACCGAATTCTATCCAATCCTTCCTCGTTGAAGAGATCTCTGGTGGTAAGCTAGGAGCCTCCCTCCGAAAAAAAAAACCCGATACTGACATTCCGTCAAAGATTGACCATAGGAACCGGATATCAAACTTCTTTGTCCCCACAGGAGGAATCGCCTATAAAAAAGATAGCCAAAGTAATGATCATTTATTGCGACTGCGATTCTGATAAGGAATCTATCTCTGACAGTAATCAGTGGATGTTCATTCTACCTTAATCCGTGCGGGATACGTTCGTCAGGTTAGCTCTCAGCCCAAGATCCACACCATACCCCCCGAATTACGGACCGAATGCGCTAATGCGTTTCCACATAGCCTTATTCTGGATTCTTTCACTATCTACCTCTTGGTCAAAGAGTTCACCAAAAATTAGAACAGTTAATTGACAAACACATGCGTAGTGTTGGTGAGTTTGACGAAATCTTCAATTGTCTGGCGTATGTGTCTACTAACATCTAAGAAGGCGCCTCCAAACTTGCCCTCTCTACCATCTCTTCAGAGGAATTATGGCAAAGTTCTGGCAGATTGGAGAAGGGTCTCAGTGAGGTACAAATGCCAACAGGCAAGAAACCAAATTATACTATAATATCCCTAACACATTTTAGTTATTCAGATTCGAAGATCGTAAAGAGTCTCGATATCTGCTTTCTCCTACTCACGAGGAGGAAATTACGACTTTGGTTTCATCCCTCGTAAAATCACACAAGCAACTGCCACTAAGGCTCTATCAAATAAGTATGGTATCCTTGTCCGGCTTAAGCCATTGATCTAACTCGAGGGGGGACAGCTCGGAAGTACCGAGATGAGAGGCGCCCTCGACTTGGTCTCATGAGGGGGAGAGAGTTTACAATGAAAGATCTTTACACGTTTGATGCTACAGAAGGCGCTGCTCTCGAAACCTATAGAGAGGTGCAGGGTGCCTATAAGGCGCTATTCGAGGAGATTGGCCTTCCGTATATACATGTGAGACCTATACTACTGCCCCCCGCCGAGCACTTTCTAACCAATGAAAAGGCTGAGGCCGACTCCGGAAACATGGGAGGTTCGCTATCTCATGAGTACCATTTCCCCTCTCTCTCGGGAGAGGATACTGTCATATCGTGCCGAAATTGTGGTTACTGTGCCAACGAGGAAACCGCTCAAATAGCTCCCCCAAAGCCCATGCTAGATCTCGCGGTTTCAAGAATCGCTACATTTCATGGAATCACTAAGGACCGCAAAACATTAATTAACATTCATTACCCCCGATATACGAAGGCTACTGATGATGGCGTATTGAATGAGGTCCATGCTGGTAGAGTCAAGAGTGTCATCAGAGATTTTGACCCCAGTGTTATGAACGCATTGGATCTATGGTTTGACGCTTTTGTCGGCTACGCGCATCTAGCAGAGGAAGGGTCATATTCCCGCGTTGTCAATATTTTTGATGCACGCATTCCTCCCTCGCACTACAAGGATATTCCCCCAAGTCGGTTCAGTAAGATGATCGAGAAGAAATCTATGGAAGATTTCCCAATCCCAACTGCTTCAATAACTCTTGATGACCCTGAATTTGGCTCCTCCCTCAATCTGTTAAAAACTCAAGACGGGGACGGATGTCCGAAGTGCGGGGAAGGAAAGCTTGAAGCTACAGGAGCTATAGAGCTGGGCCATACTTTCCACCTTGGAACACGATACACAGTCCCCCTACGAGCAGACGTTCTTAATGGGGCTGGCGAATGGAAGCCAATGGTAATGGGGTGTCACGGCATTGGGGTATCGAGAATGATTCCGGCCATCGCCGAAGTCTATAGTGACCACAACGGGCTTTGTTGGCCCCGAGTCGTTGCCCCGTATGACGTTGCCCTAGTTCACGGATCCGTGAAGAAAAACGCGGCGGTGCCACCGAAAGAAGACATAGAAGCAGTATACGATGTTCTAGTTTCTGGGGGCTTGGTGGGTGGGACTGATGTGGACGTTATTCTAGATGATCGGGACAAAGATATTGTCTGGAAGCTTAAGGACGCCGTCCTCGTGGGATATCCAATCGTGTGTATCATGGGAAAATCATGGGTAAATTCCAGGAAGGTCGAGATCGAAGTCAGGAAGACAAAAGTAAAGTTGGAGGTCGAACTTGCCGATTTGAGGACAGTCATTGAAGGACTTCTTAAGGAGCTGTAGATATCTGTCTCGCAGAATTTGAAAGTTTGCAATTGAAATTTATTTGTGCCACTGATCCAATACCTAACTCTTGCTGTTCCCGACGATGTCAGTTACCAGTAGGTCAACTTGGTCAAGGGGGAGGTGGGGGCTGCTTCACGGACAATCGTTCGCTTTCTGTTAGTTTTGGGTTCTTAGTTCGCTCGTTGATTATATCTGCGGGTGGGTCGCGTAGGGCTGGGTAAACCGATAGCAATCTACTTGGGCTCTCGGACAGCGGATGGGGTATTATGCCGTGGGCTACGGATGAGGGGCGTAGACTCAGGTGAGTGACTGGTGTTGAAGAGGGGCAGTCGGCATCGTTCCAAAGCATCACGACACGAGGTCTTTATGAGGCTGTCAATCACTGAATTTGTTTCTTGGGTTAAATCCATTAGATTGTCTCTAGAGTCCTATGAATTAATAAAAGTCTGGGCTATGTTTCTCCTCCGAATCGCTTGAGGATCAATAAATTGGACAGAAGCGGGATCTTGGGTTGCATCGGGTTTGGCTGCGAAGCTCTGTGGTTCGCCTCGCGAATGTCTTGGCGCCCTCTGATTACATAATTCACACTTCATATTATGCGAGTATCCCGTCGTGTCATCCGCGTCTTTCTCTTGCTTCACATTGCTGCCCAGTCGCCACACCATCAATCACGTCTTTCCTTTTATCAGCTCTTTTACCTTCCTCATTGTTGTTCTCAATTTAGTCGTATAGGGATAATAACTTCAAGTCGAATAGGGAGGTTTACCGTTCTGCTTTACAATCATGGCTTCTCTGCCACCACCACCACCTCCTGGTTGGCAAGGTGTTTCTGGTTCTGGTGCTCCTCTCCAGCCCCCTCCGCCTGGATACAGACCGCCGGCCGATCCACAGCAGGCGAAGTTTGATCAGAAAAAAAAGGAATGGCTGCGCATCCAGAAGAATAGGTTTGGAGAAAAGAGGAAGAATGGGTTTGTCGACACCCACAAAGCCGACATGCCTCCGGAGCATTTGAGAAAGATTGTGAGGGATATTGGCGATGTTAGTCAGAAGAAATTTTCAGCAGACAAGAGGGCATATTTAGGGGCTTTGAAGTTTATGGTGAGTTTTTGCCCTGTCATGCTCAATGCATCCATACCTGCAGATACTTATTTGTATGTGAATTTCTAGCCGCATGCCGTCTTGAAGCTATTGGAGAATATGCCTATGCCTTGGGAGAGCGCTCGTGAAGTTAAGGTTCTGTATCATGTCAATGGCTGCTTAACCTTGGTCAACGAGATTCCCCGCGTTATCGAGCCAGTCTTTCATGCGCAATGGGCAACGATGTGGGTGTGTATGAGGAGAGAAAAGTCGGATCGTAGGCATTTCAAGAGAATGCGTTTCCCACCATTTGACGATGAGGAACCTCCATTGTAAGTTGTCTCGTTTTTCTTGCTCTTCTGGTGGCTTGTTGACATCGCGGAATGGTTCTAATAGGGCTACTGTATAGGTCCTGGAGTGAAAACATCGAAGACGTTGAGCCGCAGGAGCCAATACAGATGGAGCTGGATGAACTTGAGGATGCTGCGGTTATCGAATGGTTTTACGACCACAGGCCATTACTTGACACCCCACATGTGAATGGCCCCGGATATAAGAGGTGGAATCTTGATCTTTCCCAGATGGCTACGTTATACCGTCTCTCTCAACAGCTATTGTCCGACCTTGTCGACAAAAATTATTTCTATATGTTTGATAGGAAGAGTTTTTTCACGGCAAAAGCTCTGAACGTCGCGATACCAGGTGGACCTCGATTCGAGCCTTTGTATAAGGATATCGACCCAAATGACGAAGATTTTGGCGAGTTTAACGCTATTGACCGGATTATCTTCCGTTCTCCCATCAGAACCGAATACCGGGTGGCGTTTCCATTTTTGTATAATTCGCTCCCTAGATCAGTGCACCTGTCGTGGTACCACTACCCACAGATAACCTACGTTCGGGCTGAAGATCCTGAGCTTCCAGCCTTTTACTTCGATCCTGTAATAAACCCCATTTCATCTCGCTCAGTAGCTCCGGCAAATCTCACGGTATCGCATGAGGATGAAGTTTTTGGCTACGGCAATGATGAGGATGATTTTCAGCTTCCAGATGAGGTGGAGCCTTTCATGGCGGAAGAAGCGTTATACACCGAAAACACAACGTCGGCCATCGCCCTCTGGTGGGCCCCGTACCCTTTCGATCGTCGCTCTGGCAAGACTGTTAGAGCGGAAGATGTTCCGTTAGTAAAACAATGGTATCTTGAGCACTGCCCGCAGGGCCAACCTGTAAAGGTCCGGGTCTCGTACCAAAAGCTATTGAAAACCTACGTGCTTAATGCACTTCACACAAGGCCACCTAAGGCGCAAAATAAGCAAGACCTATTCCGGACGTTGAAGGGGACTAAGTTTTTTCAGACGACTACGATTGATTGGGTAGAGGCGGGTTTGCAGGTGTGCAGACAGGGGTTCAACATGCTGAATTTGTTGATTCATAGAAAGAACTTGACCTATCTTCATCTGGATTACAACTTCAATCTTAAGCCGGTGAAGACTCTTACCACTAAAGAACGCAAGAAGTCCCGATTTGGGAACGCCTTCCATCTTATGCGAGAGATCCTTCGTCTTACCAAGCTTATTGTCGATGCCCAGGTGCAATACCGACTTGGAAATATTGACGCCTTTCAATTGGCGGACGGCATTCTCTACGCATTCAACCATGTTGGACAGTTGACGGGTATGTACAGGTACAAGTATAAATTGATGCATCAAATTCGTGCCTGTAAGGATTTGAAGCATCTAATCTACTACCGTTTTAACTCGGGGCCTGTCGGAAAAGGTCCTGGATGCGGATTTTGGGCACCGGCTTGGAGGGTATGGCTCTTCTTCATGCGAGGTATTCTCCCATTATTGGAAAGGTGGCTCGGGAATTTGTTAGCAAGACAATTCGAGGGACGTCACAGCAAAGGAGTTGCCAAAACTGTTACGAAGCAACGGGTGGAATCTCATTTCGATTTGGAATTGAGGGCAGCTGTCATTCATGACATCACGGATATGATGCCGGCTGGCATGAAGTCGAACAAGGTCAATACGGTTTTGCAGCATCTTAGTGAAGCATGGAGATGTTGGAAGAGTAACATTCCCTGGAAGGTCCCTGGCCTTCCCGCGCCGATCGAAAACGTTATTTTACGGTATGTCAAAAGCAAGGCCGATTGGTGGGTGAGCGTCGCCCACTATAATAGAGAGCGTATTCGGAGAGGTGCTACTGTCGACAAAACTGTGGCTAAGAAGAATCTGGGGAGGTTAACGCGCCTCTGGTTGAAAGCCGAGCAAGAAAGGCAGCACAATTACATGAAGGACGGACCGTATGTCTCCTCGGAAGAAGCCGTTGCAATCTACACTGCCGCGGTCCATTGGCTGGAGGCTAGGAAGTTTTCTCCAATTCCGTTCCCTAGCGTCTCCTACAAGCATGACACGAAAATCCTGATTCTCGCTCTCGAAAGATTGAGGGAGGCATATTCGGTCAAAGGCAGGCTTAACCAAAGTCAAAGAGAAGAGTTGGCCTTGATCGAGCAGGCCTACGATTCACCTGGAACGACCCTTACCAGAATAAAGACTGCTCTCTTGACTAGGCGTGCGTTCAAGGAGGTCGGAATCGATATGAACGATAACTACAGTACGATCAACCCAGTTTACGATGTGGAACCGATAGAAAAGATCACGGATGCGTACTTGGATGCGTATCTTTGGTACCAAGCCGACCAACGCCACCTTTTCCCCGCCTGGATCAAACCCTCCGACTCCGAAGTTCCGCCCTTGCTTGTTTATAAATGGGCTCAAGGAATCAATAATCTTCATGGCGTTTGGGAGACTGTGGATGGTGAATGCAATGTCCTCCTCGAGACCCAACTGTCAAAAGTTTACGAGAAGATTGATATCACCTTCCTTAACCGTCTGCTTCGCTTGATCATGGATCACAATCTTGCGGATTACATCACAGCCAAGAACAATGTCGTCCTCAATTATAAGGACATGAATCATACAAATATGTACGGATTGATTCGTGGTCTTCAGTTCTCCGCATTCGTTTTCCAGTACTACGGTCTGATTTTGGACTTGTTGATATTGGGATTGGAGAGAGCTTCTGAGATTGCCGGACCCCCGCAGAGGCCCAATGAATTCCTTCAATTCCAAGACTTGGAAACCGAGACTAAGCATCCTATCCGACTTTACACCAGATATGTCGACCGAATCTGGGTCTTTTTCCGATTCTCTGCCGACGATGCTCGTGACCTTATCCAAAGGTTCTTGACAGAACAACCCGATCCAAATTTCGAGAATGTCATTGGTTATCGGAACAAGAAGTGTTGGCCTAGGGACTCAAGGATGAGGTTGATGCGCCATGATGTCAACCTTGGCAGAGCTGTTTTCTGGGACCTGAAGAATCGCCTTCCTAGGTCTGTGACTACTATCGAGTGGGAAGATACATTTGCCAGTGTCTATAGTCGGGATAACCCGAACCTCCTCTTTTCCATGTCCGGATTTGAAGTAAGAATTCTTCCAAAGGCCCGTAATCAAAATGAAGAGTTCCCCGTCAAGGATTCCGTTTGGTCGTTGGTGGACAACAATTCGAAGGAGAGGACAGCTCATGCTTTCCTGAGGGTCACTGAGGATGATATTGCCAAATTTAACAACCGTATTCGTCAGATCCTTATGAGCTCTGGATCTACCACTTTTACTAAAATCGCCAACAAATGGAATTCGGCTCTTATTGCCTTATTTACTTACTACCGCGAAGCTGCAATCTCGACTGAGGCATTACTAGATACCATTGTGAAATGTGAGACCAAGATTCAGACTAGAGTCAAGATCGGGCTCAATTCTAAAATGCCATCGAGGTTCCCGCCTGCTGTCTTCTATACGCCTAAGGAACTTGGTGGTCTGGGAATGATTTCAGGAAGTCATATTTTGATTCCTACAAGTGACAGGAGGTGGAGTAAACAGACTGATGCTGGTATCACTCACTTCCGGAGTGGAATGACGCACGATGATGATGTGCTTATCCCGAATATCTTCCGATACATTCAACCCTGGGAAGCTGAGTTCATTGATTCTGCTCGTGTCTGGTCTGAGTACGCACAGAAGAGGGCTGAGGCCAATCAGCAAAACCGAAGGTTGACGCTTGAAGATCTTGAGGACTCTTGGGATAGAGGTATTCCAAGGATAAATACTTTATTCCAGAAGGACCGGAGTACTTTGGCGTTCGATAAGGGATGGAGAGTTAGGACTGAGTTTAAGATATACTCTATGATGGTATGTTTCGCAGTGAATTGCCCTGATTGATGCATAAGTGCTAACATTGCCTTCAGAGATCCAATCCATTTTGGTGGACATCCCAACGCCACGATGGTAAACTTTGGAACCTTAACGCATACCGGACAGACGTCATTCAGGCATTGGGTGGTGTTGAGACTATCCTTGAGCACACCCTCTTTAAAGCAACTGCATTCCCCTCCTGGGAAGGGCTCTTTTGGGAGAAAGCATCCGGTTTTGAAGAGTCGATGAAATTCAAGAAGCTTACCAACGCTCAGAGGTCTGGTCTTAACCAGATTCCAAATCGTCGATTTACTCTGTGGTGGTCACCCACTATCAATCGGGCCAACGTCTATGTAAGTTTGCGGGAGCGACACTCTGCAGCTATGTTTCAAGGACTAATGATTCTTAGATTGGTTTCCAAGTCCAATTGGATTTGACGGGTATCTTCCTTCACGGAAAAATCCCAACCCTAAAGATCTCCCTTATTCAGATCTTCCGAGCCCATTTGTGGCAAAAGATACACGAAAGTGTCACTATGGTAGGTTTTCTATATCCTGTCCGGTGGGGGAGCGCGTTCTAACTCTTAGCCAGGACCTTTGTCAAGTTTTTGATCAGGAGTTGGAGGCACTCGGTATCGAGACAGTGCAGAAGGAGACCATTCATCCCAGGAAATCGTACAAGATGAACAGCTCCTGCGCAGACATCTTGCTTTTTGCTGCCTACAAATGGAATGTCACTCGCCCCAGCTTGCTCCATGACCAAAAGGATGTTATTGAGCAAAACGCTACAAATAAATTCTGGATCGACGTTCAATTGCGATACGGAGATTATGACAGTCACGATGTCAGCCGATATGTGAGAGCCAAGTTCCTTGATTACACTACCGATTCTCTCTCCATCTATCCGTCTCCGACTGGTGTGATGATTGCCATCGATCTCGCCTATAATCTCTATGACGCTTATGGTCAATGGTTCCCCGGCTTGAAACAACTCGTCCAACAGGCGATGGCCAAGATTATGAAGGCAAATCCTGCGTTGTATGTCTTGCGAGAGCGAATCAGAAAGGGACTGCAACTTTATGCCTCTGAGAGCAATCAGGAGTTCCTTAATTCGCAGAACTATTCAGAGCTGTTTAGCAATCAGATCCAGTTGTTCATTGACGATACCAACACATATCGTGTTACCGTCCACAAGACCTTCGAGGGTAACTTGACTACCAAGCCGATCAATGGAGCCATATTTATTCTTAACCCTCGTTCCGGCCAGTTGTTCTTGAAGATTATTCACACCTCAGTCTGGGCTGGTCAGAAGCGTCTTGGCCAGTTGGCAAAATGGAAAACGGCAGAAGAAGTGGCCGCTCTCATTCGCTCACTTCCTGTTGAGGAACAGCCGAAACAACTAATTGTGACAAGAAAGGGGTTGCTGGATCCCTTGGAGGTGCACCTTCTCGATTTCCCTAACATTTCTATCCGAGCATCAGAGTTGCAGCTTCCTTTCCAGGCTGCAATGAAAATTGAAAAGTTGGGTGACATGATTCTGCGTGCCACGGAGCCTCAGATGGTTCTATTCAATCTCTACGATGACTGGACTAAGACGGTATCCTCGTATACGGCTTTCTCACGTTTGATCTTGATCCTCAGGGCTTTGCACGTCAATCAGGACAAAACTAAGCTGTTATTGAGGCCGGATAAGACGGTCATCACACAGGAGCATCATATTTGGCCTACTTTGTCGGATGATGATTGGATTAAGGTCGAAACGCAACTCAGGGATCTTATTCTTAATGACTACGGGAAAAAGAATAACGTCAATGTCTCGAGCTTGACTAGTAGCGAAGTGAGAGACATCATTCTTGGTATGGAGATAAGCGCGCCGTCGATGCAACGCCAACAGGCTGCCGAAATCGAGAAGCAGCAGCAAGAGCAAGCTCAGCTTACCGCGGTTACTACAAGAACGCAAAATGTTCACGGAGATGAGATGATTGTCACTACAACTTCCAATTATGAGCAGCAGGCATTCGCCTCCAAGACGGAATGGCGCAGTAGGGCCATTGCCGCTAGCAACCTTCGGACTCGGTCGAACCAAATCTTCATCTCATCAGATGATATCTCGGATAATGGCCAGTACACCTACATTATGCCGAAGAACATCCTAAAACGGTTCATCATGATCGCCGATCTCCGTATGCAGGTAGCTGGCTATGTCTATGGTTCATCGCCACCAGACAATGACCAGGTCAAAGAAATTAGGTGTATTTCTATGGTTCCACAGATTGGGAGTCTGAACACAGTCCAGCTTCCTCACCATCTACCCCAACACGATTATCTCACGAAAGAGAACGGATTGGAGCCGCTTGGCTGGATTCATACCTGGGCTCAACCAAACGAGACGCCATACCTGAATGCCTTTGATACGACCCAACATGCAAGACTCATGTCAGCCCACAAGGAGTGGGACAAAAAGACCATCACCATGACTGTCGCATTCAAAGCGGGATCAGTCTCGCTCGCGGCATACGGTCTCGCACCCGCCGGCTACGAATGGGGTGCACAGAACAAAGATCTCGGGAACGACATGCCCCCAGGGTTCCAGACCAACATGGGCGAGAAATGCCAGTTATTGCTCTCAGATAAGATTATGGGATTCTTCCTGGTCCCCGAGAGTGGTGTTTGGAATTACTCTTTCCTTGGTGCGAACTTTAGTACCGAGGCGGAGAAGAAGGCATACCATGTCAAGATTGATACCCCGGTAGGGTATTATGCGGATATCCACCGGCCCTTGCACTTCCAGAACTTTGCTGAGTTGGAGGATATCTGGGTGGATCGTAGCGATAATTTCGAGTAGATGGATAGGCGGTTGGTTAAGGGTCTCTTTGATTCGGAATTTGTACTATTTCGCGGGGGTGGCTTTTTCTTTTTGACTTGTTGATGTGTTGCGAGAATTCTTGTAATCATAGTTGTGGGTTTGGTTCTGTTTGTTTTGTTTTTTTGTTTCGTTTTGTGTTTCTTCAAAAAGGTCGGATATCGGAAGTTTGGGTAATGATGCGGAGTGATGAGGCTTTCTGTATTCAACGAATTTCTTAGCCAATGCCCGGCCCCCCTGCCCCCTTTTCAGCAGCTACGATAATATATCCATTGCTAGCAAACCGTCAATCCACTTTTTTGGGTGTTCCCAATTTATTGCTAGTGGTGATATACAAACTTTTGGACACTGGGGTCTATATGGAGAAAAGGATATTTCACTTTTCCAAACGCCTCCGGTGCTATTGCTATGCCATCAGATTCAAACACCAGCTCCGCCCCCAAGATGCCCATCACCCCATCAAAAGGTACACGGGACGAGAGCCCGAAAATCCCTACCCATAGCACATCCAAGCGATTGAGCCCCTCCAAGCTAACCAATAACCCCGCCTCCCAAAAAAAAAAAAAAAAAAGTAAAAACGCGACAATCAAAAAATCACTATTAAGAGGTCTCCTCGAGGCAGGGGAATGAAAGAAAAAATCTCGCAACTAGGGCTTCAACGCCTAACATGTTCCCGGCTCCTGACCCAAGCCCAATGCCTGCTCAGTTCATCCTCAGCTCTACCAATTACGCAAACACGGTCCAAAGCTCAGAAACACTCCTCTCAATAAGCCCAACGTACCCCCCTCACTCTTCCTGCTCCTCCAAATTCTCCTACCTGACCCGCCGTGAGAGGCGGACAGCGCTCCCGCACACTTCTGGAAGGTTGATTGCCACGACATCGTAGTGCCCTCCTTCTACTCTATGGACCGCACTAGTGGAACCGAGGTGGTGCAAGTGCTAGATCCGCACAGGGGGTGTTTTTAGGTTCGCGGGGGTTAGGTTTGGCAGCGTTGTGGGTTCTGCACTCCGGGGAGTGCAGCGCGGGTTCCGCGGCTGTCGACATGCATTGGGAAGGCGCTTGATTCGGAGTCCCCTGCGGCCTGGCAATGGTGTTTGGGCGGCAGTTTCCTGGCTGCGCTAGCGGGTGTTGGCGTTTTCAGACTGATTGGTCCGCGAAACCCTTGAACGCGCTGTGAATCATGGGGTGGGATGGAATATTGAGGTTTCGGACAGTGTTGGGGAGGGGTATATTATCAATTCCGGGCGGTTTGTCGAAGTGAGCGAGTTGGGGGAAAAAACAGTTTTTGTTTCAATAATTATTATATCATTATAGTGCGGCGGGCATGTGAGGTCTCATTCTATTCTAAGCACGTCACCTTATCATCATGTAATGTCACTCGTGCTGCCGGGTGCCTTCAGGTTTTGGTCGCTCCTGATTGGAGAGGTATACTTGGGTGCGTTTTGATAGACTTTGTAGCGGTGGTGGCACTATGCTGGCTTGTGTATTTTCCCGTGGTCCGGTTTGGCAGAAGTTCCGTCGGTTTCATTGGGTGAATGCTAGTGCACCTGTACTCGTGTAGTACTGTACGGTACTTTACAGTACCGCAAAGCTCAGGATGCATGTCCGGTCTCGCGTAGCGTGGGGTCACACAACCTATGTGGAGGAGGAGAGAGGGAGAAATGGGGATGTGTTGTATATGGCCCTTTTGAGCTGAATTTGGAAACTTGGTTCTGTCGAAAATCCCGCAGTGAGGATTGGAGCGGAATTCACAAATGTATTCAACTTCTATGTCTGGCCTACTTCCCGGCCTAGTACCGGTACGCCACTTAATTACTGCAGTGCAATAGCTTCCAAGTTGGGCGCTTTGTGGAAAGGGCAGGAGAGATTGGTCTTCACCTCCTACCGAGGTTCACCCCAGCCGGCCGGAGGCTTAGCTTTAAGCAAGATGAATGCATTTTGAACACAGAAAGACCAGTTCGAGTATCTCGGAGTGTAGTTAAAAGAATATCACAGTTTACATCTCCCATGCTGAGCTAAGAGTGAAATAATATTTCTACGGAGAGAAAGAGAAAAACCGAACCCAGTTTTATTGTTCGCTAGTCTGCATATTTTTCTCCCGTTTTCCCAACGCCATCCTTGCGCCATTCACGATCTCAATGTGCTCAACAGCATGCATCCTGTTCTCTAGATCCTCCAGACTCTCCCCTTTAATCATCTCAATCTCCCTCACGATGATCGGTGTTCCCTTATCCACGGCAGTGATAACATAGTGAATCATGATACCGGTCTTTGTGATTTCCCCCCTCTGGAACGCCTCGTAGGCTCGCTCAATTGCGTTTGCACCATCGAACTGTCCCGGTAGGGCAGGGTGGAGGTTTATGATGTCGACATTAGCCTCCTCCAGGGGATCGAGGGCTGCAGAAGAAAGGATGTGCATCCAGCCAGCGCAGATCACCAAATCGGGGGTCTGGGCTAGGATCAGCTTGGCGAGGTCGGCATCGTAAGCCTGTCTGGCTTCTTGGGGATTCTCGGGATTTTTCTTTTTGTAGGCAAGAAGGTTGTGGTATGTTGATGGGATGCCGGCGTCGGCTGCCCGTTTCAGACCATAGGCTGACCTTTTGTTTGAGATAACGTGGATTATCGAGGCATCGAGGGTGGGAGGATTCGCTCTGGAGGCATCAATTAAGGCCTGGAGGTTAGAGCCGTTGCCAGATATGAGCACGAGGACCTGGGGTGTCATTTTTTTTTGTGCAATCTCAGTAGGAGGAAGAAGTGAAAATGGATATTGGTGAGGGAGAGTGGGGAAGAGAAGCAGTTTTCTGAATTAGAAGACCTTGGAGTGGGGGGGGGAGATGTCCGATAGCTGGGGGGGGGTTCTCATTGATGCCCTAAAGGGGAGCTTCTGATCTAAGGTTCGGAGGCCAGGTATCTCCCCCTCTTGCGGCCATACTCGAGTATATGATACAGTCGCAGTTCGCTATAACGAATGCCAAGAGTTCAGGGTTTTCCGTTCGTTATAGAGAGGTTTTGAACGAAATCCCTTATAGGGAGAGCCATTTGTATGGGAGCAGGGGGTAAATTCATGGAGGATTCCTTCGTAACAGCGAGGTTTCTCGTATAAAGAGATCCATTATAGCGGGATACGCCTGCACGATTGGAGAATTATAGCGCTGGTGTCCGGATCAACACCTCCAACATAGGCACTGTGCGGCGCTTCGAGACGTTCCTCACCCGGTCGCACCATTTTTGAGTAGTTACCCTGCACTGCACATCAGAACCCTGGAAAACTGTACTCGAGTACAAATACAAAGTGATCCCCTTATCCCTAACCCTTGATACCAGGGCCTCAACTCCACCTCTATAACTAACCCAAAACCCCCCACCTCTTAACCCCTCCAATATCTACTCGCTTCCTATGGAACGATAGCGCTACGTACACATGGAATCAGACTGGCAGGAGGTTTGCGTTCTCAATTGCCTTCATGCGCCGTCACGGAAGAGTAACTGTGCGTGATGAATTTAGGTAGTGCGTATGCCGGCGGTGCCTCCGTCGCAGGTTGTGGGGTATACTACTGTTCCACCCACATTGGCATTTGACACCAACCAAGAGCTTTTATGGGTCGGGAGCGAGCATGTAAGCTCGAATGTTTCTTCGCGGGTCTCCGTAGCTTGGATCCTAGCTCACATAGTCGTCTTGCTGCTATAGGGTCGAGTTATTTCTTACTTTAGTCCCGAGCTTCGAAAATATACCAGTTACCGTGGCCATGACCACCCCTTACTTCCGGGAGATGATGCTGTGCGGAATATTCAAGTGAATGATCGAGGTGTTATATCTTTGGCAGCAAGGAGCTTGCACTTTTCTATCAGAAGGGGGCTGGCTCAATGGAATATAGCGTACGTAGCTCGAGATTAAGAATTGGTTCTGAGACTAACATCGAGCTCTCCATTGTGCCCCATTCTCCGAGTCTAGACATGAAGGTTTTCGCAATTTGTCCGGTTTTGCGTACACGAATCGAGGCACCTCCGAGATCTTGGTTGGTGGTGGTCAGAGCTCAATGTTCACGGTGAATGTGGACCGAGGAACTGTGATAGGAGAGGTATTTATCTAGCGGCTCTCAGACGGTGCCGGGGAACTACTGTGGTAAACTGATTCGGGGGATAGTATTCCACAGAGGATGACATAAAGGTTATGAAGAGGAATCCTAGAGCCATAGTGTACGGGACGGGAAAGGGTGATGTAAAATTGTTGGATATGAACACTTTCAAGGTGGTCAGAGAGTTCCCACAGGCACATGGGAGCACAATTTCAGATCTAGATACTCAGGGAAACACAATCTTGACATGCGGCTACTCGCCTAGGTTCTTGATCCTCCCACGATCGCCTACCATGAGAGGAACGAATTGTGGCTAACCGCAAGGAAGCAGACAGGGAACATATCACCTTGACACCCTCGTCAAAGTCTATGACCTTCGGACGAACAGAGCACTCGCCCCGGTCGGCTTTCCTTCTGGTGCTGCCTTCGTTCGAATGCACCCTAAACTCTCGGCTGCCGCAATTGTTGCTTCACAAGCTGGCCAGGTTCAGGTGGTTGACATTGAGAACCCCGCAGCAATAAAGCTCTACCATGCGAACGTAACGAGCTACATTACTGCCATGGAGCTGGCTCCTAGTGGGGATGCCTTGGCTCTGATGGATGCGGATGGCTATCTCCAACTCTGGGGCTCTCCGGATAAGCTCAGGTTCACCGAACTCATGAATCCAGTGGAGTGGCCGGAGCCCCCTGTACTTCCTAATGTTACTATTAAGGACGATACGTTAGCATCCATATTTTTTTCAGAGCCGTATACTGGAATCTGCTAACTATTTACCCTTTCGAAGCCCTCTAAACACTATCGGCATGCCTTACTATCGCGATGTGCTTTTGTCTGCATGGCCTCCACATGAGGTCTTCAGTGTGAACAAAATGCCTCAGAAGATCGATGCAGACATCTTGGCGGCCTCTGCCACGAAGACCGGATATGCCCCGTATCACAGGAGAACTCCCCGATATTGCATAGAAAGGACCAAGCATACCGACCCCACCGGAGCAGTTCCAAAATTCCTAAGTCAACAAGCAAAAAGCAAAGGTTCCCGGAACTCTGGCGATTTTGACGATGGAAGGCTGCTCTATGGGGACGAGGCCAGGAGGCAGTTTGAGGTCCCACCGGTGTTTAGAAAAGTTGAAATTAAGTATAGTAAATTTGGTGTTGACGACTTCGACTTCGAGCAAGTTACCCTTTATAACGGACAGAGCATGATTTTCCGTGAGAGTGGCACTAACGGGGTATTAGATTTTATAACAAGACTAAATTTTCAGGACTCGAGACTCACATATCGAACTCGTACATGAATCCTTTATTGCAGATGTATAAATTCACACCTTTGCTTCGGAACTTAGCGCTCCATCACACGGCTACGGCATGCACGAAAGATGATTGTATCCTATGTCAAATGGGCTTCTTATTTGACATGCTGGATAAAGCCAATGGCCAAAACTGCCAAGCTACAAATTTTCTCAAAACGTTCAGCTCTCTTCCTACTGCCGATAGGCACGGTGTTTTGGAAGAGGATTCATCTAGCGGTGAGCTCTTGAGCTCCATGATACAAAGCCTCAACCGATTCCTACTGGATCAGATATCCCTGGACCAGAGAACCTGGCGAAATGATTCGAGGGCACTTGAGGAGGCGATTACAATTGGAGCCACTAAAAGCCAACGCTGCAATATCTGCGGCAAAGAGTCACGTCCTCTAGGTGACACAAATGTTACAGATATAATATACCCCGCAAAGTATAACAAGCCTGTTCAGACCTTTTCCGCCCTAATAAAGCAAAGCATACAGATGGACACAGTTCAGAAAGGATGGTGTGACAAGTGCCAGCGCTACCAGCAACAAGCAATGAGGAAATTGGTGAGAAGACTGCCAAAGATCATGATATTTAATGCTACTACAAACGAGAAAAGCCTGACATGTGTTCGAGCACATTGGTCAACCCCTGGATGGCTACCCGATGAGATTGGTGTAGTTGTCACCAATGGCCAATTAAGTGTGTTTCAAGGCGAAGACCTGAGGATCATGAAAGAAAGGAGCCAAGACTTGGTGATATTTGACCTGGTGGGTTTCGTGGCAGAGATAAAACCAGAGGAGAAGAGAAATACACACTTAATATCTTTCGTTAATGGTATGCTCTCCCTTTCGATTTCTTGAGAGTGAGCTAACCGGGATCAGTTGCCTTCTCGTCGACCGACAGGACTCAAGAGAGTAATTGGCATATATTTAATGACTTTCTCGTCACGCCCGTAGGGAAAGAGGACGCGCTTGACTTCGCACCAAAGTGGAAGATGCCCTCCATTATATGTTTCCAGGCCAGAGATCCTTGCAATACCATTGACAACTCTTGGAGAAACTATCTAGATACCAGCCTGTTATATATCGGCTACTCCTTTGGGTATGACTTTTCAGAGCCCGAGAGGGTGAGATTGTGTGAGGTAGAGCTGACGGGATTGTGCCAACGCAGAAGGTCTCTAAGTGAACCTAGATGCAAATCTTTAGAACAGTACGAAGAGCCTAAACCAGGGACGCTAGTCGCCTTAGATGCCGAGTTTGTATCCATGCAAAATGAGGAAACGGAGGTAAAAGCCGATGGTTCAAGGTCTGTAGTGAGGCCAAGTAGGCTAGGCCTGGCTAGAGTATCCGTGCTTAGAGGGGAGGGTGCGAGTGAGGGTGTAGCATTCCTGGATGATTACATTATCACGAGAGAACCAGTTGTTGACTTTTTAACCGAGTTTTCTGGAATTCATGCGGGCGATTTGGATCCGAGCACTTCAAAACATGCTTTGGTTCCGCTGAAGGTTGCGTATAAGAGACTTTGGCTATTACTTAATTTGGGCTGTGTATTTGTGGGGCACGGCCTATTGAAGGATTTCAGGATTATAAGTATGCTGAGCTTAGAGACATGTACGGAGGTCAATGCTAACACACGGGTCTCAGATATACATGTTCCAAAAGAACAGGTAGTTGATACGGTTGATTTGTTTGTCTTGCGGAGCTCACAGAGGTAGCCAACACCGGCCTTGAACCTACACACTTCTAACAATGTTGCATAGGAAATTGTCTCTGCGTTTCCTTGCATGGGTAGTTCTGAGGGAAGGGATCCAACTTGACACCCACGACTCAATCGAAGACTCGTACACTGCGCTCCGACTGTACAAAAAGTACCTCGAATACAGCGACGCCGGCGTCTTAGAATCTATGTTAAACAACATTGAGATAGAGGGAGTGAAGACCGGTTTCAAGCCACCGCCAAGGGGGCTCCTGGCGGAACATAGAACAGACACGCCTCCCATAGTGTGGGAGGGGCGATCAGAGGCGAATACGCCGCAACCTAGGGGGGTGGGTTCCGAGGTGGCTTGGAGTTTAAATGTGATGTAATTCGGCTACGGCTCTGCGCTCTTTATTGGTGTTTTTGTTGCTTTTTATAATATTAATACACCCAGAACGCTTTTCCACAGTGGCTTTGCGATTGGTTGTTTGTCTTTCTTGTGATCGTGCATACCGGTGTTTCATATCATAACATGTCCAGTGTTGTGGCTGGTTCTTGTACAGTGACGGTTTTTCCGTTATTGGCCTTTCGGGTTAGTGTTCGTAGGGGGGATTCGCTGGATTGGCATAAAATAATTTCCGATTTCCGGTTCTGGTAGTTTGTGAAGTGTGACAGGCAAAATGGGTATCTATCACAAATTATCACTCGTAGAGATATAGGGTACGAACGGCATGTTTACGGTAAGTCACCATTCAATACGATACGATACAATGCGGTAGATTACCGTAAACATACTAGGTGCCGTCTACCGGTATTCTACCTTCCTAGTGCAATTTACGTGATTTACCGTATGGTATCAATTGGTACAAGTAAGGTACGGTAATGCACCGTATTTTTCGAACACTCTGGAGACAGAACCAGGCTTTGGCAACCTTATTGTACCGTATCGCAGCGGTTTCACACTCGGGGAACAGCTACTCACACGAACGTCTCCTCTATTTTGTTGGTATTGATACTGTTGACCCCCTCTCACCGGACTTGTGTTATTTGCACGCTCCTTGTGTGATCTGCAGCAGTAGTGGGACCCCACCAGCCAGGCGCCGAAGCCTGGGGCTAGGGCGAGTGTATTGTATGAGCAGCTTAAAAAGAGCGCCTCACCTCTGGCAGCAAAGCATGGTATCTTCACCCTTGTGACATGGGAAAAAAGTAACACGAAACGCTCAATCTGGCTACAAATCACGTGATCCTAGCAATCCAGAACGACAACGCGATCCGTTTTGGGTTATTGGGGGCGTTCACCCGGACTCCCTCTACTCGAATACTCGAGTATTGGGCCTGAGGACCCCCGTGTCGAACAAGTTACCTACTAGACAGCAACTCATCGGTTCCCACAAGACTTCAGAGATACCAAATCCATTCTTGTCTCATACGCATAATCCACGTCTGTTCAAACTCCGCAGATGGGAACAACCATCCGCGAGCACACCACCCCAAAACCTAAACCATGAAGGCTCGTCAGTCTCTCAACTCTATCGGTCGGGCGGCCTTAGAAGCGCAATCTCAACCAACAGCCTCTACTACTATTTCTGGGGAACCCGAAATCAAGCTCGCGTCTGCGCGCTCCCCGGACCCGGAGGTCCGAAAACGCAATTTATTCCAGCAGCGCGCGTTCAAATTCTCACACTCACTACTGGTGCTGTTACTATTACTCTTCGTGTTCCTACACGGAGTTGGATTATTTCTGTTTACGAAGGGGTTCCTGCTAACCCGGTTAGTCCTCGGCGAGAAGTCTTCCTGCGATGTCTCACCGCTTGGCAGCGGGGTCGATTGGGAGGGAGGGGATATAGCCAAGGGATGCTGGCATCCAAAGACATTTAATAGAGCTGTTGTGATAGTCATCGATGCATTGCGATATGACTTTACGGTTCCATTCGCCTCCGAGGAGGGTGGCGATTCCACGGGTGTGAAGCAGTTCCACAACGCTTTTACAGCGCCGCACGCAATCGCTTCGAAGCACCCTCGCAATGCGATATTGTTACCGTTCATCGCGGATCCACCGACTACAACTTTGCAGAGACTGAAGGGATTGACAACGGGGACATTACCGACTTTTATTGACGCTGGGAGCAATTTCGCTGGGCAGGTGATCGATGAGGATAACCTTATTTCACAATTAAAGGCTGTGGGGAAGAGGACTGCGTTCATGGGGGACGATACCTGGATGGCGCTATTTCCCGGATTGTTCGAGGAGGACATGGAGTACCCATATGAATCTTTGAACGTGTGGGATTTGCATACGGTGGATAATGGCGTCAGCGAGCATATCTTCCCGCTATTGCACCCAGAGAATGCTTCGCGATGGGATGTGCTTATTGGACATTATCTTGGTGTGGATCATGCGGGGCATCGATATGGGCCGGATCACTTCGCCATGAGGGAGAAATTGGTACAGATGAATGGGGTTATCGAAAAACTGGTTGGGAGTGTTGACGATGACACTTTGCTGGTTGTCATGGGCGATCATGGAATGGATCCTAAGGGCGACCACGGAGGAGAGTCGCAGGGCGAATTGGAAGCTGCCCTGTGGATGTACTCTAAGAAACCGGTCTTTGGTGAGTTTCCACAAGGATTGGACCCTAATGGTGGAGACTATTCCGGCCCCCAAGGCGCTAGGTCTGTTGCCCAGATCGATCTTGTTCCGACACTTTCATTGCTGCTCGGACTGCCGATTCCATTCAACAATCTCGGGGCCCCGATAGTAGAGGCGTTTTACGGCAAGGGCGGGGTCCTCGGATGGAAAAACCTAGTCGATGTCGCCCATCTAACTGCAGCTCAGATCAAACGCTACCAGGCCGAATATTCCGGAAAGAATGGCGAAGAAGTTGAGGGGATTGAAGGGATCAATTCCATCTGGGATACTGCATATCAGAAGTTGTCCAATGCCCAAAAGCTTGGGGGGGAAGCCCGAACTGCGGATTGGCAGAATGTCTTTGCCGAGTTCTCAGACTATCAATCTGAGACACTCCGAGCTTGCCGCCATGTCTGGGCAAGGTTCGACCTGGTCAGCATGGCTGCGGGTGTTATTGTGCTGGCCGGGGGTGTCGCTGTCGTCGCTGTGTATGCTCGCGCCTTCACAGGCGATCATACTGAACTCACGGATACGCTGCTCACCCGGATGGCTAAAGGGCTCGGTATCGGAGCTATCCTTTCAGTAGTCGATGGGGCCATCGCTAAGATAGAGCAGGTTAGGGTTCCTAGTATCGGTGAAATATTTGGGCTGTCGCCTCTGCGAATGCTCCTGTTGGTCAGCAGTTTGGGCACGATAGTTGGCTTCTTTTCGGCCACTCACTACGCTCGAAGGCGACTAGCATCCTTACTGCCGACCTCCGGCTGGGGCGCTCTCTGTCTTGTGTTCGCTCTCACCCACTCCTTGATCTTCGGCTCAAACTCGTTCACAATCTGGGAAGACAAGATCTTGACCTTCTTCTTGGCTACCTTCGGGTCCGTTGCACTGCTTAACTCTCAGAGGCTGGATACCGCAAAGCGCGCATTGGGAACGTATCACTCAATAGTCTTCCTCCTCCTTGTCCGGTTGTCGTCAATCTCGCGATTATGCCGGGAGGAACAGATGCCTTTCTGCGAATCGACATTTTACTCCTCCGCATCCTCGTCTGTTTCTGCGCCTCGAACGCTTGTCATCCTGTTCATTATGGCTCTAGGATTGCCATCGATTATCAGTACTTATTACCGCCATACCAACTCCTACTCCGGCCCAGCTCCGGTATACATCGGCTTCGGCTTCCGGTTGGGACTTCTCCTTAGTGCGCTATATTGGACCCTCGACTCTGCTGATAATGGCAACTGGATCCCAGACCTCCCCGAGGGGGTATTGAAACCACTGAAGACCACCGTCGGGCAAATCGTCATAGCGATGGGCCTCCTCGCGGGAAACCTAGCATACGCATACTCTTCCATCTGCATAGATGTCCGTCTCGAAGATCCGCTCGCCAACCCATCCACCACTGCCACCCCTGATGACGACGGCGGAGGCGTAACACCTCCACCCCAGAGCTCAAAGCCCATCGTCCGCCTCCTTGGCACATCAAATTTGCACGGCTCCCGCTACTTCATGCTACTGATATCCTGGTCCCTAGCCCTCATCCTTCTTCAGAAGCCGATGGGCGGTGCGTCAATGGGTCTCCTCCTGTGGCAAATCCTCTCCCTGTTAGAACTCCTACACACCCTCTCGCTCTCTGACTCCGCCGTCGGCCCCGTTATACTGGGAATCCTTGGAAACTCCCACTTCTTCTCCACAGGTCACCAAGCCACGCTCTCCGCTATTCAATGGGAATCCGCATTCATCCCCTTCTCAACAATCATATACCCTTGGTCACCGATGCTTGTTATAGCGAATAGCATTGGCCCACAGTTACTCACCGCCTTGGCCGTCCCACTCGTGGTACTCTGGAAAGCACCCCCAACAGGTACGGAGACGCTGGGTAAGACGGCTAAAGCCGTGACTACGCATATATTATACCATTCTATGATCACTCTCAGCGCAGTTGCATGCGCTGGGCATTTGAGGAGGCATCTGATGCTTTACAGAATTTTTAGTCCGAGGTTCATGTTAGGCGGGGTGGTGTTGCTAGCTGTTGATGCGGTAGTTTTGTTGGCGGCTATGTGGGGGACCAGAGTTAGTTTCCTGAGTGTCGGAGAATTGTTCGGCTGTTAGATAGTTGTAGTTACTTCGGGCTTTGACAGTAGGACGGATGAATAGTAGGAGGGCGCTGGTAAATATTGGAAAAATGGGACGGTTTTTTTTTTTTAGAGATATCGATAGAGTTACGGCTCTTTTAATTAACGGTATTGCTATAGTGTGTGGGTTTCCATTTACGTGGGGGCGTGGAAGGAAGAATGAATATAATAATTGTCAGCATAAAGCGAGCGATTCGGGGGGAAACGAGCACTGTAATGTCTGTTTATTTCCCTGCTTCTAATGGGTTCGACTTATTTGACCCACTACTAGCGGTCACCCATCCTATGCCTATTGTTGATCCTGCTTATTTGGTAGCAGCATCGTACTCGTGACGCCCAACTTGAAAGTTGGACGCTATGCCCCGAACGAGATTATCGTAAGTGAAAAATATTACAGTACTCTTCCCCCACCCGCTCACCAATGTATCATACGGGATCGGCAGTACTATCCGCCCGTACCCAGCGAGACCCCTCCTAACCTGTCCTGCTTGCAGCCAAAAAGACCTTTCTCCATCACTGATACTCCCGCTGCGAGGGCTCCACGGGAGGAAAAAGAGAAGAGGAAAAGAAGATACTAGTGATCAGTGCTCGAAACCTCCCTCGAGGGTGAATCCACCCCAATAGCGCGTTAGGTATCCAACGACACGATATACCCCATCGAGCCCCAAGCGGGAAAAGATCCAAACCTACCGTACTTGGCAGTAGGGTAAGTAGAGCACCGTATGATATCTGTTGCTATAGCATTGTGTGAGCCCCCCCCCCCCCCCCTGCTAAAATGGCCGATATGCGAAGTTATAGGCCAATCAACCCCAGCGGAAAACAGCAGGTGCCGGGGAGTTAAATTCCTGCAGCACAATGATTGAACCATATTAAAGGTGGGGACGAGAAAACGAACAAAAACACCCCCCTATCTGGGGGTGATGCTGTAAGTTAAGTTAAGGGGAAATGGGATCTTGCTACGGGGCGGCACGGTACAATCTGGCTCTACAGAGCCGGTGCACTTGTGGGTAGCGACCTCTGTTGCAAGTGGTGAGTAAGTTACGAGTGAATAGAGCCAGAGAGAGAGAGAGAAAGGGAGGGAAAGAGAAGGGAAAAAGAACCCGAAATAGCGGCTAGAAACTCTAGATCCTACACAGGCTTGTTGGTCAAGGGACGCTGATAACCGGTCATCATAAAAAATCACTCGTGTACCATAGTACCGCCCATGTTGGGAAAATGGCTTCAATGTGACGGAAGTGTATCTGGCAGGGCATAGCGGCAACTCGTATTGCTAGAACTGTATATATACACCTCTCAGAGATATAAGTACCATTTGCCTGATACACAGGAGACAAAACAACAATTCTCTGATTCATCTTCTCAGAAACATACTCCTCTCACACTCAGTGATCCCCCGAGCTCCGGCTCAACCGCTCACCTCCCGTACGATATTTCCAACAGCCCAAGCGTTTACTTGAAATTCGAACACACAAGCGAGTCATGGCCCGAACAAGCGAGTCTTGACCACCATGCCCGAGAATTCCCTACTCCATTCCGGAAAGTGACGAAAAATAGTGGGGTTTTCCCGGGGACGGTGTTGTAGTGAGTGAGATGCTGGGCTCTTAAAAAAAACTTTTTACGCTTTCTTTTTTTCCCCTCCCAAGTCTGTATCCTTCCTATGCATGACCCACTCTATACAGTGATGGATCGATTCCAAATTGTATTCTTACCCCGGAAGATGGTGGACCTGGTTATGAGCTGCTCTGGATGTGTTCGGACATAGGGGGTATTCACAGCCCTTAAGCTCTACAGAGTATCATAGTATCACATGTTACTAGATTCAGTAATTGCACCCTTTTCTGGGGCATGGTTAATGGAAGCTGTCAGCGGACATTTCAAAACACGGTTCTGGAAACAGGGTTTTTGGCGTGCCTATGGTTTCGCCGCTGGGCAGGCTCTAAACTTCCGACTTTCCGTTCCCTCCTCCCATTGTTTTGGATACAATTTCAATGATAACTGGGTGAGATTGACTCCAGGTTTCAAGATGCTTGACCGGAAAATTCATCTAGAAATTTGTGGTTTAATTTCAGCCAAGCATGAACTGAGTCGGGATGTCACGTGGTAGTTATTGTTATATTGGTTGTGCGATATTCTGTGAGTGGTGGGTGGAGGTTCAGATTATAAGATTCATTGTTAGAGAAACTATGATGCGACGCCTATAGCTAGTGATGGAAGCAATTGAGGGCGTGAGATATATAACACTTTCTGAAAAGGGTGAAAAAAAAAACAGACAAGCTATCGTATTGGGAGAGCCACTATCAAGAAACCTGAGAAATCCACTGCTCGTCGCTCCTATAATCCGACCTTGCCTCAGTATCATGTTCATACCTAATATACCACCTCCACCACCCCCTCAGCAGCTTTCCTCCCTCCAAATTGCTCACTACACAGTAAACCGACAAGCCACAAGCGGCACCGATAGGAAGCCCGATGAGATACATTACCGGAAGGGAGCAGAGAAAAATGAAAAGGTTCCAAAGCACTTCCCATTTATCCTCCATTTCATACGGGTTTTCCTCGAAGATCTCATTGCCTCCATAGTGCTCCTCGCTTAACTGAGTCAGAGGAGTTCCTTCAATACCGTATGCCATCTCCAGGAGATCTTGCTGAAGCCTTCGTATAGCCCGTCTGTACCTATATCCCCCGTAACCACCCGGTATTTCTTGTCCCGCGGCAACAGCATCCGGGTCGATCTTTGGGTTTCCTAACAATACCTCCCTAGGCAGCCCACTCCGCTTTTCTTGCTTAGTTATTTCCAGCCCACGGATGAGTTGCCGGAGAGCATGCCCATCCATCCTCAACGGCACCCTTGCGCAAAACATGTACTCAAGGACTTCATGCGGTACCGTTATCTGTGCCCTGTCCTCTCCGTACGGGCCGGATGTGGACCCCTGGATATGCACGGTAATTCCTGCATTGGGGTCTATGGTGAGAATGTTTATCTTATGACCGAAGACCAACATCTCAATAATCTGTCCTATTTCGCCGGTATGTGGAAATAGCATATAGAATCTAGGATGTGTCGGGTCCTCAGCGTCCCTTCTAGGCTGTATATACCAACGGAGTTTCCGGGGGGTCAAGAAATTCTGGTTGAGAGGTCCGTTGATATTGGTGTTCAGGTAGTGCCCAATCTCGTGAAAAAGAGTGCAGTACATACGATAGAATCTGTGCGCGATGGGTTTGTTCTCTCTCTGGCCACGCTCAATCAAGTCAAATTGCTCCCCACTTAGTTCAATTCTATCGGGACTTAGCCAGCGGTGATGGGTACCGCTCAAATGCCTGTCCCCATTCCTCGATATGACTACCGTAGGGAAGCCAGTCGCAAACCAATTCATTAATTGCTGCACCTCTGTGGAAGTCGGGGGGGGCTCATCCCAGATATTGTCCGGCCCAGGATCCAGATAGCGGCCGTGCGTAGCACGCAGGATGATTGTGTACTTCATGGCAACTTCCGGTTGCAGGAGCACGTTTTGGACGAGCCGGACGAATTTGTAAAGGTAGCTATCCTCATTCTCCCTGTTCATATAAACTCCAGTGCCCCTGCGTGAGTCGTAAACCACCGGCCTTATAATGTCCTCTTCGCGCCAGGAGGTTACCTCAGGAACTGGGCCATCAATAAGTGGAAAATGATCCGGATAGCTCAATAATGATTCTGTAGGATTATCGAGATATTCTGGAATAGAAGGCCCAGGATTCTCCATCGCCTTTAGTTGAAGCAACCTCATCCAATGCAATCCATCCCGCGGTTGTTCTACCCAGTACGACAACGATATATTCTCTGCTGGTAGAACTCGCTCCCGTGGAATAGAAGGCAGTGGTGGAGACTTGAGCGGCGGGGGCAGAGGTACGGGATCTCCTACATGTCTGGCCGCCATCATGCCCGACAGTTCTCGCCTCCCCGCCAGCTCCCTCGAAAAATAATCGTCTGCCAAAGGCCCTTTATAAGGTACACACATTGGGCTCGGATCAATGCTGTGCGAGTTCCCTGGATTACGGAGCCGTCGATCCACTTCGTCAATGATGTTTGCCGCGTCAACCCTGTGACGATGAAACTGCAGTCCGCGAATCTCTTCAAGCAAAGAGCGGAGCAGTAACGTCTGCTCCTGGGCATCGGACCACGCCCGCTCAGCGGGCAAGTTACCCAGCCCTCGTCCAATCCCCCAATACTCACTCGACATCTCCTCAAGAACGTCTGCGACCCTATTTGGATCGTCGAGCGATAGGCTCAGACTTCGAAATAAGTTGTTGAGATCAACTTGGTTACGTACAAAGCGATTGTCGACCTCTGGGCCTGCAGGGTAAAATTCCCAGGATGACATTATATATTAGGTTATTTTGCAGTTACCTTGAGGTGATACATTGGAGGGGGGATACGCGATCACATCAACCTGCCTCGTTATATATATGCTACCTTTCATTTTGGTGCTTACTAGTGTTGAATCCGGTAAGCTTTTCACAGCATTGTGGAAGGTGAAAAGCACTTGAAAGTTTGGCCAAGAAAGTTTCAGATTAGTGAGTGACCACTTGTGTTGGATTTGAGGGCAGCCGATGTTTTTTTTTAGTGTTTCAGTCTATTTGAATGCAGATTTGTACGCTCAAGGTCCCATCCTAGAGTAAAAAATACGGGCCCCATGGAATACGACTTAATATCCCGGTACCGATATTTGTAGGAGATCCTGGGCCCAATTCCCCCCTGGAGAAATTATACCCCAAGAACTGCCCCCCCCCCCCTCAAAAAAAAAACTGTTATAATTCTTGGAATACCTATACCAACAGCCACTCCTCCTATTAGATTAGAGATTAAAGAGTGGTGGTATAATAATACCTGTAAGCCCTCTACCATTATTTTGTATAATTAGTTGTTCAATCGAACCCGCGCAAGTAACCAAAAAAACTAAAAAGAAAGGAAAAGAAACACCCTGTGGACATAGCACTTGATCCAGGGTGCCCTGAAAGCCCTCCCAAAAAGTTCCCAAAAGGGCAGATCAAAGGCACTCCTTTGAACCTCTATTGTAAAATATCACTCAAAATATGTGTCGTTTCCTGCTTTGCCTGCAGCACAACACCAGACATTAAATTTTTCCTCCAGTGTTCAGCAGGCGTCCAGCATGCGTTTACCTCCGAAGTGTTGACCAGCTTGGGCTTTTCTTTTGATATTCCCAATCTTGCACCAGCGCGCCTCGTTCATGATATCCTCCAAATTCTTGATAAGGTTGTGGAAGTTATAAATACTCTCCAAGTGCGGTGGAAGCCTGTTATTGGTTCCTGCCAGAACCCCTCCAGTAGGATATGGATGAGAATAAGGCCTGTGAAAGCCATATATGGACTCTGCAACGAAGGATTACAGTAAGCCAAAGCCCTTCTGTTGCCTACCAAAGCTTCATACCTTTCCTATTCCCAGTCCCCTCTATCCTAACATCCGCCGGGACCCTCCAGCCCGAACATGTAATTCGTTCCCGAGAAAGGCGTATTCTCTCCCCCGTCACTTCCCAGGCACGGTTATATATATTCTGGCCAGTGATCAGATCGGACATAACGGAATTTACCTTCTGAAGTAGGCCCCTGGTATTACCATCTCTCTCTCGCCGATCTTGGAGAGTGGCAGGGCTACGAGAAGACCCGCGATATATTTCACTCTCCCGAGAGAGTGAGGCGAAAGTCAATCTAGATTTAATCGCCCCCTTCGTCGAATATGATGTCTTTATCTCCTGCGATCCAGTCATATTCTCATATCGTACACGTAGTCTCCTCCCGCATCTCTTAACCCCCTCTCTAGCCCGCCATTTTGTATAGACGTAAAAGTCCCTTGCTCGATATGCCGCCCCCAATATTCCTTTGATTGACACCAGTGGGTCATAAACAGATTCTAAGGGGTTATGGTTCTCCTTTTCTGTATTGGTGTATAGGTCCTCCAAGACTCTAATCAACCGGCCAATGCTGAGACTGATGCTCCCATTAGCATCGATCTCAACCCATTCTCCTGTTTTGAAGTCGTTGAAGCATTGAGCCATGAAGTCTGTTTCATTCTCGATGCCTTGGAGTTGTTGGACTGGGTCCTCGAACAGAAAATTACTAATCTGGGGCCAGTCTTTGTACCCTTCGCGCAGCTGGTCGCAGAGGCCCTGCGCTTTGGTTAGTAGTGTTCCGAGGGTCATATATCCTGACATCGAGAGGAAATCTATCCATCGATCCCTCTAGACCAGACAGTAAACCCTTCTTGCTTACTGTAGGAACAAAAGACAGAAGGTGTTGGCGATTAAGAGTTTCACTGAGTAGCAGAAAAAAATCTAAAATAAAATAAAATACAGATATTTAAGGACATATCTTACCCATCTTGGATTCCTTCTACAATAATAGACTGTTTCAAGATTTTCATCACTGAGAACATAGTTGTACAATTAGAAAGCGGGGATGCTCGGGAATTTTTGGTACCTAGAATCTATCATACACCCGGCGCCTTAAAATGCACTAAATTTCGTTCCCATGTGCCATAATATCATATCGTGAACACCCCAGACAAGAGTATTAAAATTGTGCCATATCCGCTCTCGAGAGCTACTACAAACGCTTGAGTGGACCTCAAACACCCATGCTTCACCCAGTATCTGGCTAGATGTTGTAGCTCTTATACATAGCTCTGGTAACTGGGTTAGGAGGGTGGCGAGCAACGGGCTTTTAATACTGGGTTTGAAGTAGCAAACTTGAGAACAGCTTTCTTGAAAGAATCCAAGCCGGGAGGCCAACTCCCTTCCACTTAAAACGCATCCCGCCTAGAGAGCAGAAGAGAGAACAGCTTTTCAGCTAATCGACGAATACCACAGGACATATTAAGAACGGGAGAGTGTAGCGTTAATATCTGGAGTAGATATAACTAGGGGTTTCTAATCAGAGGGAGCAGTAGCGAGGGGTTTTGGTAATCTAAACGACTCAATAAGTAAATTTGAATCACTCTCTGCTCCGAATATCCCAGATAACCCCCCAACATAAGTCCGCCGTCCCCCATATTCGGGTATTTCATACTAGGATGCGGGCTAACGGGTCCATATTAAACCAATTCACGAAATCGTCGCATCGAGAATTTTTCCCGGACTTACTCAATACTTGTCATAAAAACATAATATGATTCCCTTATCTTTTCGATAGATAAGTTACTAGTCAAGAATTTAGTGCATCTGCTCATACTGATTACTAGTATAGACAACAAAATACCGGGTGATGCAAGGCTTTGGGCCTCCCGTTACCTTGTACTCTAGTACCATGATAAGATCCCAGAAGAGGAGCCCTTCCGCAGATGAACCTGGTCTTCAGGCCAGGTGCCACCTAATAAAACTGGATCTTGGTTTCTAGCTGCTTCTAACGGCCATAAAAGGTTCGACAACGCACTCCTTCTTGGGCGAGGCCTCCACGCACCTGTACACTTGGGTTCCGGCTTAAGACTGCCCTTGACACTGCTGTAATGCCATGGACCTGAATCCTCCCTCAGAGCTCTCGCCCAAATCCGAAAAGGTTCAGATTCATCATAAACTGTAAAGGCTGGGCGCAGAGTTTGTAATTCCATAGCCCTGAGAGTGAAATCATCTAGATCGCGTGCCAGCTGTGAAAAGTATCCATTTAATTGGGTATCAGAGTTAGTTTGGTGGAGCTTCATTTACATATTGCTTCTCGGGCCGAGGGGCTGACGCCACTATCCAGAGCAGGAAGACTCCCCAGTCAGGAGGGTTGAAAGCATTACACGGGTGGTATTTTAAAAGATGATGCGAGGTTGTTGACAAGTGTGTCAGTCGGAATGTTGGTGTAATCGACCCTTTTGTGGAGTTTGGTTGGTTGACAAAAGCCGAAGCAGCGAAAGCGCCCCAAGTTTCACATTTCGTGTGGATCCATACCGTACCGGTAAGTGCAAGGTACCTCCCCGCGATGTTTTTCTTTTTTTCTCCCATAATGTTCAATTACCCAATTACTACATCTGATAGCGGAGGGAAATAACTTGTGAAATTGTTGATACAGAAATGTTTTTTTGAGAGTTGCGAAAGTATAGAAATGATCCTATCACCCAAACCCTATCATACGCAAATTTAGCATTTGGACAGATAAGATATATGACTTAAAACCAACCCATAGACCTATCTTCCACCCCCCGAGTGAAAGCCCCTGTTTACGGTAAATTCACACAATATGGAATCCAACGCCCATAACAAACATCAAGTAGTCGCGCCATAACTCATGAGGAAGCGAGTGACAAAACATGACCCATTGGAGTTAACTCCACCACACTACAATCATGATAACTTCATTGGAGGCAATAAATGTCCCAGTGCCTCGAGAAAATAGCAAAAAAGACCACGGAAAAGGAAATCGCATTCCGTCTATGCACCCAAAGCCCGACTAAGAAAAAAAGAGACTCAAGTTCCGGCAAGTACTTTGGGGGACAACCGATTCAAACAAAAGGTGACAATAAGTGCTAAGAAGCACAAAAAGGAAAATTTACCAAATATCAAGGACACAAAACACCACATGACCAGACACCGAGGATACTCCCCAGGGAGAGGTGGTAATGGAAAACACTAGGCCGCTTGGAAAGGTTAGGTTCCACGCTTACTTAAATGTAGAATGAATATAACATACCGATACCCACAGGCAGCCCTCGCACACAGCTATTCCGGAGGGGTACGACGAGAGCGAGCTTGATCAAGGTAGATTGAGAAAAGTATAACCGCTGCTTGTGCCTCTTCAAAAGACATGGAAACCGTTGGGTTGGGATCGGGCCTTTGTGCAGGAGGAAAACCCTGATCGATGTGGGCCGAGAAAAGAGTAGCCGCTGCTTGTATGTCCTCAAATGGCGTGGAAATCACCGTATTAGGATCGGGCATATGTGCACCAGCAAAGCTCCATGCTGGTCTAGAACCGTCTGTATCACTGGCGCATAAATTGCGAGTGTTCTGGGAGAGAGGTACCCCATTACCAGTGACCATAGAAGAGCTCTCGACGCGAACTCTACGTCCACTAGCTAGTTCTAGAAGGGTCATGGCGGCTTCGATGTCCAGGTGGTGTGCGTTAAAAGATTTGGCCAAATCGCCAAACAGAGATTCTGCCACTTCGTCCTCGTATCGCTTTTCCACAGTTTGTTCGTGTTTCCCTAACTCTTGTCCTTGGTCATTTCCGCCGCAGAGGGCAGAGCTCCCGAGAAGTTCAGTAGGGGGCATGCTGGTGTTAAAAGCGTGTTGGCCGATGACTAAATTTGGCAAGTGCAGAGAGGAGGGAGGGATTTCCGGCAGGATACTGGGGAGACTAGTTGTAAAGCGCGCAAGGGAATTCCAATGTCCCGTAATGGTGAATCCTTCGACAACCCCTAGTAGTCGACGGAGGTTTCGGGGTTTGGGTGAACACGAGTGATGCTGTGTGAAAGGATGTGCTCCTGTATTTTTTTAGATTGCTTGACCAAATAAATCCAGAGCCATAGGCGAGCAGCATGCCCCGTGCACGCAATATTCCAATACTCTTTTATGCCTTGAAAAATCTCAAGATTCAGTGTTAAGAACATACCATCTTCACCGACGTGCATAGTATTGGGTAATTCCGTTAAGGGTATGTATACAAAACAATTTCCCGTAACTCCTGCCCGCCACCTTCACCAAAGCATTCCAGGTTATTTACCGCTTAACCATCTTCCTTATGCCAATTATGCCCAAATCCGAGAATTTCATACTATCGTACTCGTAAAATAAAAATAACCAATAAAGCCAACCTTTCCGTGTTACGTACAATGGCTAAGCCTATCAAAAAACTCAAAACACGCCAAACTTCTTCTTTTTCTTCTTCTTGTCCTCTTCGTAATATCTGCCCGGTTGATGATGATGAACCTTGAGCCCGCCCATTTCCTTAATCGGTGGGGCAGGGCTTGGCGAAGGTTTTGGCGCTCTAGGCTTAACCTGCTGTGGAGGCGGTGCCGCAGGCTTTGGAACCGGGTCCGGTTCCAATAGATGCCTTGGAACCTCCTTCGGCGGCATATCAGCTGGCAAAGCTAGAACCCTCCTTGGCTCCCTCGATTTTTGCAACTGTTCCAGCCACAGCATCGGAGTAAGCATGTGTGAAGATCCCAAAAATACATCACGAACAGATGCTTTGGAAACCTCGTAACACGCACGAGCTTCAGCATACGTAGCACCACCAGCCATGAAAATGATAATACGCTGGCGAGGCTCGATCACAGACATCCTTGATTTAGCCCATGTAGGCTTAGCTGAACGGAGAGATGCTTGGGAAATATTTTCCTGGCCGCCCATTGGCCCCCCTGGTACTAGCTCTGGTTTGGTGTAAGGGAAAACAGCAGGGTCAAGTGTCCCTTTAGTATGATCTTCGAGCATAGTCTTGAGTGCCGTCACAAACCGAGAAAAGTCAGAGCCTTCCTCCTCGGCAGGGGATTTTGGGCCTCCTTTTCGCTTCTGAGAAGTATTCCGATTTGGGCCCGGCTCCTTAAGGGACCTTGTCACACGAGCACCGAGAAGATCAAGATTTCGAAGTACCCGCTCGTCATTCCTTTGCAGCTGGGCGTGACGGATGAGCTTCTGAATGTCACCCTCAAGCAATCCGTCTTTCCAAAGAAGATAAAGCATCATAAGACGAAGTCGATCCGGAGGACTATGGTATCAGCAGTCAATATGTAGAACATTATCAGATATTAGAAAACTTACGCTAAGGCCGGATCATCGAGGAGTCGCACTAAAGACTCCGCAGGATTTTTTGTCGGACGCCCATTTTCATCAAATCCGGTAGCCAACGCCTGCTCAAGAAGTGCCACGTCTGGGAGATTTTTCTTCTCAAAAATACCCATGCATTCTTGGGCCATGGTAAGATGGAGCGAGTACATGTCCTTTTGTCCTTGGTACTGAGGCAGACTTGCCATCATGTCCCTGATTGCGTACAAACTTGTTGAAGACCCGCTGCACGTCGTCTTAGATCAGCACTCGCATCAAAACAGTACACTAGTGTACAAACCTATCAACGAAGTTCTTGTTGTCCCCCAGGAATTTCTGAAAGTCGGCCATCAATTTTTCAATGGTGTCTTTCATATGTTTGTGTCTATTAGAAACCCACACTTGATCTTCATCTCCAATCACCATCTGTTTTCCCTCAGCACCCCCAGCGGTGGCAACCTCAACAACATAGGTTACCTTCTCCCCGTCTTTTATGGGCAAAAGATCATGGGCCATTGCTTGATAAGTAAACTCATGCAGTGCAGGAGTGAATAGATCCATAGATCTATCCACAACAAAGAGCACTCCCCGAGGCCTATTTGAGGGTGGAGGGAAATCGGGGTGTCGCTGGGCGTAGAGGTCTAATTCCGTCTGAACATTCTTGGCGAGCAGCTCTGATAAAACCCGAGCTTCATGGAACAAGTTTGGGGGACGGAAATATCGTATAGTGGGATACTCTCCCAGAGACGCGCAAACACAGACGATCTTCCTGGACAACTCTTCCAAATGATCCCTCACCAAGCCACGGCATTCCGGGTGGTATAGGTTGTAAAATGATGTCGGCTCACGGAATGTGTAGAGATGAGACTCTCGGGGGAAGAAATCAATCGACAGAACAGTTTCACCAGCAATAAAACCACGAGCAGGAGATTTCAAGATCATGTCGCGAAACCTATCATCAAGCTCTGGGGCCACGACATAAGTCCCAATGAAACCAATATTAAATTGTCTGGCAAGCAGTGGAGGCCAAACCTGAGGTCCATAGTAAATGGGCGCATGTGTACCGAGTCTTAGCGCGAGCAAAGTCTGATATCAAACAGCGGACAATGTGCTCCTGTGGTGTAAGGATATAAACACACTCCATTGGTTGAGGCATTCGTTTTGACTCGATGAGGGAAACATCTAATTTGAGGGACACCAGATGGTGAGATTTCGAACGGCACTTGTTCGTACGGCAAATCACAGCGGGGCAAACCTGAGATACTCTCGTCGAGAATGAGATGTGTTTCCATAATATTAGTGATCAACTTGTGACTTATCTCGTCGGTAACAACACATCTCCACTATCGGATAAAGATTAGCTACTTCTAGCTCTCGGCTGCGCAAATAAGTAGACCAGGGATCTAGAACCGTATTTGGAGGTTGTATAGCTTTTATTGCGTCCAAAATAGCTATTGAAAAAGTACAAGTAAGTTATAAAGCCCTGAAATCTGAATGGATTAGGTCATACTCTGCTTCTGGATCTCTATCAAGGAGACGACCATGGTGGGGAGCGCAGGTGGCTGTCTCGCCGTTTCTCAGGGGACAAGCTATCTCTGTTTTGTGTGTGTGTGCTGCGTTATGTACAGGAAGGAAGGGGGAGAGAGGAAGAAGGGGCGGAATTAGTTACTAGACAAGCCCTCTAGCAGCTCGGGGGTTGGGGTGCAGAGAATATATATAGAATGGGCAAACTGATGGGGAGAGGTGAGTGAGAGATGGAGGAGTAAGCGGCGTGGACGGGGGTGGAGGATGGCCGAGATGCGAATCTTACTCAATCTTAGGATGAAAAAAAATCCCCTAACCCTTCTCAAAGCCTGCTCAGTTTAGACTAGCCACCCTATTTTCCAGAGTCCCAGTACCACAGCCACATGGGTGTACGAGTACTGGTAAGTTGAATTACCCGCACTGCAATTTATAAAACCGGGTAACATAACAGACCCCAACCGAGAAGCAACAAGCCCAACTTTGCCATTGTCACACCTCACCAACCCCAAGGATTGTGATTACCCAACGTTTCAAAGACCAAGAACCCCCTCGATAACGCTCTTACGAAAAATGGAGGGTCTCTATTTTAATGTCGATAATGGTTACATAGAGGGCATAGTTCGAGGATACCGTAATGGTCTGCTCACTAGCCAAAACTATGCGAACCTCACACAATGCGAAACCCTTGATGGCAAGCTAACCTTATCGACTTCCACTCAAGCCTTTCGCTGACATTCTCCAGACTTGAAGCTTCAACTTTCACCAGCATATGGTGATTACCTCGCAAATGTCCCTTCGCCTCTATCGACTTCTGTCATTGCTGCCAAAGCTACCGACAAGCTGATCGCCGAGTTCCGATATATTCGCGCGAACTCTACCGGAACGCTCGCAAAATTCATGGACTTTCTCACTTATGGATACATGATCGATAACGTAGCGTTGTTGATCACAGGCACTCTTCATGAACGAGACACCCGGGAGCTCTTGGAGCGATGTCATCCCCTAGGGGTTTTTGAGACCATGCCTGTCCTTTGCGTTGCCACGAATGTTGAAGAGCTCTACAATTCCGTTCTCGTGGAGACTCCCCTAGCACCATACTTCAAGAACACCTTATCGAGTGCAGATCTAGACGAGCTCAACATCGAGATTATCCGCAATACGCTCTACAAAAGTTACTTAGAAGATTTTCACAATTTCTGCGTAACCGCGTCTGGCCTAGCCGGAACCCCTACAGCTGAGCTCATGAGTGAAGTTCTGAGCTTTGAAGCTGATCGCAGAGCTATCAATATCACCATCAATTCCTTTGGAACCGAACTGAGTAAGCAAGACAGGAAAAAGCTCTATCCGAGCTTCGGTAAGCTTTACCCTGAGGGCAGTGCTCTACTCAGCAAGGCGGACGATGTTGAAGGGGTGAGATCTGCCGTTGAAGGCGTCAGCGAATATAAAGCTTTCTTTGAGCAAGGGATGGGACAGGGCGTTGGCAGTGGCCATCCAAAAAGTTTAGAGGACTTGTTCTACCAGAAAGAGATGGAGATTGCCAAGATGGCTTTTACCCAGCAGTTTACCTACGGCGTTGTTTTTTCTTGGGTCAAATTGAGAGAACAGGTTTGCCCTCATGACTCTGCAACTCCATTGCTTGGTAGGGCCCAGCTAATATTATACGTACTACAGGAAATAAGAAACATCACCTGGATTGCTGAGTGTATAGCTCAGAATCAGAAAGAGAGGATTAGTAATTACATAAGCGTTTTCTAAAATGTTGATAATACGGTGCACAGAATAGCCGTCCTATCGAGTCTCTCGTTCTTCTTTCTATGTATTGTTCCCGGCTGTTTTGGTCAATGTAGTATTAACTGATTCCTGTGGTGCTATTCCATCTTCATTCTTAGCAGTGTTAAAGGTCAGTGCCCACTGCCTAGCAATACCACCAGGTCCTGCCTAACTACTAGAACGCTACAAGATTATTTTCTTGTAGGCAGGCTTCACTAGACACCAATTATAAATATCTGGGCTATTATATTCTGAATACTGTGATTTAAGCCTCCGTAAACCATTAAACAAAGAGCGAAACTACTGATGAATGATGACACTAACGAAAACATTCGCAAAGCGTGAATATCAAGTTCAAGTAGAGTCCAGTTGTTGAAGGATAGAGGCGTAGGGTTAGGGTTTATTTGACATAACATACCAACGCCAGTTGATCAGCAGAATGTTTGCCTGGACTTCCTTGCCACTCCATCCCCTCACCCAAGCCCCATCCACGACAAACCAATCGCGGTCTCACACCATTAATACTTTCCTACGACTTCATTAAATCCTAATAGCCGTGCTAACTCACTTACAACTTCTCCTGTTCTCTTCTACCTGAATTTTTGCTCCCCAAGAGCTCACTCCACCACCTACGACTTCCGGAAGCCTTGCTCTCACCCCATCGCAATCATGGCGGACCAATCCCAGTACAAGTATGCGAACATGTCTAACCTGGTCCTCCAGGTAGATAAACGGTTTACTCACCGACGCACAGACGAGGCTACTGGAGACCCAGAATCGTTAGCCGGGAAGGTTGACATTAAGCAGATGGGAGACCGTGCATTGCGTGACAATGCGCCGAAGGAGAAGCATATCAAAAAGAAGAAGCAGTTGAAAGAAAAAGGCATCGATGGGCTAGAAGATGGAAAGGAGGAGAAGCGGAAGCGGAAGCGAGAGTGCGTGCCAATTCCGGTCCCGGTTTTGATCACTTTGCAGTGAAAACACGTTTCGAGACTAACCGACAAACTGCGCAGTGCTGCTACCTCACATGGAGGGAGTATTCTTTCAGCTACAGACGATGTCCTCGGCCTCGTATATCACCCACGCACTGCTGAAACGAGGGAGGCTTACTCGCTCATTCTTACCCTGGTTTCTTCGGTCCTCGGCGATGTTTCTCAATCGGTGGTTCGTTCAGCTGCCGATGCAATATTAGAGATTCTGAAGGATGAAGACCATTCAAAGAAGGATCTTGATAAAAAACGAGAGATTGACGACATTCTAGGGGAGAAAATGCCAAACGATAAATTTACAGACTTAATGAACCTAAGTAAGAAGATCAATGATTGGGACGCTGGTGACGAAGATGAGCAGATGGATGGGCGAGGAGACGGCGCCGGTACAGAGGAATTAGACGAGCGAGAGGGTGTTGCCGTTGTTTTCGATAACGAGGATGAGGACGAAGATGAGGCGGCAGAGTTTGAGGTTAAAGATGGAGATGAGTCCGATGAGGATGAGGAAGACGGGGACGAGGACATGGAAGATGAGCCGAAGGAGGAGGAAGCCGAAAGCGAAGACGAATTGGTGATTGGTGGGGCCAGAACCAAGCCCGGGGACAGAGGCAAACCAACTGTGGATGAGCACGCCGTTCCTGCGCATGATATTGATGCCTTCTGGCTACAACGTCAAATATCTACTAAATACCCCGACCCCCATCTTGCGAGCTCAAAGACCACTATTATTTTCGAAATTCTTTCAGATCCGGAGAAGACACAGCGCGATGTTGAAAACGATCTTATGGAGGTCTTTGACTATGACCACTTCGAACTTGTTAAGCTCCTCATGAAAAACCAGCCCAAGATAGTTTGGTGTACCCGCCTTGCTAGGGCCGGTGAGTCCTCGGAGGAGCGGATAGCGATCGAAAACGAGATGGTGAAAGATGGCTACAGGCGAATCTTAGATGAGCTAAGAGGAAGGGAGGCCGAGGACGGGAAAGAGGGGAAGAGTAAAGGAAAGGCCGATTTGATGGAAATCGATGTACCGGCATCTTCTATCCCTTCAGCTTCTGCGGCTGAACAGAAGCCCGTCGGTCTTATCGGAGGCCTCCAGCCGCGGGGGACAATCGACCTAGAGTCCTTCATATTCGAGCAGGGGAATCATCTCATGACAAACGCTAGCGTAAAACTTCCTCAAGGCTCCACTAAGAGAACTTTCAAAGGGTATGAAGAGATTCATGTCCCAGCCCCCAAGCGTAAACTCGATCCCAACGAGCCCAAATTAATACCAATCTCCAACTTACCTGACTGGGTGAAGACCCCCTTTTCTGGGTCGAAGGAATTAAACAGAATTCAAACAAGGTGTTATCCATCAGCTTTCGAGGATGATGGCAATTTGCTCATCTGCGCTCCTACCGGTTCCGGAAAGACAAATGTTGCGATGCTAACAATTCTTCGAGAGATTGGGAAGCACCGCAATCCCGTTACTGGGGATATCAAGCTTGATGATTTTAAAATTGTCTATATTGCTCCTTTGAAAGCTCTTGTCCAAGAGCAGGTCGGAAATTTTGGCAAACGGCTTGCTCCATATGGCATCAAAGTCTCGGAGCTTACTGGTGACCGGCAGCTCACGAAACAACAAATTGTGGAGACTCAAATTATCGTCACAACACCTGAAAAATGGGACGTCATCACCCGAAAAGCTACCGACCTGAGCTACACCAACCTTGTAAGGTTGATTATCATTGACGAAATTCACCTTTTGCATGATGAGCGCGGTCCCGTCCTTGAGTCGATTGTGTCCAGGACAATCCGAAAGATGCAGACTACACAGGAGCCTGTCAGGCTTATTGGGCTTTCCGCAACCTTGCCTAATTATCGGGATGTCGCAAATTTCTTGCGAGTCGATATAAAGACAGGTGCGCTCACTATAATACTAATACCTATATCCAGTTTGAACTTGAATATTGATCGTTTTTTACGACAGGTTTATTCCACTTTGACGCAACCTTCCGACCCTGTCCTCTTAAACAAGAATTTATTGGGGTCACGGACAAGAAAGCCATTAAGCAACTCCAAGCCATGAACGATGTTTGCTACACAAAGGTGATTGAACAGGCGGCAAACAATCAGATGCTTATCTTTGTTCACTCCCGTAAGGAGACTGCAAAAACTGCGAAGTACATCAGGGACAAGGCTCTTGAACTAGAAACCATCCAACGGATTCTAAAAAGCGACGCCGGTACAAGGGAAATTCTGCAACACGAAGCAGACCAGGTTGCGGACCCCAATCTGAAGGACTTGCTTCCATACGGATTCGCCATTCATCATGCTGGAATGAGCAGAACGGACAGGAGTACAGTTGAAGATTTGTTCTCAGATAAGGCCATTCAGGTTCTGGTCTGCACGGCTACCCTTGCGTGGGGTGTCAATCTCCCCGCCCATACAGTCATCATTAAGGGTACACAGGTCTATTCCCCCGAGAAGGGAAGTTGGGTGGAATTAAGTCCTCAGGACGTGTTGCAGATGCTTGGTAGAGCCGGTCGGCCACAATATGATACCTACGGTGAAGGTATAATCATTACAACACAAGCGGAGACGCAGTACTATCTCAGTCTGCTGAATCAGCAATTACCCATCGAATCGCAATTCATGCGGAAGCTGGCAGACAATTTGAACGCTGAAATTGTGCTTGGAACTATCAGGACACGGGATGAGGCTGTGGAATGGCTCGGTTATACTTATTTATATGTGCGAATGCTAAGGTCACCAGCTCTCTATTCAGTTGGAGCAGATTATGCAGACGACGAGGCCTTGGAACAGAAGCGGGTAGACCTAATTCACTCGGCTGCTGCAGTGTTGGAGAAGTGCAACCTAGTCAAATACGACAAGAAGACTGGAAAGCTGCAGTCTACAGAACTTGGGAGGATTGCAAGCCACTATTATATCTCTCACAATTCAATGTTTACTTATAACATCCATCTTCAACCAGCATTAACCACAATCGAATTATTCAGGGTATTTGCACTAAGCGAGGAATTTAAGTATATTCCAGTGAGATCGGAGGAACGTTTGGAGCTTGGCAAGCTTCTCACTAGGGTCCCTATCCCAGTGAAGGAAAGCATTGAGGAGCCTCAAGCCAAAATTAATGTTCTCCTTCAGGCTAATATCTCCAGGTTAAAGCTGGAGGGGCTGGCTTTGATGGCTGACATGGTTTATGTCACCCAATCAGCCGGCCGTATCCTGAGAGCTATCTTCGAGATCTGTCTCAAGCGTGGTTGGGCCTCAGTTACGAAAACTGCCCTCGATCTTTGCAAGATGGCCGAAAAGAGGATGTGGCCAACTATGACCCCGTTCCGACAGTTTGCTCCGGCCCCTGCGAATCAACTCGGCCCCATTGTAACAAAGGCCGAGCGTGCTGCTGAGTTCACCTGGTCCAAGTACTTTACTATGGATCCCCCTCACCTAGGGGAGCTTTTCAACAGTGCAAGGGCGGGAAAGTTGGCCCATGGCCTACTAGAGAGGTTTCCGAGGTTAGATGTTCAAGCCCAAGTGCAGCCAGTGACTAGGAGCCTTCTCAAGGTTGAATTGACTATCACACCCGACTTCATCTGGGACGACGCATACCACGGCACAGCAGAGACATTCTGGATCTTGGTTGAAGATTGCGACGGTGAAGAAATACTGTTCCACGATCAATTCATTCTACGCAAGCAATACGCCGAAAGCGAAAGCAATGATCATCTAGTTGAGTTCACGGTGCCAATGACAGAACCAATGCCTCCCAATTACTTTATCACCGTTGTTTCCGATAGGTGGATGCACTCAGAGACTAAGCTGGCTGTATCGTTCCGGAAATTAATCCTTCCAGAGAAGTTCCCACCACACACCCCCTTATTGGACCTTGTGCCTTTACCCGTTGAGGCGTTGAAAAAACCGGAATTTGTCAATCTCTATCCCGAATGGCGACAGTTTAATAAGATACAAACTCAAGTGTTCAAATCCCTATTCGACACAGACGATAACGTGTTCATTGGGGCACCCACTGGAAGCGGGAAAACGGTTTGTGCGGAGTTCGCGCTTCTCCGGCATTGGTCTAAGGACGAAGAGTCCGGAAGGGCGGTATACATCGCTCCCTTCCAAGAACTAGTCGACCAGAGGTACGCAGATTGGAAGGCGAAGCTCAGTAAGATCGATGGTGGCAAGGAAATCGTCAAGTTAACTGGGGAAACGAGTACGGATTTGAAGCTCCTTGAAAGAGGTGACTTGGTCCTGGCCACACCAACACAATGGGACGTGCTTTCAAGGCAGTGGCAACGACGTAAGAACGTGCAAACGGTAGAGCTATTCATTGCCGACGAGCTTCACATGCTAGGGGGACAAAACGGTTTCATTTACGAGATTGTTGTCTCCAGAATGCACTACATTGCTGTACAGACAGAAAACCCAATGAGAATTGTTGCTCTAAGCGTCTCATTATCGAACGCTAGAGATCTGGGCGAATGGATTGGAGCCGACAAGCACACTATTTACAACTTTAGTCCCAGCTCACGTCCTACTCCATTGGAGATCCACATCCAGTCCTACGGCATTCCGCATTTCCCATCGATGATAATGGCAATGGCAAAGCCTGCCTACCTAGCCATATCCTCAGCGCCTCTAGACAAGCCAGTAATTGTCTTCGTCCCAAGTCGAAAGCAATGCCGATCCAGCGCCCTAGATATTCTAGCGTATTGTGTTGCCGACGATGATGAAGACAAATTCCGGAACACCAATTTGGAGGATATTTCCTCACATTTAAAACTTATCCAGGAGAAGCCGCTTGTAGAGAGCCTGTCGCATGGAATTGGGTATTACCATGAGGCGCTGAGCAAGAATGACAAGCGTATCGTTGAAAGCCTATTCGAGGGCGGCGCTTTCAAGGTCCTTCTAGCCTCCAGAGATGTTGCTTGGGAAATAAACACCACCGCTCATATGGTGATTGTTATGGGCACCCAATTCTTTGAGGGGAGGGAACATCGTTACATTGACTACCCTCTGAGTGAGGTTCTTCAGATGCTTGGGAAGACGTCAAGGCCAGGCGAGGACAAATTCGGTAAAGCTATTCTAATGACCACAGCCGTAAAGAAAGACTACTACCGAAAATTCTTGAATGAAGCTCTCCCTATTGAGAGCCATCTTCCGGCATATCTACATGATGCTTTCGTCACGGAAATAAGCACGAAGACCATCGGGTCGACCCAGGATGCTGTTGACTGGTCGACCTATACATACTTTTACCGCAGACTTCTCGCCAACCCGAGCTATTACAGCCTAACAGATACCTCCCACGAAGGGCTCAGTACTCATCTCTCCGAGATGGTAGAAAACACCCTCAAAGATTTGGCTGAGGCCAAGATCGTTGATATCGATGAAGAAGATGACACCGTCACTCCCCTCAACGCCGCCATGATCGCAGCATACTACAACATCTCCTTTATCACAATGCAGACATTCCTGCTCTCACTCACGGGCAAGACAAAACTCAAGGGCATCCTAGAAATTGTCACCTCAGCCACCGAATTCGAGTCTATCCAGATCCGCAGACACGAGGACCGGGTATTACGCCGCATCTACGACAACGTCCCAGTAAAGATGTCACAGCCAAACTACGAATCCCCGCACTTCAAAGCATTTGTACTTCTCCAAGCCCACTTCTCCAGAATGCAGCTCCCCGCCGACCTAGCAACCGACCAGGCTGTTGTATTGCGCAAGATCCTCAACCTCCTGAGCGCTTGCGTGGACGTTTTGTCCTCAGAAGGCCACCTGAACGCTATGAGCGCTATGGAAATGAGCCAGATGTGTGTCCAGGCGATGTGGGATCGCGACAGCGCACTCATGCAAATCCCCTTTTTCACACCAGAGCGTGTCAAGGCTGCCGGCGAACTCGGGTACGTTTCATTTCCCTCCCCCTTTCCCCAAATAATGATAATACCCAAACCAACACGTGTCACAGCATCAAAACAATCTTTGATTTCATGGACACCATGGGCGAAGACTCCACCCGCACCCACCTCCTCCAGCGAACCTCCATCACCGAATCCCAGCTCGGCAAAATTGCGCACTTCACCAACAAAAAATACCCCAATATCGACCTCGCCTACGAACTCGAAGACCCCGACTCAGTGGTTGCTGGTTCCCCCTCCTATATCAAGGTCAAAATCGAGCGCGAGCTCGACGAGGAAAACGAGAAATCAGAGGTGGACACGACAGTGCACGCCCCTTTCTACCCCCAAAACAAAATGGAGAATTGGTGGATTGTTGTTGGTGAGGAGAGCAGCAAGAATCTTTTAGCGATCAAGAGGGTTACGATCGGCAGGAAACTGGATGTTAGGTTGGACTATACCGTACCGGATCCTGGTAGGCATGAACTCAAGCTATTCTTGATGAGCGATAGTTATGTCGGAGTTGATCTTGAAGAGGATTTTGAGGTTGAGGCTGCGGAGGGAATGGACGAGGACGACGATGAAGAGGACGATGACGAGTAGATTTCAATTTTCCTCCGATAATAGGATTGATTGGAAGCGAAAAGGAGGGGGAGGGGTACTTGGGAGATTGTAATCTAGTTCTTTTCTTGTCTTTGCTTGGCTGAACGGGGGAACGGTGGGGGGGTTTATCAAATTAAATACCGCTGCTATTTTTTCCTTGTTCGTCGTGTTTTTAACGGTTGTTTATGAACAATGCACTGTATTGTAGCGATAGTCTAGATGTCAAAAAAAAAAACAGCCCGAATCATGTCACATCAATCTCCCATGCAAAACATAATTCTCATCACCATAGCCTATCATGATTTAATATACCATCACATAATATCACGGCTCTATCGACCCCTACAGTAACATAAAAATACATCACGCCGTTATATTCGTCATAACTACATCCTCCTCTCCCTCCTCCCCAACCTCTTGCAACTCGTTCCCTTTCCTCTGGTGTTCTTTCAAGTCCGCCAAACTCCACGTTGATACACCCTCCTGATCCTTCGGTGCGAATGGCTGCGCCATGGTCCTCAGAAACTTCTTTGCGATGGCAACCGCCATATCCGTTGACAAGTTGACGTCCGACTCTAACAGGGCTTGACTGATCCATTTAGGCAATTGACTTCGCTTCTTCCCGAACCGGCGGTCAGCAAGCACCATTATCCCGTAATCGTCCTTTCCACGGAGGACGCGACCGAGGCATTGGGCCGCGTGGCGCATGGCGTCGAATGAGAGGAAGTCATTTTCTCGGATGCGGTAGTTTTCACGGAGGAATTCAAGGCGGGCTTTTAGGATCCGGGATTGGGTGTATTGGAAGGGGACTCCTGTGTGCATGATCGTCAGTGGTGAGCGCGGGCGAGTTAGGATGAGTCAAGTGACTTGCCTATACAAAGCACGGTTCGACCGTAATGGTGGTCGAAATCTATTCCCTCCGAGACTTTTCCACGGGCGACACAGAGCATGACTGCGCCTCTTCCGTTACAACAAGCTGTTCGGTAGGTTTCCAGTGCTAGGCTAGTCTCCTGGCTGTCCGGTGTTTCTACCAGGATCAACTTGTATTTCCAGACTTCGTCCAGAATTCCCTATAAGCAACAGATCAGTCTAAGTTCGTGCTATACTAGGGCCGGGAAGGCCTACCATTCCTTGCCACATACTAATAATGCTCTCCATGTATAGATAACTAGGAAAGAACACAACCATCCCATCAGGCGTAATCTTAGAGAACTCGACTAAAAGACTCCCGTAATTTCGGACGACACTAGGGTCATTTCTAATCTCGAATCGTGTACTTACCGCCACTTGGTCACTACCCCTGGTTACTATCATTGGCAAGAAGCTCCTTCGTGCAAGTGTCATAGAATACGACTCTTGCACGACCGTGTTGAACTGTAACATCTTGGGATACATCTCTAGTGGAGAGATAGTTCCCGAAGTGATGACAACGGAAGAGAACCTCTCGAAAACTGGCTTGATGGCGATAGAAGCATCTAAACAGGTAAAGTGGAGAATAGGATTCGGCACAGTAGCTGTCTCGGACTCAAAAGGCTCAAGAATAAGCAAAAACCCTTTCTCGTATGTTGCAACCAAAGTAGCAAACATAGCCACCTCTTGCAGCGATTTGTAGTCCTCAATATTCGCTAACTCTAAGGTTCGGACAAGCGAGGTTAAGCGTTCGGCACAGAACCTAAAGTCCGGTCAGATCAATTTATCTTCTCCCGGGGGTTGTTACGGACCTCAACGGTTTCTTTTCAATAAAAGTCAAGTCCTTCAGGTGCTGAAGAAAGGAAGCGGGCGTTTCTGAGATGACATGTAACACTTTCATTCTTGTCTTTGCACAGTCAACCTTCATATGCCTGCCCGGGCGAAAGACGCAAATACCTTCAGATACTCAACAAACCGCTTCAAAAATGCCAGGAAATGTTCAGCTCTTCTGATATTCCCAGGTACTGCCTCCTTTAACAGATCCTTAGGTAATACTATAAAACTCAATCTCCAATCCTGCTAGAATCAGCCTAGCAACCTTACCTGGATTGGCCATGAAAGAATCTTCTTCGGTCCCCTCATTAACGTCCCGCAAGCCTTCAACAAGTTTCTTATACTCGTTTTGTAGCTTCTCCGCGTCTGTTGCCTTCATTTCGCTGATCTTCTTCTCAAGATTCTGTGCGCCTCTGGCTGCTCGACGGAGCGAGTCATCCGTCAAGTCAATGCTAAGAGATTCGATGCATACGTTGTCTAACAATCCCGGACAAACAATCAACCCAAGTACCCCGTGAAGGTCAAGACGAAAACCAACCAATATTATGGGCTTCGTCAAAGACAACTATGCAGTCTTTAGAAAGCTCCTTGGAGACCCTCTCAGCGATCTTGGGATCTAACAGATAATGATATGAGTAAATTATGACATTGCAAAATGGCATCTAAGGCGGTTTGTTAGCACAGAGCTCGGCCAATACTGCCTGACAAACCACCAACCATTCTTCGAGCGGTAAAGTAAGGACACTGCGTATGCTTCTCCCCGTACTTCAACATCCCATCAAGCGTATAAACCCCAGGCGGAATTAAGTTATGCGGTTCGAGCGCATCCAGATTCTACCAAAATCAGCACCCACCCAGGGTCAGCACCCTCGCCACCAACCGCAGGAGCAAGAAATACCCACATCGTGAAATACACAAGCTTCAACTTCCTCCCCCCTCGCCTTCTTCTCCTTAACGAACCCTGCCGTGAGACTCCTACACCTAGCATCAACCACATTTCCATTCCGCTCCCTTCTCACACTCGGATGCAAGCAAAGATTCTTGCGGCTCGTCAGCCCCAACCCCCGGAACTCCTCCACGTATCCAAGCTCCTTACTCCGGTACGCCATGAGCGCCTTCAACTCTGCTAGGGCCTTCTCGATCTCGGACATGGTACGGGAGCAGTAAATTAGCTTCCTAGGTTCGGGAAACGATTGCTGGTAGGCCACAATTAGGGAGAGGAGGGAGACAGTCTTGCCGGTTCCTGAAGGCATTTCGAGGACACAGTGGCCACCGGCGTCGAGGGTTCCTATAAAGATTATTAGCTCTTCCGCACACTGGGGAAGCTAGAGGAGGAGGGAGAAGCAAATACTCTTTAGATCTGTCATGTAGCTTTTATCAACAGCAATGTCAGTCCAGATACGGAATCCAGAGGGCTTGAGGATCCGAACAAACATACGCATATTGCTCTAGCCAACAGCCAACGTTAGCAATCGCTCCCTGACAAGCTCAACGAAGAAACCGCCACCCACCAGGATATATCCTTGGGTAAGGGAAAAGCACTTCCAGTTCACTAAATAACTTAATATTAACTCTCGCTCATTCTCTAAATTGGAGCCATAGAATGACATACTCAATCTTGAACCTCATAGCGAGCTGGAGTGGGGGCGGTACTGCGGAGGGGTTGGGTGGGGTGTTTTTTTTTTCTTCTCCGAATGTTTGAGCCTCGGGGCATGGTTTGGGCGCGGGACGTGTTGGAAGGTTTCGCGAACTTTGCCAAGACCATAGCAAATCATGACTCCGATCTGGGGAGGAGGCTCCGCTCTGTTTAGACCGCCGTAAGCTCACAACCAGTACCGCTTTACACGGAGCCCGGCTAGCCCGGGTAACTCTCCAAGTAGGAGTGAGCTCCCCGGATTTCGAGATATCATACCTAATAAATTCCCTCCCGACTCCTGGATCTCCAGAGGAAAACAAGACTACAATACCACTTTCTTAACCACTCCGGTTGTGCCAACCTCTGAATTCTTCAATTTAAATGTGCCATTCTCCCCCCTTGTTGATGCCACGCTCTCAAATATTCCGATGCCGTTGACCGAGGTCCAGGGGCGATAGTCCGGTCATTGCCAGGCACAGTTCCTTGGCAGTAGTGTACCGGTAGATTGAAGCTTTGTTATACTCGTTCGTCTGAATGCGGTTGGCACTATGATCAATGAGATATCGAGACATTCTCTACTCGCCACTACATGGGCAATTGTAGCTAGTTTATTAAATATTCTCAGTTAAGCAATTTCTAGGACACAGTCAGAAAAGAGTCCAAAATAGGTCTGGTTTTGGCTATAAAGGGTTAAGTGAAGGCATTTTACTGTGAATTTGAGACTGATTACAAAGAAAACGCTTGGTTCAACCTACTGGGAGCAGGCGCATAAAACCAGTTAATGTGGTATTACTGTGCCCAGGGTAGACTACTGCAGTGTAGCGCTGTGGGGCACTGCCGTGATGAGGTGCTGAGGGGAGAGTCCTTCCTTGTTCATGCTACAAGTATCAGTATGGTGTTGCCAGTGGGTGCCCTGCTCAGAACCGAGACCTATTGCCCACCACATGCAAGTTGTCTACGCAATTGGCTGTGATGTACAGTACCCGTATAGCGGTAGTATGACACCCGGCAGGCCCCGATCCAGTTCGTCGAGAGTACGTATGCTGAACACGAGGTGTGCAATTGGATACCAGTCTCCGTAGCCGAGGGAGGATACTATGATTTTGTGTGCCCCCCGCGAAAAAGATCTGTTGAACTCTAGTATATATACCACCCTACCGGTACTCGAGTACTCTCCTCTCCTCTTTTCCCTCCCCCCTACAAACACATCCACCGGACCTCATTATTCTATTTCCTTTGTGGTTCTCCTTTACATGACTACCGGGAGATTTATTTTCGAACCGGAGCGGGTGCCCGGATACGTGCCTTCCGCCCCCCCGCTCACCATCGGATGCCTCATTGGATTCCTTATCGGTCAATTGCAAACTCTGGGACCCCTGTGAGTAATGCTCGGGTGGTACGTAATCCTCCCCATTCAACTGACGATTACTGTGATAGTGGGACGGCATTTCTGCAATAGATCTGCACCTTACATGTCTGACAAAAGTTTCTTTCCTCCATGTTTGGTCCAGTCCACAGCCTGCTTACTCTGGTGATAGGAGGTTAGAGACCTTGGCGCCAGAGTTGCCGCAGGCTTGGCGAAGATTGATGGAAAGTTTACCTTTGTGGAGAGTAAACTGTCCGGCCTCCAGTAGTGTTCCCCACGAGCCGGGAGGCTTGGAGGCTCGGCTCAAGCTTTTGGCTCAAGCTTCGCGAGCCGACATATGCCCAGAGCCGAGCCGACTCGAGCTTGTCAAGTGTTTGGCTTGAGCCATACCCGAGCTAAGCCCAAGCTTATTCAAACGATTTATTTTTTCATTTCAAATCGGCACAGGAAAGAGAGAAAGAGACTAGTATCTCTAATATTACCTTGTATATGTCGTGGAAGTTCTATTAGGCAAGGGAAAAAGAAATTTAATAATTTTAAATTTTCCGATACCCCGGAAGCCGTTTACTCGTACACACATTTTACTTAGCCTAACTCGAAGCGGGGAGCCAAGTACGGATCCCACTTTACTCCTAAATTTGCCTGGACTCATGAGAGGCTGATGATCGGGTATGTTAGAGGGCAATGAGGACTCCTAAGTAGAGCAAGTCAATTATATTTCCATAAACATATAGTCCTCGATTGATTTACACAAACTAGGGGGCTGGCTAAGCGGAAAACCGATATGTTCGTAGTAGAATTTGGAGTTTTTTTTATACCCACTTAATATTTGGAACATATCCTCTGCTTAGGTACGCTATACGGTTGCCCCTGTGGGTCGTTTTAACGAGTGATACCGCGTGACCACTAACAAAACCAGGCTCGAGCCTTAGTTCCCGAGCCTACTTGGGGAGGCTCGAGCCCTGCATTAAATCTCGAGCGGCTCGAGTCTATTTCCTATCAAGCCGAGCCAGCTCGAGCCAGTGGCGGGGCTCGACTCGAGCAGGCTCATGGGGAACACTAGCCTCCAGTGGCAAATTGGATTGATCGGAACCGGATTAGGTGGCTTTTTCACTGTAAGTTACCAGTAGTTTCAAATTCTCACTTTCTAACACAATAGCTTATAGCTTGGCGGCTACCTTGGGAGAGGGATTACCGATTCCTACATTATAGAGCGTGTTCGTGCTCTGACGGCCATGGTAAGATCCATTGAAGAGGTGTTTGATCGCATATTGCTGAGACATTATCATAGGAGGCGGCGGGAAGACCCAGAGGGGGTGTGGCTTCCGAAAGTGTGGTGGCTTCGGGAGGTCAGAAGGTATCTGGAGCTTGGAGAAAAACGAGGTGTTTCAAGGGCTGAGAAGAAAAAAGAAATTATTATTATTATTATTATTAAAACTAGGGTTTCTGGTGCTTTGAGGCGGGGTTTTTTGGGCGGGTTTTTTTTGGGTTCGGCGGGGGAGATTCCTCAACCCACCATCCATAATAATACCAACTGCTTCAATAATACATACTTTCAATAATTTATGAACAATTGTACAATTGCCAATGGCTGGTCTCCACTCCTAACTTGGTTGTCACCTCTAGAGTCCAAGCTACGGTATCAAGACCTTTGAGAGCACTGTGTCGACAATGTGGGAGAATTTCTCATGCAAACTAAAGCATTATGAAGCTGGCACGACTGGCGCAGCCAAGGAGAAGGGGATAAGAGAGTCCCGTTTTGCTATGGAGCTCCGGGAGGTGGAACTGCTCTGGTTGGTAGCATGCGAGGGGAGCAAGGGGGTGGCGGAATTACTATTGACAAGGGAAGTCATCACCCTCTACATCTTAGACAGATGGGGACGAATACCGCTTGTGACAACCGCTAAGGGGCACCTGGGGAAGCTGCTGCTGACACAAGACGATGTCAGCCCCAACTATACAGACAATGAGCTCGACCTAAGGCTGCGGTTATGGAGTTCCCAGCGGTGGAAGGGGCATGATAGTGTATGAGTGAGGGGTGTGGGAGTGGTTCGTTATTTCCTTTTGCTCCAGATCTTCAGGTGGCATAGCGGATTCTGCATTTGTGAGGCTTAGCGGAGTGGCAAGTGTAGGAGCGGGGGCCGCGTTGATTGTCCGCGAAGCTAGTAAACAGGGGTATTACCTAAATGTCATCAGAAATCACTCGCTCTATTTTTTGATATCATACTCGCTTACCCGTAAGATTTGGCGTGATCTGCAATTTACCCTGATGATGCGAGTATCGGGCATGCTCTAAAGTCGGCGCATCTGTGAAACAATAGCTATCGGCCGGGAGCCACAAGCACTTCTTCAGCCCCCCCCCCTAAACTCCCTAATGTATGTGATCTATCTCTATCCCCCGCGGTGCTTCCCCATACCGTAAAAAGCGGAAAGATTGAGCAGCCAGTCGCGCCTCCCCCAGTAAAGACTGCTTTGTTCCTCCCCCTGCTTATCCCAACCAGGGGCTGAAAGAGAATCCTCCCTCTCTATTTCCTGCCCTCGATCCAATGGAGAAAATTCTCGACATCCTATTCTCAATCTCAATTACTCCAGCTTTTGCAGTATACACTGGAGTCGGCCCCTGTCCTCCTCAATCAGATACAAAGGGTCTATGGGACGGGTCCCATACAAAGTGCAATTTCAATTCGATAGAGGTAGATAACCGGGGTATCATAACCCTCTCGTTCCCCTAAGACAAGCTACCCCAGGAGTTCGTTCAGTGGAACGACACTCTTCAATTGAGGAGATTTTGTTTTGTATTCATATGTTCTGGTGCAACTCTCCATACCCCGGACTCCGGAAAAACAAATATTCAGTTCGAAAAAGCACAACCAGCTTGCGGGGCTTGGATTGCCTCCTTTTAGAACCCCACAGGACTCACGCGGTAGTTTCCAAACCCCAGACACTCACATAATAACACTTCAAAAGGCCTCAGAAGTTACCGGTTTGCTCTTGCTCTCCAAGTCTTTTAGCCTCCATCAGCTTCATTGCTTTTCTTGAGGATATTGAAAATCCAACATTTGAACAGGTAGTTCTCATATCCCCTCAAATGGGATTAGAGACTAATGCTAAGGTCTAGAACGCCAATCATCGCAGGAGCGTAATACCAGCGAATCATGGGTTCAACCATGTCAACACTTCTAGCCCGACCATTATTTTCCTAGTGTTAACACCCCAAACACTAGGGACAGATGGCACCGACTTCCCAAACAATTTGTTCTCCGACCTAGCCCCACTACTAGCCCTCTTCGGAGAGCAAGTTACCAAACAATCCTTGTCCCAGTCGTTGACTTGGCTGGAGGATGTGATATTCACCATGGCACCATTGGGTATTATAATGGCAATAACAAGCGCAGTACGAGTCGGCAGGCCAAACTGGCTTAAGGGAGTTGTCGGAAGGGCTAGGGAGGGTGAGGCGGTCGCAGAGGTGGAGCTCATGTCCTCTACCTCACACGAGGTGTGTGAACTTTGGAATGGGGAGGCTATTGTTCGGGTCACGGGTTCTCCAAAGATTGCTTAGATTCTCTATTTCGAAGATGAGGCGGATACGGCGGATGGGAAGGGTGGGAAGGGTGGAACCTAAGTTATTCACACTCAAGACGACTATAGAAAACAAGATCTCAAGAAACGATAAAGAAAGGAGGAAGGATCATCCGCCCGGAGCAGAGGAGGCTGCACCCCTCGGGGTAGTGCGCAAAAAAGTTGTTCCACTTGGCACACTTATTCCACTTATATCCCTCTTGAAAAGCCCCTTCGCACGCCCAGTCCTGGCGAGCGCGGATGCCGAACTCGCCATTCCCGCAAGGGAACGCGAGTCCAGAAGAAGGAACCACAAGGAACCACCGACTCCCACCACTCCGCCGAGACATAATACTCCCACCAGCGCCCCAAACATATCCTTGAACTTCTGTAAAGCCAAGAATCTGGGAGAGCTATGGCTATTTGCTATTCTAGGCATTATTCTTCAGTTCAGTTCCTTGATCTTTATTGGAGTCTTCCGCTACCACCCCAAGATAAATCCGAAGGAGGACAAAAATTCGAAATACGCCTACCCCCTTATGGCATCCGGGACCCCGATTTTTAGTCATAGGGATGATGGCATGTTTGCACGTAGTGCAGGCCTCATCCGAAGAGAATACATGGGTGGCTGACAGTGACTTTAAGATTTTATGGTTGCAAAAGAGTCCACGGGTCAATGATCAGCTCTTCGATTCGTATGCACTATTTGGAGATGGGAGACGCAAGAAGCACATCACATCTCGCCGTAGGCCTTGCACATCGCCCTCGGGGAGTTCAAGCTGTACCAAGTATGAAGGTTATTTGACTTGCTCACTTGGTAATCTTGCCATTGTTGGATCTTTCATCAGTACCGCTGGTTTTGTCACCTAGTTTGTTGGAATCCGCTCTCTTCACTGGTCCGCCTCCATCTCGCAGTTGGCTGTAACGTTGATAATGACAGCCGCGAGAACCTGGATTCGCCGAAATATGTCTGAACGACCGCGAGCCATGAGGCTACCCGTTGGGGACGAGCTCGACTGGCTAGCAGTGAAGTTTAGGACATCCCCTTGGGGGCTATGGGGGGCGGGAGAACCCAACCCCGACCGCAATAGCCTGGAAGGTGATTGCAATGGCGATGTTATCTGGGAGATGGTTACCCTTCAAAGGTATCTCGGTTATGGGGCTACTCATAACGATCCCCACTCCATTTCCCTAATCTTTCATTTGTTCCGTCTTACGCATCATCCAGTGTGTGCGGCCTCGGAGGAGGGACGGGGGGGGGGGGGGGGCGAGTTGGGAGAGCGAGTGACGATCTGTGTCTTCAGGGCTTCCATTATCTAAACAGCAACATCACTCTCGCCACACCGTTACCGTACCCTACCGTACGCTAATCATTATTGCAGAGAACCGGGCTCTTCTTTTACGAGCCGCAAGTATGATAGTCCAAAATCCAAATTTACTCTTCTCATTTGTTTAATCCGTTTTTTTTGCCCAGCCAAATTAGGTTAACCTTGCTACTAGCTACAGGTATCATATAATACCCTTCTATCATACCGGATATATATCGGCAGCAAGTTGTGCCCCTACTGCGGCTTCTTTATTGATATGTTTTCACCTTGTGCTCACAGGTTGTCCCCTCGAACCCCTCATTGCCCGAAAGAGAAGTGCTGGAAGAAGGCTGGCGTTTAAATTGATGAAACTTCCCTAATGGCTTACTCGACCACTTCAATACCGCGAGAGTTAAAATACAGTACCGTTGCAGTTAGTAAATTGGGGTACTTGCAGGCTGGTATACTAGTATCTGTGATTCGAGTCTACCTCCGCTACACTGGTATGTTTAATTCAACACCATCACCATTATTCTCGCTCGCGTGTCTGTACCGTACAGTGCAGTAGTTGTGCCCTGAACGGCCCCTATTCCCCCCAATTGGCTTCACACCAGGTATCGGAAAATAGGGCTGCGGTTAGGCTCTCTACACACATCTTCCTCAGATTTATCCAAATATCATACGGGTATCGGAGGCTTGCTTACGTTATGTTATGTACTCGAGTACAGATTCAGCGCCTTCATCTTGCCTCGGAAGATTGCCAGTGATGTGACAGTGGTAGACAGCATTCCCACCACCGCCACAACACCCGCGACTTAACCCCCATACGATAGCTCATCATAGCTCATTCTGGGATCGCCTCCCCACAAGCGTCCACCTCTTAAATATCCTACGTTATCGTGCTAAATACGTTTAATATCTATACGAGTGATAAATTGTGCACGAACAGAAGCAAGGATTCGCCTGATTCAACATCCATTACCAGATCCCGTCCACATTGCCAGAGTCAGAACCTGCAGATATAAAGTACACAAGTTCCGGGAATAAAACAAGAAAAACAAAGCCAGGAAAAATAAATCCGGAAGCCCCCGATCATTCATATAATATGAAACACATCCTCCTCTCTAGCTATAGAAGCCAAGAGCGACACCCCCGTAAACCCCAATCGATTATGCCGCTCCATACGCACGATCCACCTCCTTCTTGTACTTCTCCAGGATACTCCGGCGGTTTAACTTGTGTGCGCTAGTGACCAAGTTCTAGATCACAATTTTCCATTGGTAAAATTCCCCAACACGACTCAGAAAGTAGAGCTTACATTTTGAGGTGTCCATTCTTCCTCAGTGAGGACTACCCCCTCGACCAACTCAATGCCGGCAAGGCCACCTTTTCTCCCTGCGGCAATGAGCTCTCTCAGGACAGCCGCCCTAACCTTGTCATCGTGAACAAGCCCTTCAAGCTCGCCCTCGACACCAGCCTCGGCAGCGAGCTTCTTGAGTGGGCCTTCAACAGGAACAATGAGCGCGACTGGCTTTGTCTTGTTTTTGTCTGCATAAACACAGATATTGGCTACCAGTGGGCAAGCGCGGTAGACAGATTCCAACTAAAGAACACCGAGTCAGCGTCGCTAGAAACACGTGTAGTCCCTGTAAGCAAGAAGACAACCTTTTCAAGAGCAATATATTCACCGTTAGAAGTCTTGACCAAGTTCTTCTTGCGGTCGATAATCTTAAGATGACCGTTTTTGTCCCATTCACCGATATCTCCGGTCTTAAACCATCCGTCTTCAAAAGCCTCTTTACTCTCCTCCTCATTGTTGAAATATGATGTGGCCACGGACTCGCCGCGGATCCAAATCTCACCTTGTTCGGGTTCGTTGATAGTAAAGTATCCTGCATCAGGGAAGTCGACAAGCTTGATCTCGACACTTGCGGGAACCGTCCCGAGGCTATTAACATTCCACTCGGCAGGATCCATCAGAGCACCCATACTATGATAATCAGCGATGATCAGAATCATGCTCCAAAAATGAGGACTTACGCCGATGTCTCGGTCAAACCGTAACCAATAATCATAGGGCAGAGCGCCATACTGATGAAATGCTGAGTCTCCTTAGCAATCGGGCCGCCTCCGCTCATGCATATCTTCAACCTCCCGCCAGTAGCAGCCTTGATCTTCTTGAAGACAACCGCATCTAACACTGCAGTTCCGGGGATCCCGGTCTGGAGCAAGAAGCTCTTCAGAGCTAGGGCTCCCCAAAAGAGCTTTTGGGTCAAGGTAGGCTGTTTAGACACCTGATCCATAATTCCCTTCTTAACGGTTTCCCATACAGCCGGCACACCAACGAGAACAGTGGGTCTGAGCTCCTGGAGGTCACCCTTGCAATTCTTCATGGATCTGTCGGTAATGGTCTTGGGGTTACCATAGCCCAAAGTTCCTCCCCAGAAAATGCAAGCGTTCTCAAAGACAAGCTCGAGAATGTGAGCGAGGGGCAAGAAAGCCAAGAGACAATCGCCGGGACCGATGTAAGGTTGAGTGATAACGGTAACACCAGTAACTACATCGATTGGTCAGCTATGCCCAGACCGTCATAATTCTAGGGGGCGCCATACTGGCTGCAACTACATTCTTCTGGAGAAGAGGGACGCCCTTGGGGGTTCCAGTGGATCCCGAGGTATACATGATACCACAAAGATCCTCGGGTCCAGATGGGTCCGGTTCAATAGGATTTTCTTGTCCAAGTTCAACAAGTTCATCGATGCTGACGACCCGTAAACTCTCATAGACCTCTTTCAGCTTGTCTATGTGCTCCTGCTTGACCTGTTGGTCGGTGTTGTAAATAACATATCTCACCCCGGTAGCCTCCTTAAGCGGGATGACGAGCTGGGGGAGGAGTTGGGAATCCAAGAAGATGGCCTTCGCTTCCGTCTGAACAAGTGAGTGTGTGAGACCAGATTGGCCAAGGGTATCGTAGGCAGTGACGATTGGTAGCGACTGAGAAGCACATCCTACATGCAAACAGTCATCATTAACGGCTGCCCATATTTAATTGCCAGAGCCGTGGAGCTTACCATGCGACATCCCAAGCCAGTTTGCACTGGCTCAGAGTTAATATTAGCAGTTGCCCCTCATGCCCTCAACATGCTTTGTCACCGGAGTCCCCGGATATTGAGACTTGCCTGGTAGCAGAAAATATCTGTACTTTCTCACCCTTTTCCAGTCCCAAAGCTTTCAGCCCAGCGCCGATCATGTTGACCCTCTCCAAGTACTCTTTGAAGCTCAGAAACTTGTAACCAGACATCTCGTAGTAGATCCAAGTTTTGGGAACCTCCTGGTCAACGCCATCGACAACCTTCTTCAACATTTTAATCTCTTCATGTTGTTTGATGAGTGTTCTAGAGCCCAGACACTGGGCGTCACCGAACTTTGCAGCTCCTCTCTTCACAATGTCATAGGTGGTCGTGATATCCGGCTCCAGCCGCGATCTGAGACCGTTAATTGAGCCCGGGTGGCGTCGGGGAATTCCTTCTCCATCTTTCTTCTCGGCGCCCGGCACCTGCAGGTTGAAGGGAGGACGTTTGCTCATGCACGGCCACACGACCTGTTTGACCTGGGGAGCCATGACGACAGTGTCTCCTTTATCGACCCAAACACCACAGGACGGTGCAAGGGAAACAAGATGGAATGGGGATGGAAAAGGGCTATATGTAAAGCTTGAATATCTAGGGCGGTAGTAAGGAAATACCCCGGGCGAGGAAACGAGGTAAAAGGAGAGTAGAGTGATGATAGCAGGAGGGGGGAGTGAGGAGAAGGAGGGAAGGAAGCACCGGCATTATTTAAAATAAGAAGTTTTCTAGGGTCCCACAGGATGATGAGGTGTTCTGAGGATGTTGGGGGTTAATCCGGTTGATGATGCAAAACACGAAGTGAGCAGTAAACACCATCACGTGCTGAATACGGGGGACTGCAGTAAATCGTTCCCCCCCCCCCCAATTGCCTGAAACCCATCAACTAACGGTCACCGTATTACCGGTAGCCTATAATTTTTCACTGTGCTCTCTCACGGTGAGAAAGAATGGAATTCCTTCCTATCTTTGGGTACAGATATGTCGGTATGAGCGAAAACCCCGCATCAGGTAAAGCTCATCCCGTTTTAATAGGGCACTTTTACTGTACTCGTACTCTTCCTCCCCATGCTCAAGCACCTCGGATGTAACAACAGTATGCATCGCGAAACCTCGTTGGCTGCTTCCGCTTTCATAGGCATTGAAGCGTTGAGGCATTGGCGATTGGTCGATCCAGTCCAGCTGTCCGTCATCCAAGCCAACTCGGACTGGAGTGTACCGTACGAGTACGGTGTAATTGAAACAACAATACGGTAGCTAGCATCACTAAATCCAAACCGTGTTGCACAGGTACAGTAGAGCTCTTTACAGACTCAAGGGTGTGCGAATATCTCAGCTACACCACAAAACCACGTACTGTACTGTACCGTACCTGCAGTGGTTCCAGATCAATACCTAACTTAAAGTATTGGTTCATCTTGCTCTGCCTGACAAAATCCTGTAAGTTACCGTACACGAGCAAACACAATACCGTGGGGTTAGTGCGTAACCTTGGCATGATTAGCTTTGGCAACGTGCGACGTGGAAGCGACCCACATCCGACATGTTTCGCATCCATTCTTTTACCGTACTGTAATCCTCTATAGTCTAACTGACGAACGAGGTGCCATCATCGAACTCGCAAACGCATAATCAACGCTGAGCAAGATTCATCTAGCATGATGCCTATCACCAACATTGTTAGATTTGCGAGACTCGTTATTACTAGAGGTGCTGGCCTCAACCTGAGTACAGCACAGTACTCGCATCCCAAGCCGATATTACCGGCCAAAATCAAAAGCCCGTCCCTGATTCTTACCTAGGCGCAAACAACCGAACCACACCGCGCCTGCAAAAATTAAGGCTCATCTCTCATAACCTTTCGGCACCACCAGCTGTCCTCTCTTCTGGATATCTTTGATTTCTGAGTAATAGCTACCAACTCAATTCTCCTATCGTTGGGGTTCCCAGGGGAGGAGGGGGGTAATTGTTTTTGCCACCAACAGCTATGCCCGGGGGACAGACTCATCTAAGCTCTAAACCAGGATCTGGTGTCAGTGAACAGGCTTTGCAGCCCTATAAGGCAGGCTTTGGAGGCATGCCCCGGAGACGCCTTACGATGCTCATGACTTTCCAGGTTATTACCAATATGAAAGTGGATGTAGCCCAATTAAGAACAATTGCGGCAGTTGCGGATTTCCAGCTCAAAAACATCAAATCCTTGTTCGATGAGGTGAAGAGAGACCTTAAGGATCTTGGTAACAAGGGTGATAGGAAGATGGACAAAACAGAAATAAAACAGACTCCACAAGTGGGAAAGTTATGCAGTAGGCCTAATATCGTAGTTTGCATACAATTTACATAGATCGAGGCTTCAAGATGATAGTGTTTACTATTTTCTATTTCACATCCTATTTACATAAACCGGGGCTACCGGGGGGGGGATGGGCTCCTCGTTGTTTTTTTGTGTGTACCCTGAAGGTGTGCATTGAACAGGCAATAAGGTCCAATACCGTATGATATACGAGCCAACTGGTCATCATAAATCCATCTATCGAGCCCGGCCAGCCTAACATCCGTCATATCAGCGATAAGCAAAATCGGGAGGACCCCGCTGCCGAGTAGAGTGTGCGTCCCCACCTGTGTGCCCCGGCACAATAAACACCCCGCCCACACTGCCCCTATGCAGAAACCAAGGGAAGCAGCCTCAGCCTCAGACCCAACTCTCACCCACTACTCGTATAATACTTGGCAGTTAACTTATAAGTTACTCGCCCCCCCCCCTTTCGGCAAAAAGCAGATATTCGCATGTGATCGAGTGATTGCCGGTGCTGCAAACACATCATCGCCCGGTCAGCGGCCCTCCTTTCAAACCCTGACGGCTGGAGAGTTCCCTTGGATTACGATATGATACACTGCATGCCGACGACTTGGTGCACCGTGGCAGCAGCAGTAGAAGGTGTGGGAGGGTGTTGGTTTGTGCACGTGGGTCATTGTTCGTCACTCGGATACGATCTCACGAGTCATACCTTACAACTGCTGTATTAATGGCGCCGAGGAGCATGAGGGCTATGCCCATACCGGTCCGTATCATACCGCGATGTGAACCAAGGAGGATGCGTATTGAAGGGTGTGCTCGCCCGCCTTGTTTCCCTCAACTCCAGTGGAGATGAGTGTGGGAGCGAGGGGTGGTGGCAGGGAGAGCAAAGGGTGATTCGCTCCTCCTTCTTTCCCTTTCTTTCCTCTCCTCTACCTCGGCCCGGGAGAGTGTTTTGCTCGAGCACCACCCGTATTGCCATGTGCTTTGGGGTTTTGTGGGGGTTGGTGATGCCGACCCCGAGGTTTCCCACCGGCCGCATGGTTGCACACGAGTTTGGTGAGCGCCTGTGCAGGCAAGCTTCGGTATTTTGAGGACGTGTTGGGTGCGCTTGTACGGGAGTTGGGTGTCACAGCTCGTCAGATGGAAGGGGACAGGATCGGTTCTTGTAAGTGTGATTTTACTTACCTGGCCCGGGTGTGTGGTGCTGTGAAATCGCATGACAGTGTATGTGTTGTACTGGTACAGTAGGGTGCCTAGCATCATTCTAATTACTTTGTGTATTGCGCATTTAAACAATTGCCCCACATGTCCCCCACAGCACCCCACCAGCCCACCAACGCCCGAGCTAATCAATAACTTCCCAATAAGCCAACCTCCCAATGCCACTTCCCACATCTCTAACAATACAAGCCCTCCCAACAGCCCCACCCATTTTTTTCCCCCTACCAAACACCTTTTGCCACGAAAGTGCTCCAACACCTGCCCCCCTCCCTTCTCTGAGGTTGAAATCCCCTGTTGTTACAAACCCAATCAAGTCTTCCTCGCCAGGTGTATCGGGAAGTTCGGTTGCCTTTCCAGGACGCTTGCCCCGTGATTTTTGGGACATTACCGCTTTCCACTTCGCCTTTAAAGCAGGGTTGTTGGTGGGGAGGGAATATATGCGCGCTCGGGGGGTAGGCGTGCCGCGTTGTGGAAGGACAAGTTTTATCGGGAAAACGCCCGCCGAGAGGATCCTGGGGTGAAGCGTAGTTAGAGGTTTCGGCAGTGATGAATTGGGGGCTGCGAGGATGTAGCGGATGACGTTGGATGGGATTGCCCATATATGTGATTGCTGGGATGTTGGCATCGGGGGGGATATGGCGGTTGCCATAGAAGTATCCTTGAAGAAAGTTGGGATACTGGAAGATATTACCGGTAAGTTTGGGGGAGGTTTATCGATATCCATTGAGTATTTTGGGTTTTCTATTGAAACCTCCGGCTCCGCGGTTGGCATAGATATTGTATCCCCGATAGACTCTGTCATGCTCATGAACGCTGTGGTTCCACTGGGGACTGTGTCTTCTGTAGACTTGGTAGCATCCGTGGGCAACTCCATCGAGTCATCACCCTGGGTAATTTCGATGTTCTTCCCCTCTAGCAAGTATGCCCAATCGCATACAAACCCATCCCCAACCTCTCCCTTCTTATTCCCAACTTTCACACTACCCCACTCTACCCTCTTCCCCTTTGGCCGCTTATCCCACCACTCTTTCCTTTCCACCCCCTTCCTAAGCTCTTCCACCACCCCAGCCTTTGTTCCGGGAAAATCATCCGGAAAGTGCCTTTTAGAGCTTTCGTAGCTGATCTGCCGCAATTCGTCCAAACCGCCAAACTTGACATTTGAACCAGAGTGTATAATACTGTACCATACTGGCTGTACCCACTTCCATGGCAATAGAACCGTCCAGGATCCAATAGCTCCTGAACCCCCTTTCTCGGCATATGAGCGGCGGGTGGCTAAAAGCACAATTGGAATCCTAGGATCGGTAGGGAGAGGCGAGGGATATTCTCCCGGAACGGCTTCCCCCTTTCGCTTGTTTATCTTTTTTTGTGACGATTGTGACTTGACAGCGGCTGCTCTGGCTTCCCTTGAGAATAATGACGACGGAGGTTGTGTTCTGTCGATTGGCCAGGTGGAAGCAACTTTGAAAACAGTCTCCTGAATTTCTTCAAACTTCCGTTTATCCTCCGATAGACGGGGAGGATCTCGAAGTCTTGGATCAATTACATTGAAAGATAGACAAGCACCTAACGGAAGGGAGGAGGGGTTCGTGAGTCCTCTCAGATTCCTCCATATTCCTGAGGGGGAATCCCCATCTGTTGCATCAACCGGATTGAGGGCTGCCAGGAGGGAATTCGTAGCATCAGGGCCGGTAATCTCAATGCTTCCAATCTCATATCGGAGATCTTCCACGGTGACCTTGAAAGGTTTGGTTGTTGGAAGAAGCACCTCCCATAACTCTAAGAAAGCGGAAGGATGAACCCGAATGAGCAGTTTCCTCATGCGTTCTTCCCGGTGATCTTCTGGGTCTTCCGGTACGCACCAAACAATATTAACCGGAGCGATCAAGCCCAATGGATATCCACCAGCTCTATAGATAAATGTATCGGAGGCTCTAGTCCCTGCAACGACCTTCTTGCTCATAGGATTTTCATCTTTAGGGCACAAGGCGTTCATAACTTCCTTGATATCCCGCTCCTTCCCTCGTAGCATGATGGTTGAATAGTAGCTCTCATCCCAAGCAATGCATCCCCTCATTCCGCTAGCTCTATGTGCGACTCTATAGCACTTATCCGTGGGTGTCTCCGCAACAGCGAACCTCCACCGGACAACCATCTTTGACCTTTTCGCATGCCAAACATGAGTCGGAAGCCACGTTTTATGCTTCTGTCTCTTCCGGAACTTAGTCTGTGCCCTCGGGGGTTGCCGTAAAACATTTTCCGTCCTCCTGCCACCGGAGATCTTCGCCAATATCTGAGCAGTGATATCCTTTTTCTTCGCCATAGTTTGTAGCTTCCGGGCCGTTTCTTTCCGGGACCTTAGCGACCCAGAAGGCTTTCTTCGACGAGCAGAAACCGTGGGAGTGTTGTCGCTTTGCATTTCCCTGGTGGCCCTGGGCCGCAGACGCTTGGGCACACGCTTAACATTGTGGCTCGCCGTTCGACGTCGCATGTCTCGAGGAACGATTTGGAATGCACGTTTGTTACTAGATTCCTTAGATGATTTCATGGCGCTCTGTAACGCTTCAATTTCAAACTCCCGGGATTTGATGAACGCGGGGACGTCTAGTTCACCTGTCTTTAATGCTTGTTCGGTGCTTTGGATAGCAATCGTTCGAGCATCCTGGAGTTTGGCTCGTTTGCGTTCGTGCCCAGAAATTGGCATAGTAGCTGCTCCTCTTTTCCGAGGATTTGGAGTTGAGGAAGACATTGCTCGGTATTACTGTTGCTTGTTGTGGTTTCTGCGGGGATTGGTTGAATAAAGCATGAAACTGGCGGGAGGTCGTGGGCGATGGAAGGAGAGGTACCGGTACTCGAGTATGAACCGAGGCCGAAATGATTTCATCGTCTCCGGATGCCAAGCCCTGTGCCGAAAGATAATCCCGAGCCTCATTTCGAAATTTCCCTGAAAATTTGAACCAACCAGACCCCCGCTTACCACCAGCTCAGAGAGCCGCAATCAGTTAACCCATATAACGCCGAAGGCAAACATCGCTCTACGAGGAAATCGCAATCATGAGAGGCAAACGTTCAAAAGCCTATCGAAAGTTAATGTCACAATACAACATTTCTTTTGGTTTCCATGAACCATATCAAGTCCTAGGTAAGCACCTAAATATCTAGCAGTGATACGTTTACGACTTGTGCTAATCCCGGCAGTGGACGCTGAAATACTGAAGGATTCTGACAAATTTAAAATGGATCTCGTCGGCGGTCTCGAGCGAACGCTCCAGGGCCAAGTGAAGCCCAGTACGTATCCTACAAACCTTCCTCTACACCGAGGATCCCACTGACTAGTTGGAAAGTGATCACCCAATGCTCCATCCGCCACCTATACGCCCTCTCCGGGAGCGAGTTTCCTGGGAAAAATCAAATCATAGACCTCGCAAAGCGCTTTGAGCGCCGTCGCTGCAATCACCACGAATTGGAGCAGCCCCTCTCGGAAAAAGAGTGCTTGGAAGCGGTCATAATTCACGATGGCGAGAACAAGCATCGGTATTGTGTTGCTACCCAAGGAGGCGACATTAGAGCAATGTTGAGGGCTGTCCCGGGGGTCCCGTTGATCTACATCAATCGCTCGGTGATGATTATGGAACCGATGGCCCCCATTTCCGCTATGAAGAGGGAGCGAGGAGAGAGGGAGAAGTTCAGAAGTGGTATTATAGATATGAGGCCTAAGGTTGGTACTAAAAGAAAGAGGTTACCGGAGAAGGAGGGTGAGGGAGGCAGTGAGGTGGGAGCGAGGGTGGGGGATGGGGATGGCAGTGGGGAGCGGGAGGAGGCGAAGAAAAAGAAGAGAAAGGGCCCCAAAGGACCCAATCCTTTGAGTGTGAAGAAGAAGAAAACCACGCCGAAGCCTGCTACATTAAAGCCTGCTGGTGTACCAAAGCTGGAAGCCAGCGCACCAAAGTCTGGTGCCGGTAAGTCCGCTAGGAGTGGTGAGTCTGCGAACGGGGCGGACAACGAAGGAGGGAAGAAGCGAAGGAGAAAGCACAAGAGTGCGAAGGTAGATGGAGCACCGGCAGAGGCCAAGGATGGACCAGAGCCGCGGGCTTGATTGAGTCCACCCGATCGGGTTTTACAAAGGGCCCCGTACCTGTAATGTATAAACTTTTATAATTCATGTGAAGCCTTTCTGGTACTTGTATATATAACATATCCAAAGGTTTGTTTGTTTGTTTGCCATAGGATTCGCACCAATGGCAGTGTCTGAATGCTTGGGGGAGAAGCGGTGAGGGTATGCCGTGAATAATCTACCCAGAGCCATAGTACTCGTACATGTTATATCATAATATTCAGTGATGCCATACCTGCACTCTGACATCCAGCAAAAGAAAAAAGAAAAAACACTCTCACAGTCTTGGCGCATCTCGGGCGAAACAACGGCGGGAGTTTACAGCGCGTCATTCCATCGGCTGTTCGACTGGAATTCGTGCGCCCTGCGGAGGTAAGAGATACAAAATTTCCACGAGAAATTGCTGGTCTGATGCAAAGCGAATCGCAACATCTATCATAGCCACACAGAGCCAAGGAACTCTACACTCCCTTCAAACTAACCCATCCACGGTCTCCGTCTTTCCCATCCGGTGGAAGTTTCAACCCTTCTCGAGATTAGCATATAACCCCTTCCAGGCTCCACTCCCCTACACCCCCCCCCCTGTGGCCATGGAGCCCCAGCAACAGCAGCCGCAGGGCACCGTGCCCGTTCACCGCTCTCGCGCCGATCTGTCTATGACTTCCCTCACTTCTTCCACACCGACACCAATACAGCAGCAGCAGCCTGCCTCTACCACAACAAACACATCCCCTCCACCACCCCATTTACCCCCCCCGACACCAACCGCTCCTCATTATTCATACCAGCAGCCATTCTACCATCAATCCCCCCCACCTCCTCCACACCCCACTCTTCCGCCGGTCTACTCATCCTACCAATCTTCCCAGTCTCCGGCGCTTCCTCGGGTCTCTCCCGTCAGGGAATATCGCCCGTCATCTCACCACTCCCAATCACCTGTGGCAACGGACCAATTTCGTCAACCTCATTCTCCAACGCAACAGTTCCACCACCCCCAACAACACCATCGAGCCGGTTCGATGAGTTCACAATACCCGTCTCAGTCTCCCCAGCAGTCGAAAATGCAGCTCCCATATCAATTCCCCCAACCTAATCCATACCAAGCGCAGTCGCCCACTCAGCCACAGTACCCGGCGCAGTCGCCCACTCAACCTCAGGTTTGGAGAATCGTCTGGAACATTACGGGTAGTAAAAGTTAACATATTTAAAGGGCTATTATCCTACTCTTCCACGACCAAGCCAGTCCCCCGTACACCCAGTCGTTCAGTCACCGCATGCATCCACCCAACCCAGGGCCTCTCCCCCCGGCGCGCACCAGTCTCACGGACACTCTGCGCCAATGTCACAGGCCTCGCAGCAGCCCAGACATGATCAGCCCGCACCTATATCAACACCCGCTCCAACTACTAGCGGCGCTCAAAAGCAGCCGTCGCCCACTCCTCTCCCAGTAAACCAGATTCCCCCCGGAGGCGCGCCAGCAAGGCGATATCTGAACGATAACGTAACACCGGCGCTACTCGAGGGCATGAAAATGCTGGCAAGAGTGCAACCCAAGGACCCGTTGCTGGCGCTGGCGAAGTTCTTGGAGGAGCAACATAAGGAACAGGAAGAGAAGGCGAAGGTCAAGGTTGAAGGAGGTAATGGGAGCCTATAGTAGACTCACACTTCACGGGTCGAGTGAGATCTTATGAAGGAGTTTTCGGTAGTGATGAATCATATTTCTCCTTTACAATGTTATTCCACTTAGGGTTCTTTTTCTATGGGCGGGCGCTTGTATGATAAGTGAAAAAGAAAAAAAGGCTTTCACATGTGTACTTCTACTAGGATGGCTTATTCGCACTCATAAAGCAATCTGTCGGTGTTTGGACATTCAAATCTCTAAACTATTGGGAAAGAGTCAATTCGTAGCGTGACCTGATGCACTCAAGGAATCCTGTATTCTAACAAGATATCCAAATCCTCCAAGCCGGGAGCCCCTCACACCCATGGCATGCAATTATGCGAAACTAGAATTACCGGTATCCTATGCGACCAGCGTTAGTAGAGAATACGCACAAACAAGGTGGAGAGTGAGAAGGGTAAAGAAGCAAAGGATTGTCAGAAGTCCGTTACTATCATCGACTAGCCGAAACCAGGCTCGATAAAGAGGTACCAGAAAAATTGATATGTGTTGGATCATCATTCAGATTGCGCGGGGGGGGAGGAGGACGAGGGAGAAAATGTCATGAAGGGTTCGATTCTTACATGTGGGACCAGTAGCATAAGCCGCATATCGATTTTCCCCGTGTATTAGGTGAGATATTCATTGAAGTTTCTGATGTCAGAACATGATGGACGTCGATTGAGCAGGTTGGAGGAAGGGAAGACGCGTTATTTTCACTCCAGGAACATCAAGGGGTGCCGCCAACCTCAACCACAGCAAAGCCCCGGACAGGAAGCCCTACGAAAAAGCAAAGATTTAGTGACCCGCGAATCTCTTGGCATAGGGCACAGCCCTGATCCAACCTCGCACACTTACCACAACCGATTGGCAACAACGAAATTCAAACCTCAGAAACTTTCCCATCACCAAACAGCCGACCGACCAGCAGAAGAGGGGAAGAGCTACCCAACAACAAACCGTCAGACCGACAAGCAAAAATAAATACTACGAAAAAATGGGTCGTCTCCACTCCAACGGGAAGGGTATCTCCGCGAGCGCTATTCCCTACTCCCGCACTCGCCCAACCTGGCTCAAGACCACCTCCGAACAAGTGGAGGACCAGATCTGCAAATTGGCCAAGAAGGGTGCTACTCCTTCCCAGATTGGTGTTGTCCTCAGGGACTCTCACGGGATTGCACAGGTTAAGGTTGTTACTGGTATGTTTCAGAGTTCGAAGGATGGGGAGAATGAATGAAGGAACTGTACGATGGGATGCTGATGGTAGTATTTGACACAGGTAACAAGATCCTCCGCATCTTGAAGGCTCACGGTATGTTCCTTATATGAAATCGAATCCTCCACTCGCGCAAAATCGATCGATCGATCAATTCCGTAATCCCCCCACGGGTTGGTACGATTGACGGAAAAAGAGAAAGAAAATAAAAGGCAAAGCCTCTGCTTGGTTCATGAACTGACAGAGAGAAGGCCTTGCACCAGAGATTCCGGAAGATCTCTACATGCTTATCAAGAAGGTTTTTCTATCTCCCTACCACCCCCACCCCCTCCTCCCCCTCCTTGGTGATTCTAAAATAAGAATAAACATCAGGCCGTCTCCGTGAGAAAGCACCTTGAACGTAACCGTAAGGACAAGGACAGCAAGTTCCGCCTCATTCTCATCGAGTCTAGAATTCACCGCTTGTCCCGTTACTACAAGACTGTTGGTGTTTTACCCCCCACCTGGAAATAGTACGTTTTCACTTTCTTCTAGATTCCTCCTCCTCGCCCCGCCATGAGGAATTCGAGTACTAACGAGGGTTGCCTTTCTCCAGCGAATCTGCTACCGCCTCCACATTGGTGGCTTAATTTCGTGGTAATGTTGGAGTGGCGCGAATTAAATTAAAAAGGGTTTCACCATAATATATTTTCCACTGGAGTTTTTGATGGGGTTCCCCCAGGTCACGGAATTGTTTGCGAATTGACGTGGGCGATAAACTCTTGCCTGTGATGTGGTATGATTCAATTGCTCTCTTGTGCAACAAGGTGTATCGGTATATAGCCCACGGACAGTCTGCTAAGGGCGGCCTCCCTGCGACAGCTCTTAAAAGCGCTGGTGTCCCATACCAACACCAGGCAGCAGTCGCCCTAATATTATTACAAAGATGGCCTGAGCTCAGTTGAACGTGTTCAGTGTTTACCGAGTGACATCGTATGATCGCTCAACAAACAGCCAAATTACTGTAAGTCACTGCGCGGAAAATAACAGCGAATACTCTAGCCGCTTGCCATTTCAAAATGTAATGTCCACGCGGTAATAGACAGGGAAGGGGAAGAAGGGGAAGAAGAGAAATACTAGCAATAGGAACATAAGAGCCATTTTTGCGGAAATGAGAGACCATGCAGGAGGGATAAAAAGAGGGGGAGAGAGAGAAAGCAAATATAAATAAGTCTATCTCCTCTTCAAAGCATTCCTCTTCCGAACCCTATCCATTGTCTTCTCCAGCTCAGTCCTAACGGGACCTTTGGGAAAGTCCTTGGCATCATAGTAGCCCGGCGCAATGTCCAGCAGCCACTCTGGACGAATGTGGGTGACCGTACGGATGAAGCTCTTTGTTGTGAGGACGAATTCGTTATAGACGAGCCATTGCGATTCTTTTTCCAGGACTGTACTGGGGTGGATCAGGACGTCCTGTTATTCGCCGCGGGTTAGCGCTTGTGGCCAGGAGAAACTGCGGAAATGTGGAGGGGGGAATGGGGGAATGGGGGTGTACCTGATTGTCTTTAACGGTGGTGTACGCCTTCCCGTTCTTCATGGCAACTTGCATGAAGAAGCCAGAAACCAGGGCTTTGCGGATGTTCTCGTAATACGACTTCTCGGAAAAGTCGGTGCTGACAAGTTGGATTTCCAGTCTCTCCATTATGCGCTGTAGTTGAGTACGCACGTTATCTGCGTTCTGCAGGGCTCTGTAGCTGAGGAAGTGCTCACGGCACCAAGCTGGTTGGTTCTCCTCCCCCTTGAAGGCGTGATAGACGTTTAGCATTGTGAGGTGGTCGCCGTCCTCGTGCGCGAATAGCTTCTTCATCTCATCGGCACGTTGGCGGTTATTCAGGGGGCGGACGAAGAGTTGTGGGACTGATAGGAGGGCGGTCAGGGAGAGTATCTCATTCGAGCAGAAGAACTCTGGGGAGGTGATGAGCATTACAGCCAGAGCGGGGTCCAGGGGGAATTCCGCTGCGAGTTTGCCGAGGGTAGTGAGGTTTCCCTCATCGTCGAGGCAGGCGAGGTAGTTCAGCTCTTCCAAGGCTCTCATCATAGTTTCAGGTGCAGGAGGATCCATGAAGTCGAAGTGGACCAGGTCGTCGATACCAAGTTTCTTCAGCTCCAACACGGTATTTGCGAGATTGCTGCGCAGGATTTCGGGGTATGTTTGATCAATGAGCTCCTTCTTGAAAGCGGACTCGGTGTAAAGTCTGAAGCATTTACCGGGTCGAGTTCTACCAGCACGACCAGCGCGTTGCTGTGCGGAAGCCTTGGAGATGGGTGAGACAAGCAAGGACTCAACGCGGATACGTGGGTTATAGACCTTTTGCTTGCTGAATCCTGGGTCCACAACGTACACTATTCCGTCAATGGTCAATGAAGTTTCGGCGATATTTGTCGATACAACAACCTTGCGTCCGGGCGGTCCACCTGGCTTGAATGGGGGTGGGGCAGGTTCGAAAATCCTCTGCTGCTGTTGGGGGGGGAGAGTGCCGTAAAGAGCATAGGACTTCATAGGTCCAACGTCTGCCTCTCTGATAAGCATATCAACCTCCGCATTGATCTTCCGGCAAGCGTCATCGATCTCCTCTTCACCTGTGAGGAACAGAAGAATATCACCCTCCGGTTCAGTTGCGTGGATCTGGAGAACAGTGCGGATAGCAGCCTCCAGGTAGTCCCGCTCAGGTTCTGGAGTATAGTAAATTTCGACGGGGTGAGTGCGACCAGGAACTGCTAACAATGGAGCGTCATTGAAATAATGTTGAAACTTCTGAGCGTCAAGAGTAGCAGACATGATGATAATCTTTAAATCTGGGCGTCTTTCCGCCACATTCTTAAGTAGCCCCATAAGAATATCCGTTGCTAGAGTTCTCTCGTGTGCTTCGTCAAGGATAATGCAGGAGTAGCGCTCAAGAAGGTGGTCGTGCATGGCTTCCCGAAGCAGCATACCGTCTGTCATGTACTTGAGGATGGTGCTCGAGCTGGTTTTATCCTCAAAACGAATACTGTAACCAACTTCCTGGCCCAACTCAACATCCATCTCATCGGCGACACGTTTTGCCACAGACATGGCAGCTACTCGACGAGGTTGGGTACATGCTACCTGCTTATAGCCGTTTAGGTGAGGAAGATCGTCAAATAGAACATACTGGGGGATCTGGGTGGTCTTTCCCGAACCGGTCTCTCCGACTAGAACCATAATCTGGGATTTCTGAAACATTTTCAAAAATTCATCTCTGCAGTAGGAGCGGTTCGGTTAACAAAGGCAGCCTCCAAAGCGAGAAAACAAACAAAAAAACGAACAAGGGTCAACTTACCTCTGTGCGGGAATAGGTAGCCCTCTTCTTCCCTTCAAAATATTAAAGTAGCGATCGCTGAATTGGTTCCCACTGAACGGATTGAAAGGGCCATCCTCCGCAATGTTCGCCATCTTAGCTGTCGTGTTGTGTCGCTTGAATCCAGCCAGGGGCCCCCAATCGTCCTTGCTCTCTTCCGCGGGGTACCTATGTGCGAGATAGGGATTTTTAGATGGGTCTATCTCAGAGGCAGGTTCACTTTTGTGTCGCTTGGGTGAATTGGTCTGCGGTTCTTTTTCCTGGGGCTTCTTGCGCTTTCTATCTTCAGCCGTCGACATTGTCTGGCGAGGAGGCGAGAGGTAGATGTACCTTGTGCTGGTTTGTGGAGGGAGGAAAGGCCTGAGGAGAAGTGGAGGGGGATAAGAGGAATACGAGAGTAGGAGCTGTTATCTGGATGAGTTTGTAGGGCTGGAGGGGGCTCTTGTTGCAGTTGTGATTTCTTGTGAGGAGTTCTTCCTGGCTCCTAAGGCATCTCTTGGAGAAAAAAAGGCCGCGAAGTTGAAATTCTGTAATCACGTGATAAGCCGTTTCGAGTTCTTGGCGACAGGGGTTTGGAGTGGATGAGAGGGCAGTTCCGGAGCCGCTTTCCTTGCTCGTAACATCCACACTCGAGTTAGTCTATTGACAGCTACGATCCATCTCACAACACCGATACCATAGTCGCCGTCATCGCTGGAAGAAATAAACACGACACCCAATGGCTGAATCACCCCCGCAGTCTCCAGGCCCAACAGCAGAAGAAATGCGCGAGCCCACCCCCGATGCCCCCGCCGCGGAAACCAGTCCCGATTCCGCTGTACCAAACACCACCACCGAAGACACAACAGCAGTCCCAACGGCTCTAGCAAAGCCGAAGAAGAGCACAAAAAAGAAGCGCCGTCCAGCCCGCCCACAAGTTGACCCGTCAACCTTTAAAGGCGGCGAAATCCCCCCTCAGACGGGTACGGTGTTCAACATTTGGTATAACAAGTGGTCCGGTGGCGATCGCGAGGACAAATACATATCCAAGAGCCATGCCGAGGGCCGCTGCAACATCCCCCGCGACTCAGGATATACCAAGGCTGATAAAGTCCCCGGAAGCTACTTTTGTCTATTCTTCGCGAGGGGATTGTGTCCTAGGGGTGCCGATTGCGAATACCTTCATCGATTACCGAAGGTTACGGATCTGTTCAATCCAAACGTAGACTGCTTTGGCCGGGACAAGCATTCGGACTACAGGGATGACATGGGTGGTGTGGGAAGCTTCATGAGACAGAACCATACACTTTATGTTGGTAGGATTCACGTCAGTGATGAGATAGAGGAGATTGTTGCAAGGCATTTCTCAGAATGGGGACAGATCGAGAGAAGTATAGCCCCTCATACTATTTATTACTCGCTTTTTTTTTCTTCCAACATTTTTATTTTATTTTATAGGCCATCGTTGCTGACTAAATTCCTAGTTCGAGTGCTCAACTCCCGCGGTGTCGGATTCGTCACATACTCCAACGAAGCAAACGCTCAATTTGCGAAGGAAGCAATGGCACACCAGTCGTTGGACCATAATGAGATCCTGAACGTTCGCTGGGCTACAACGGATCCCAACCCTATGGCGCAGGCGCGTGAGAAGCGACGCATAGAAGAACAGGCTGCTGCTGCCATTCGGCAGGCCCTCCCCGAGGAGTTCGTCGCCGAGTTGGAGGGGAAGAACAAGGATGCTTCAAAGAAGCGAAGAATTGAAGGTAGCTTTGGGCTGAGGGGATATGAAGTTCCGGAGGAAATCTGGTATGCTAGAGGGCCCAACGCTGTAAACCCAGCTGGGCGAGAGGTGGGGGGACAGACCGGCGGGTTGATGATGGAGCAGGCGGCCGGGGGCAGCAGTGTCGGCGATGAAGCAGCAAAGGAGCAAGTGGGCATATTTTCCAGACAGACTTTGGAGGCGTTACGGGGTTTAAATAGGGGATCGAGCGGGCCGCCAAAGGTGGCATTGAAGACGTCAAATTTTTCCACAGGATTGGCTCTACCTGCTGATTATGGCAGCGATAGCGATTGAAGTGTGTGGGAACTCCCACCCGGTACCCCTTTGCTGTATCATACAACACCTTGTTCTTCATTCTAATTTACTTTGGATTTCATGGGTTGGGTCTCTGGGCTGATGTATTCTATTAAATTCGTTCTTGATTCCAAAGAAAGGAGAACATCTCCCGATGGATACCGTAATCTACACTATAGACTAGTTGATGAAGCAACATTTCCAACGTTCGATATCATGGCATGCATGGTCGAGAGCGCCCATTTCAACGCCCCAACCGTCTTGGATGGCATAGTCTATCCTGTCTAAATCAGACCTTTAACTACAGCAGCCTCAGCATTGAGGATAGAAGAACCCGCAGCCCCAATGACAGTATTATGTGAAAGGGTCACAAATTTGATATCAAAAACATTATCCGGCCTTATCCTGCCCACGCTAACAGCATAGCCACCATCGGTGTTTCTATCGAGCCTTGGTTGAGGCCTGTCCTCCTCCTCCATAACCACAATAGCGTTCTTGGGAGCGCTAGGGCAGCCCAGTTGCTGGGGCTCGGAGACATAATCCCTTAAGGCAGCCTTAACCTGGTCAATGGATGGTGGGGGCCTCTTGGCGAACCGGAGGGAAACACAAGCCGTGTGACCGTCCATGACAGCCACCCGATTACACTGGGCTGACACCTTGATAGTGGAAAGCATGTCGAACCCGGAAGAGGTGGAATTAAGTGAACCAAGGATCTTGCCGGTCTCCCATTCAATCTTCTCCTCCTCACCCCCAATGAGGGGGACGATGTTGTCAAGTATGTCCATTGATGGAACACCAGGATAACCTCCACCAGAGATGGCCTGCAAAGTTGTGACAGTAACAAGCTGAATTCCGCCAAAAGCATCGTGCAAGGCCTTGAGCGGTACGACAAGACCGGTAGTGGAGCAATTGGCATTGGTAACTAAAAACCCCGCCTTCAGGCCATGTTGACTTCTCTGGTGTGGGATAATGGAGAGGTGAGATGTATTGACGAGAGGGACGATGAGGGGAGTGATAGGGTCCCTTCGATGGTTTTTGGAGTTGGAAAAGACAACGAGGTCATTTTTGATAAATTCCATTTCTGCGGAGCACGGTAAGCCAGTTACTTGGGGATATGAGGAGACATGCAGATATGGAATCGGATTCTCTGCTATAGTTGCAGGGGAAGTGAGAGGCGGGGTGCGGCGGGCTCAGGCCAAACATACCAATTTCTCCCGCAACTTCGGCATCGAGTCCAGAAAAGACAACGTCACAATCTTCGAATTCGGAAGCACTACAGTCCTTAACGATCATGTCTCGGACTCGGTCCGGCATAAGTTGGTCCTGCTTCCATCTTGTTGCTTCGGAGTACCTTTTACCAGCCGAACGACTCGAGGCCCCTACAGCATGGAGGACCAAGTAGGGGTGCTGGGAGAGTAATAGAATAAATCTTTGGCCGACCGAACCAGTGCATCCCAAAACACCTGGACGAAAGTATAAGATGAGCAAACATTTCAACGGGTAGCCAAACAACCCAAGGAGCAAAGTTGAGAATCAGCTCGTACCGGCTTTCTTCCTTGCAGGAATGGGCGAAGACATGTGGTTTGTTCTTTCTTCTTCAATTGGGGGAATAAGAAGGAGGCTAGAATGCTCGTCAGGCCGCTCGAAGGGACAGCTTGCGAATTGGGGGAATTGAGGGTATCAAACTGGGGATTTCCTGTGGTCAAATAACGCTATCTTCAAGTCTGTGTGTGTGCATGTGGGTAGGGAGGGGAAAGGCTTGCCGCGAGCAGAGAATTGTTTGTGGCCAGGCCCTAGTCCTGACACATGCGGGGTATGATACTAGAGCCGCCTACACGGTAACCTACTGGTATGATACCTGTGCTCGAGTACTTGTATAGTGTACGATAGCAATAATATTATTGCTGCACTGTACTGTACACACGGCAGTACGAGTGCATACCGTATCACCGTACCATAGGGCACCGTACCGGCGCGGTGCTCCATCGTGACTTGTGCTGGTATGGGTACTGTGCTCGAGCGCCGGTACCTATGGTACAGTAGGGTACGAACTTGGCGTGGAAAGGTGACTGGCAGTCTGGCACCCTCATGGGTTTCCATGCAGAAAATGCACAAGTTTAGCCAACTACCACAAGAGTGCGTGACAACAAATCTTCTTCTTTGTTCAGGGTCTGATGGAAGAGGATGACGGGGGATTTGGCGTAATATTGTGAGATTGTGAAATTTTCTAGTTCTGCTTAAAACTGTCAGTGGAGGGAGTGGAGGGAATGGAGGGAGCCAGTATGGTTGCAATGTGGGTATCCAATACAAATTGCTCGTCTCGGCACTATTTTTGGAATTATCACCCAGCACTGTACGGTACTCGAGTACTCTGGGGCTCATAATTTTTGGGGTGGTCCCTGCACAGTAAAATGGTCTTCAATCATGTCGATTCTTTTTTTTTTTTTTTTTTCAAATTGTGCTATTCAATAAATATCTAAGAGTTGTGGCAGCGGGTAGACGCCTGTTGAGAAGTAGGATTTCGTGTGGGAAACCCGATGGATGTCGGTTTCTTCTATCGCCAAGCCCGTACGGTATCGTACCGTACCGCAAGGGTCCCGGTGCTGTGCTGTGTGGTACCGGTGTTGTAGTAGGGAGATTCAAAGCTCTTGGTACATTGTGAACTAGTATAGAGCATACCCTTAAAATACCTTAAAATACAGGTGTACCGCTTTGAACATCACTGATAAACTGCTATCAGGACTGGTGTATGTGCTTGCTTGCTCTTGCATGGTAAGTTAAGTAAAGTGTGAGTTACCGGTAGTTTAGAAGGGGATGATGGATGGGGGTGACTGTACCTCTGTACCGGTATGCTGCATCCCTTCTCCCGAGGAGGTTTGCGGTGTACCGAAATACACCCGTACTGTACCGAAATACACCCGTACTGTACCGAAATACCTGTACCGTCCGTGTACCGAGAGCTTTGAATCTCCCAGGTGTGATACCGGTACGTTGAAACTCTGGATTACGGTACCCGTATCCTGCCGCCAAGGTTATGTGCTGTGCATTGAGTCTGCATGGCTTGGCAGATCACGTAGGATCTCAATAGCCTGCGGTAATTGTAGAAAACGCGTTCTCCCATTTTTGTTCCGCTCTAGAACTCCACCACCACTTCTACTATTCAACAACAACAACAACAACAACGACAGCCCCCTTCTCAATTCATTTTTCCCTCACTCCTTGAGGGAACAAAATTCGCTACCACCTCCCCCTCACCTCAGACCTATTCCTCCGGCCTGTCTCGTTCTCCTTAAGCTTCACCTTACTCCAACCCGCAGCGGATAGCCTCTTGAACTACAAGTGGAGCCCCCCCCCGCCCGACGTAAATTCGATTTTCTGTTTCCTCTACGGGATGGGCAAACCCGTCTTTCCCTACCCAATCGCCTAAAACAATTTCCCAGTCGCTGCTCGGGGAACCTCTATTTAGGCGCGTCTCTCCTCTTCCCCCTTACAATGACCGAATCCTCCATCGACACACACCTCCCGGACGTCTGGGTCGCTGTGCCTTTCGAGCTTAACGGCAAGCTTCCTGTTACTTCTCTCGACCAAGGGACCGAAACACACAAAAAACTTGGTAAGAAATTCTTGCCATCTCATTGAACTCCTTCTAACACTCATCCCTCCTCAAAGAAAATTTCATTCAGCTACCGATGGAGGAGACAAAGAAACAAACGACCCCCGGCCCCACTCGTCCGAATAAATGTGAAACTTCCATCAAAGAAGATGCCTACAGGAACCCCAAGGACCCTTGCTCGGTCGACCCTTTTGAGAAATATGACCCGGTGCATGACTGGTACCGTCCGGAAATTGAACTGGCTCTGAAAAATAGCGCGAAGAGAAGGATCGATGACCGCTTCAATGCCGACAACCTTGCGCCCACCATTCCCAATGATCCCGAAGTTGTGGCGGATAAAGAGGAGCTAGAGGAACTGCATTTCGCTTCGTTCTGCCGTGATCAGAGGAGACCTTATATGTCCAAGAGCGCTCGGAACTTTTTTAGACATATGGGCGATTGGAGTGGTTTTTATCGACAAGGTATTCACACACCTGAGCAGTGTATTTTACAGGTCTTATATTAACTGTCGGATAGATTGCAGAGTCCTGCATATTAGCTTTACCTCAAGTGAAGTTGATGTTGCCTTCAAGGCTCTATCTAAGGAGTTCTCTCGAGACCCTTTATCACACACTCTTGGGGACCTCTCAGCTGTTTCGGCGAATACCTGGTTTAGTATTCTGAGTGCTAAACTTAAGGGGCCAGGAGCCGAAACGTTTGTAAAGTTCTTGGAGACTGAGGTTGTTCCTAAAATAATTATTGAGGGAAGGACTGCAAAAGAGATACTGTTATTTTTTCAAGACTGTGTCTACCTAGAACCCGATGACAGCTACGTCAATCTCAGCACGAGATCCGTACGGGAAGCTGCCAGCCGTCTTTCTTCGTCACCACCATTGAGAAGGCTTAGGCAGGAGATGGGGCATGGCTTGAGGGCTGGGAGGAGCGGCCTTGATTCCTCTATTAGGAAGGCTAAAGCCGCTTGTATGGAGTATTTGAAACCACAAGCGTACTTAACTGGTGGAAGCTCAGATATTATAGACATCTGCTGGTCACCCAATGGAAGACGGTTTGCGCTGGGCTCCACCACGTTGAATGATATCTATAATCGACCTGGCAATCTCATGCTCGGATCTATAGAACAGATGGAAGTAAAGCTGCTCGACGGACATAAGACTCAGAGGCCTATTGAGCAGCGCAATCCTACTTTAGACAACCAAATGAGGTCAACTGTTACTGGTGTAGCTTTCTCAAATGATGGCTGCCTTCTCTATTCAAGCGGGTACGATGCGACTATTAAAATCTGGGATACGGAAGATGGCTTTCTCCTAGACTCGATCGACCTTAATGGACGGGTTGTCAAAATGTCCCTTTCTAAACCGCACAACGTTATCGCTGGCAGCACTCACAATGGGTGGCTGGAATTGTTCCGCACTGATAGGGATGGAGAAACACACATTGTCAAATTTCAGGAAAATGAGCAGCTTTATGCATCAACTTTGATTTGGGCGGATAGGATAAACCCAAATTGGCTTCTAGCTGCTTATGATACTACGACTGAAGATCGACCCGGTAAAGGATTGTGCGCTGTCTATGATGTCTCTACTAAGAAGAAGCTTAGTACAATCCGTCCTTCAACTGGCCGCCATTTTGACATGTTTCTCCATCAAGAGGCGGGTATTCTTGTTACTGGAGTTTCGGGTCTTGCCACATCTCTTATACGTATGTACGATGTGACCTTATCGTCGCAAGCTGGCCGCGGTCCTCAATTCAATTTAACCGGCCTAGTGGATTGTCCACAAAAGGACATTAATGTGGTTACTATGTCGTAAGTTCTTCCCTCCAGGAATTCTTCTATCTGTTCTAATCAATTGCTACACTTAGTCCGTGCGCGCGCTTTATCACTTCTAGCGGTACGGATAGGTCGACGATCGTGTGGGATTCGAGAAACCTGTCGGAGCCTCTCACTCAACTCTGGCATGGAGGTTCGTTCAATTCCAATCAACTCGGGAATATCTACTAACATCTATTTAGATACTTTGATGCCAGTAACACCTGACACTAATCTCGAAGCGGAAGACACGGGAACTACCTTTGCACAATGGTGTCCATACGACGGATACTTGTATACTGGAGGCAGTGACGGTGTAGTGAAAGTATGGGATGTTAGGCGCGCCAACTCCTTGGTCCGTAATCTCCCGGCCTTAGACGCTCAGGTAATGTCTGGTGAGTTTTCACCAGAGTTTGATCAACTCTTCATTGGGTCGGCTTCTGGAAAGGCTACTCTATTCTCCATTGCGGCCCGCGATGGTGAAGCGCTTACCGAATTTTCTGCCGACATGTCTGGTATTATCCCGGACATTGATCCCGATGACGGAAGTGTCTTGGAACACGATAATGACAATGACCAAAGCATGGATTGGAACAATTCAGAAGGTGATGATAATTATTACGGGTATCAAGACATGGATGGAGTTCAAGATATGGATGGAGTTCAAGACATGTATGGGGACATTCCCAATGATCACCAATTTGATAATAACTCGCATTTCGATGAAATGGGTGAACTTTCATATAGTTCGGAAACAAGGAGTAGTGGTTCCTTTCTTTAGACTCGTACGTGTATCTATATCCTTATGGCGTTTTCTGGAGATGGTACTGGTGTTCTTAGTTGAATTGTTTCTGGACAGAGTTTCTCCTGATTAATCATTCTTTCCTTTGCAAACTCTCTGGTAGGGGGCTTATATCATATCTTGTTGCTTGTACTCCCGCACTAGGAATTGCTCGCTGTTTATCCTTTCCATTGGCTCATAGTACAGCTAGCTATACCGAAAATGATACCAATTCTTAATACCAAAATACGAGTTTATAACCCCGTATTTACTAATTTTTTTAGCGTGTTGACATATGCGCTTGTGCATAGTACAGTATTGGCAAGGAAGAAACACAATCTGGAGTTATTATTACTTCAAATAAAGATATATGGATAGCATACTCGTGCACCCACACGTAGATATCCTAAGAGCCTTTTCTTAGTCTTTCATGGTTAGTATTAATGATTTTCTAGCACAACTGATATTAGTAACAATCAAGGGGAGCAAAGTATATCAATATTAGATAAGAATATTGTACCGTACATGAAAGTGGTCCCGGTAGCTTCCGTATCCTTCCAAAGCTACTAATCCAATCTTCTTGATTGATTTTATAGTTAGTATTATGAATAGAGTAATGGGTAGAAGCTTCAAACTAATATAAATAACTACAGCATTCTACTTTGCTATTCATAATTAGTATACTTTACTATTTATCCTACTTTTCTTTTTAGTATTCAAGTTCTCTTACTAGTACTGTTTTCTTCTTACAGCTGTTCTATTTGACTTTACTTTTTTCCTCTTTCAGGTTATCATTTCAAAGTTCTAATAGTAGAAACTACTAGCATGGTGTCCAGTTCAGTAGTACAATATTCTATGAGAACTGAATTTGGGATTTTCAGGAATCCTAAACACATTCAAGATATCTCCTTTCCAGCTCAACTAGTAAATTTCCAAGAGAAACTGCAGTTAACAAAGATTCTGTCTGGTTCAGTACAATTCAGAATGCCAAGATGCTATTGTAAACTTGAACCCTACTTAGGTTATAAAGTTATTTAAGAAGAGAGTATACTAGTAGTTTTAGAATTTAGAACAATCATGGTATTATGTGCATGGAGGGTTACATGCAAGCATCTTGAAAATTGTAAGTCACTGTAAAAGAGCTGGAATAGTTGAACCTCACACTAGGACGTTCAGAATTACCTCTCTCAGATAGGGGGTCGAGAGCGAAGTGAAAACCGACCCCCCCCCCCCCCCCCCCCTCGAGACCCGATTTAGGGCGAAGGGAAAGTAAAAACACCGCGCTATACCAGCAGAGGCAACTCCAATGTCCTAGCTCGAGGTTCACTTATTCGAGTTCTTACGGTATTATTACCTATCTGTTTATTGGGAACAAGAGGGTAAATCTATCTTATACCAGATACTGAAGAATAACAGCTAGAAAGTAAAGCTGTTACTTTGAAGTACCGGTAAGTAGAGACACAACTTTAACCCTTTTTATTTATTCTATGGTATGTGAAAACCGTGCAAGCAGGAAGACAGAAGTGAGCAGAGATACTATACCTTATACAGTACTTGATTGGAGGAGTCCAAATGGGATCGACTCAATAGTTGACAGCATTTCGTACTCTTGTAATCAGAAGTACTCGATTAGTGACTATAATGTATTTTTTTTTTTTCATTTCTTTTGAATTGATTATTGAAACCAATTATGTGCTCTATTACATTTTATTTTACAAGTGGTTATGCCCTTGTATTGGCATTGGAGGAGTTGAGTATCTGCCGACATCCCATATAGTGTTAGAAGTGCCTCCTCCGCCGACTTCCGATAAACCCTGGTTAGTGTTGATGATCCTCAAACCAGCACCTCTAAAGCTCATAAGAAGACTAGTTCGGTATAGCGGAATATTCCAATACTGTAGCGGAACCGGCCCGAGCCCTTCCACCATTCGCTCTCTTTTCGTCGATTCGGATACCGGTTTTGGTAAATTCGGACCGGTACTTCTGTACTTTCCCGTCAACTATAAGCTTCCTACGATGGTTCAATCACCACCGCTACTGCAGAGAATGCTTACCACTGCTGTTCCCGATATGGTAAGTAGCATTTAAAAACTTGTACAGTAAGTGTGTTTGGGATTCGGGTTACTGATAGCGCTGGATATGGATGGATTATTTACAGAGTTTTAATATAGTACCTGTAGCGCTACTCTAATGCTGATATAGGGTGGATACACTTAGGAAACTAGCACGCGTATTATATATCCATCGAAGCAGCAACGGAAACGGGCTCGGGTCCCTGTTATATACGGCAAGCTATCCCTTCGCTGAAACAGTTCTTGAACAATATTTCCGCCTCGCCTACAATACTCGTTAGTCTACTCCTCAATACATTTGAGTGTAACAAAGGAAACAAAGATCAAAGAGAGTGAAAGAACAACCCGTACCATCAACCCGCCTGTCTTCGCGCCCAAGGTTTCTGGTTCAGGGGGTAGCTAGATCTGGGGGGGGGGGGGTATCCTTCCTTTACTGGAAATGGATTGCCGGGGCTTCAACCCGAGATCATTTCCACCCATCACTTCTAGACTGAGGGTGACGGATGAATGGATAAAGAGAACAGCGGCTACCGCTGGCACACCATAAAAGGGAAACCGCATCCCCGTAATACGGTGGACAAAGGGCAGGAACGGGGAACTACGGTATGTCTATGCCAGTGGATGGAAGAAATTCCCCCACCGCTGATAGTAAACCTCCGAGTGATAATCTGTGAGTATTGCACGCGAACTCCAAAGTCAAGTATAAAGAGAGAAGTCTCATGCTCCCTTTTGCCTTTGTTCTGGTTACTCACACGTACGAAGGGAAACTCATAGGGAAATCCCCCGTTCAAGGGGTCGGATTTCGAGGGGGGCAACTTGTAGTCTAGAGACTAGTTTACGGGAATGAACTTGGACAAAGAAATTCCGGAGAGAAAGGAACTGCCGGGGGGGGCAGCTAAGCGGGTTAAGTAGGAGGAGAGCAAAAAAGCGGAAAGGGGGGGGGGATATATTAGTGCCTCTTTGAATAGTATTAGTTTTGATCTACAAGCTTCTTCCATGCTTTGTAGAAAAAAATAATAACGGGCGGGAGGTTGCCATTCCTGCTCCCTGGTATCGAACGAGCGCCTTATGTCGCCTCTGGACGCTCGCTCGCATGCATACACTATAGAGCGAGGTCTCTAGTGCACCAAGTCGTCTTTGATGAGGTGGCCGTCAGCACAGTCGTATCTACGTCCCCATACGGCTCACACCGCAACGGTAGCAAATACCTATCGAAAGGGCGAACCCGTGTCGGGGAAGGAAACATAAACGATGAACAGGATTCGCTCTCCCGCAGGGAAGGTAGGCAGTCGACCCATTCGCACACACGAGACAGGTGGCCGTTAGAAATGTAATCGTATGTCTTCGATTGAATGGGTCTGCAATGGCGAGAGCAGAAAGAAGTCTGGGGAGAAAAAAAAGGGAAATCAATGGAATTAACGTCCCTTTGAGAACAGCCGACTCTGTCAATCCTGTGGGAAACTAACTAAGCCAACTACATAGGATACAAATGAGAGTATGCTTTTAAAAAAAATCACACCTTCGTCCCCACGGCACTGATGTGTGTCTCCCATATATACCACTAACAAATAAAATATGCACCTCCTCTCCGACCCTTGAGCTCCCAATCGCATAAATTGCACCGGTAACAATTATTAATAGCCGGGTTGTGGTTCAATCTACCCACACACATGCTCTAGAGAAAGTGGGAAAATGTCGGCAAGATAGATTTTTCAACTCGTTTGAGAGTAAAAATGCTAACCTATAACACCTTTTCAGTCCCGACAATATCACATCTAGATAGAAGGACATGTTGAATGTGTTAACCGAGGTGCGGGGGTATTGGTATTAAAATTTAGTTAGGCTGGAGCATATTGAGTTGTAGACTAAAACGGGTACTGGTAGCCAATTGTGTAGCGTGTGGGGTGCTTAAATGAGAGTAATATCCGTCAACCACAAATCGGAAAAAAAAAGGAAAAAAAAACAGTTTGGGTGTAAAAACTTTTGCGTTATACTGTACCTAATTTTTTTCCATTCTGATAAGTTAGATGTCGTGGCGATCTTGGTATCATATGGGTGCATATTTGGGAAAGCGATAAGACCGCACGATATAACATATGCAATTGTTTTCCTCAAGTGTTCGCCTTGAGATGTGTTTCAAACCCATGTCTATATTCTAATAGTGTGACGGGCCATTCTTATATACTGTCAGTATTGGGAGTTATACTACGGTATCTTGGAGGATACGTTTGAGGGACCCCTCTAGGCGGGGCGCCAAGTTGACACTGGGCTGACGGAGGCCTGGCGAGGGGTATGATATCGTATTACATATGTATGATACAGCACAGCACTGGGGGGGCGCTAAGCAGACAAGGAGCCGCGGGCACTTGTGTACGGTAGTTCTTTTCGTTTTTTTCTTTATGATGGTGATCACGAATTCTCACTCGGGCCTTCTTAGCGGGGGAATAATGCTAGTGACAGATAGCTATAACATGATAGTAGGGACAAGGAGTTGATAATGGTTGTTCGCTACCACTTTTCCGGCAGTCAGATATGGAACCACTGAACGTCAGGAAGGAGGATCGGATCATGTTAGCACATTCCCCAATCCACATGCTTAGCCTCTTCCTTCTGGCTCGCCCTTAGCTTGTTGTGGAAGTTTATAGGCACGCCCGAATGGGTCATACTGGGAAGTTTAGCTTGGTGGGGTTGGTGTTAAGGCATGAGAATTACCGCATCGGTTAAAATATCTTAATCTTGATGACTTCCGCTGACATGAGAGCCGGGGAGTCGAAGATTGGAGCCCCCGGCTTTGTGTTATTGCCAACAGAGGTTTATCGGTTGTAGAGGAGCGTGATAAAGCAGCAAACGCCTGCGCACAAGTTAGCCGACATGGATTGGCTGTCCTGCGGCACCGCCTCAAGTGGTTTTCTAGAGAGGCGGTGTTTAGTAGTGGTGTCGGGATTGGAATTGGATGCTCTGGTATGGATCTTCAGAATCCTTTGGAATTGACCCGGGGGGAGGGGGTTCAAGTACCGTGTTATAACATCATTAGAAGACTGAGAGGTATGAAGGGGAACGTGAGAGAGTTGTGCAGTGCTATGCTGAAATTTCTATAGTACATGATATTATATTATTCCTCTCCACCTCCCTTATCGCACTTCCGTCCTCCGTCTTTTCTCGCCATCGTCATCTCTTCTTCGCCTTGGCGGGGAGTGTGGCCTCTTGCGATCTCTATCTATGTCTCTGTCTCCATTTCTGTCCCTGCCTCTCTCCCTGCCTGCACCCCTGTCCCTGTCGTGATCCCAATCGTATCGCTCCTCATCTCTGCCCCTATTATATCCACCATAATCCCGACGATCCCTATCATATGGAGATCTGGAACGGTCTCGGCGTAAACCTCCAGCACGCGGAACATGACGATCCCGGTATCCGCCTCTCTCGCCGTCACTCCCAGGGTAACCCCGCGGGCCTTCAGGGGGTCTTCTATCACCGAAATCTCGGTCTCGGTCATCTCTTCCTTTGGGCGCACGTTCACGGCGGTCACCATCGCCGCCTCGGTCTTTCCTGTCGTCTGGCTGAAATCTCTCATCGTCCTGCATCCCGCCCAGCTTCCCGGAAGCCCGCTTGTTGATACCGTTCTTGTCGAACCAAGGACTTCCTCCGTTTTGCATGCTCGTGTCCTCTGCCGTTAGGTGTGTCCACTTAGTCCTTCCACGTTTTCCAACCTCGTCGCCTCGAACTTGCATGTATTTTGGTAGCATATCCCGATTTTTGACTTCGTCCTCCACAGCAGTAGTCGCGTAGTCCTTTTTTAAGATCTCCGAATCGTCCTGATAGAATGCACCCTTGTGATAATATTTCTGCATAAACCCCATTTTACCCCTATTCTCCATTTTTTCTTCGCGTTGCTTCTTGACGTACTCCATGTCCTCCTTTTTTCGCAATTCGGGATCCATTGCCCTTCGGCGTTCGATCTCTTCCCGCTCCCTTTCAATCTTCTCCAGCTCTTCCCGTTCCCGCTTCACACGAACTAGCTCTCTGAGCTTCCAGGAGGCACGTTCGGCGACCGGATCAAGGTCGTCTGTGTCGTCTAGTCCCTCCCCGTCATCTTCATCGTCGTCCCAACCTTTTCTCCCGGCGGCTTTGGCTGCTGCGTCGCGACGAATGTGTTCTTCAAGAAGTGCTGCTGCCTCGGCTTTCTTCCGGGCTTCCTCCTCAGCTCTCTTCTTTGCCTCCACCTCCGGGTCTGGAACCGAAGAGGCAACAGCGCCACGCTTCCCTTTCGGAATAAACATAGGCCTTAAAAGAACTCTTTTCGGGGCTTCCTCTTCCTCTTCCTCTTCCTCGGATTCCTCCTCCTCAGATTCCTCCTCCTCCTCGTCGGCCGTTGAATATTCGCTGCTCTCTTCCTCAGCGCGTTTCTTCGCTTCTTCCGCTGCACGTTGTTCCTCCTCTTTACGACCTTCTTCGAATCGCTTGTTGAGGTCGACCTTCTTGAGAGCGGTAGAGACCTTCGCGGGAGCTTCCGAGGTGGCTTTTTTGCTGGGCAGTTGAGGCTCTTCTTCAGACTCTTCAACTTCAGAGCCTTCTGATTCCTCAGAGTCCGATTCTTCTGGCGCAATCGGTTTCCCTGGCCGGTAGCGCAGAGGTTTCATGGGGTTTGCGGTCATACGTTTTGGAGGCATGATGGACGATTGTGGTGGAATTGGTGAGGGAGAAGGTACAATCCGCTTTTCGGCGAGAGCTATAGCTGTAGTTGCAATCATCTGGTGACTTGTTACCCGACCGACATCCCGATGCACGCCAAGACAAACTTTATTTTCCCTGTCAGAATCTCTTTTTGATGAAATTCAGTGGGGAACTAAAATACAGGTATAGAAAATCATTTTTCACTCCACCACAATCCACAATGACTTCGACAGAGGATACACCAATGGGCGGAACAGACCCCCAATCTGTACACCAAGTTCAAGTTAAATTCACGACTAGGCATCCTGACATTGCTGTACCGGCAGCGCCAATTCTCGTACCTGCGAACTTGAAACGCTATGGACTGTCGCAGATTATCAACCATTTGCTCGATACATCTGCTGCCATTCCGTTCGAATTCTTGGTCAATGGCAGCTTCCTGAAAACATCCATCGAGAAATACCTTTCCGACAACGGCCTTTCATCGGAATCGGTTCTTACCCTCGAGTACGTCCGCGCTATCCTCCCGCCCAAGTTCCAAGCAGCCTTCCAACACGACGATTGGGTTTCTTCGGTTTCTGTCGGGCAGAAGAACAAGCGGATATTATCTGCCTCTTACGACGGGATTGTGAGAGTCTGGAACGAGAGTGCGCAGTGTCTGTACACTAGCGTCGGTCACACCGACGCTGTCAAGACGGTGAGATGGATGTCTGCTACGAAATTTGTTTCCGCCGGTATGGACCGGGGGCTCAGGGTTTGGGAGGTTGATGAAGAATCCATTGAGGAGAATTCTGAGATTTATGCTCTGGCAGAATTGGTGGGTCATAAGAGTACGGTGGAAAAAATCAGCGTGGATTCTAGCTCTGGCAGAGTGCTGTCTGCCGGAATGGATTCGCTCGTTGGGTTTTGGACGACAAGCATTTCCGAGGCCCCCAAAGCGCCGAAGGGAGCTCCGGCACCAAGATCGAAGAGGAGAAAGGAGTCCTCCACAGGCCCACCCCGCTATGGATCTTTACGGATGTTAGAAGGTCATACATCTCCGGTTTCGGGCACCGCCTTCGACCCTAAAGATTCGACAGTCGGATATTCCGTGTCCTGGGACCACACTATCCGCACTTGGGATCTTGCCACATACTCTCTGGTCGATACAAGGACGACGCAACATCCCTTATTATCCGTGTGCGTGCTGCCCACGCTCTCCTTACTTGCTTGTGGAAGTTCTGCTCGTCACATCACCCTCCACGACCCACGGGTCTCCGCATCAACGGTTACTACCAGCACTCTGCGTGGGCATACGAATGCTGTCGTTGCTCTGAGTCCAAACAAGAATAGCGAGTGGCAGATGGTTTCTGCCAGTCATGACGGAACACTGAGGATTTGGGATGTTCGGGCAACTGAGACTGGAAGCATATGGACAATAGCGAGGGAAGGGGAAGGACTTAGTGGGAAGGAAAAGGTCTTTGATGTTGAATGGAGTGGTTTGGGTATTGTTAGTGGTGGGGAAGATAAGAGGGTTCAAATTGATGATTCGCCTAAAGGCGAATAGGCAGTCGAGATTTGTGAATGCAGAGATTGTATAGCCTTAGATCCTCCATTTTATCTAAAGGATAGGTTGGTGGTTATAATAAATTAGCACCTTCTAATGACTCTCGACTTGTTCGTCTTCCCACGGTAGCAACAGTCTACAAGGCTGATGGTGGATGAAATGTAGTCAAACGAATAAAGCCTGAACCTACCACAGCCCATAACGGCACCGGTGCGAAAGAAGACCGCTACAGATTATGCACAAAAAAAAGCAGAAATTAGGGAACAACCATTCCCCTCACCGAATTATAATAATTTATACCATACCGCCGTGTCATCCCGCCACTCCGTATACCCCCCATCGGAGCGTTTCCTGCCTGTGATGTGAAGCCTTGAGAAGAGAATATCCTCGATCCCGACTTCGCGGAGGCTTCCCCTCCCACGCGTTCGAAATCCTCGATACGCCGGGAAATACATTGCTCTCACCAATTGGTATGGTAATCATGATTTACGCGAGCGGCGATACACATTCCCGTACGCTGAACGTCAAAATGTCGAGTTTCCGTATTGAAAAAACTTGGATGGCTCCGAGACCAATTGGACACATCAGTCAGTTAGGCAGCAGTTGGCTCTCTAAGGACTAGCAAGAGAGGTTGAGAGGGCAGGGGAGATGTTTGATGGTGGAAGTATCATATCACAGTCAGAAAGGCTCATCAGGAAGCCTGTTTTCTGGACTGCTATTACCGGTTATAGGGGTCCGGATATTCTATTGTGGAAGGGTCCGAAGGTGTAGTGGATGTATTAACAAGATCTCCTCTCTGTTACTGATGGTTCACGAGCACTGCGACTGACCCAAATGTTCCCTTTCCAAAGTATATGATACCCGAACGCAACACCGTCGTGTCCCCCCAGTCCATCCATCCATCAGCTAATTCCCAGAGCGAGTGACGGACGATGACACACAAATTCGGCTCACGGTGGCTAACTTAATAGCGCATTGTATCGTACCCTGAATATAGCTTTTGTTCGCTTTTCTCTCCCGTACTGGGGTTACCGAAATTAAGTTAACCTATCCAGTAGGCATGATTTCAGGTGACAGCTCGAATTAACCCAAGGGGGGGGTTTGTACAGTACGTAACGTTGTCTCTCTCCCATTGTGTGGAGTGTGATAAGAGGCACGGTGGTCTGGACTGTATCCCAAGTGTCAAGGAGCTGGAACCAAGATAGAACAGAGTGGAAAGAACATTAAAGTCTTCTATGAAAAAAAAAAAGTAAAAACTCTAGCTAGCCAACCGAATATGATAAGTTATGCGTGAATAGATCCTCGGATGGATATAACTTGGTATCAGTACCATAGCAATAGTGAACTCTATAACTTTTCGAAAACCGCCTGCATCCAGCACCTGTACATCTTCACCTGTGTCTTTCTATTAACCAGCATTCTCCGGTCCACGCCCATGTCGTTGATTCTGAAGCCGCCAAAGTCGCCTTTCGGAAATGTACTCCGCTCTCCGTCTTCCCCCTGCTGCTTATCGCCTTTATCTGGGTCCCCGACCTCCACCTTCATCTCTCCAGCAAATATCCACCTCAACTCATCCTCGTCGAAAAAGTACACCCTCGTCCCGTCCCCACGTACGTAAAAGTTTTCCTCGAGATAGCGTCCAGCTTTAAACCTAACCTGCGCCAAGTCCCCGCGTCCGTAATCCCTAAACAGGGCTTTCCCACCCTTCTTCAGCATCTTGCGAACGTTCGCGAGCGCATCAGCCCACTGCTCAGGACTCAACGCGGAAAACACAAACACCATAATAACCGCATCCACACTCCCCTCTTCCACCCCTTCGGGCAAAGTGTCCCTCTGCGAAAGGTCATACACGGAAGCACGAACCCTACCACTCTTCACCTCCTTCCTAAACTCCTCCTGCGCACACACCAACTCCACTGCCTTGCGACTAAAGTCGCACCCATGTATGCAGAGCTCCTCATTCCTGTTGAGCCTCAGCACCGGGAACAAGGTATTCCCAGCCCCGCATCCCAATTCCACGATGTTAGCTCTGCCAGCGCCCTGGCTCGTCAGCGTTTCCAGCAGCGGGAACTCCTGGTGCAGCCACCTCCGGTCCTTGAAAAAGTTCGTCGTGTTGTTCTTATAGAAGTCATCCCACCACTTTGCCGGGTCACTGTTGAAGCGCTCCTTGTTGAAGGGGTCCACCGGCCGTGATCGCTGGAAGGAGATTTGCGCGGCTGACGTTGCGCGGTAGGCTTCGTCGGTTTCGACATGGTCCCAGGCGTTGTGTTCAAAGACACTAGATGGGTCAGTGAGCAGGCGAGTGCCGAACCTGAAGGGCGTGGGGTCTTTGGGAGCCTTCGGGTCCTTTGGTGGGGTTGGGGTGCTAGGGGATTCTATGGCCAGTCTGGTGATATCCGGCAGCGCGGTGGAGAGGAGGAGTGGCATTGGGGTGTCTTCTGTCATGGCCTCCGGCGCTGGGGCACCCCTGACTGTGGTGGTATGGTATGCGTAGCGGTATCGAAGCGGGGTGGTGATGGTGGTGGTGGTGCCGGTGGTGGTGCCGGTGGTGGGGTAGTTCTGCGACAAACTTATCGGACGCCAAGACACTGAACCAGACAAATTTCGTTTCTCAAACCAGCTGCTGGAACGGGAGATCTGTATCGTCGATCCAGGAATTATCCGCGCAAGGAATGAAGGAGGGCGGATCATAAGGGTGCAAAGATTGCGGCTAAGAAATTTCTCCCATCACATCCAAAAATAGATATATAAAAAAAAACTGGGGAACGGGCACCGGTTGTAAAAGGCGAAACCCAGACACCAATGACAGGATCTACGGGTCGGTATGAAAATTACTGTACATATCTTGAAGTGTTAATCTCCTATACAGAACTCCCACATCACGCTTTCAGAGAAACTACAGTGTCTTCAGCAAAATGTTGTTATCCCCCCACCGATAGAACTCAGATCCGGGAGCCTAGACGCCGCTATATCGCCAACACAAAATATCACTCACTGCCAGTCCACCCCTGATTTGGCGTCAAAGTCTGATTCGGCAGGCCACTGGTGGAAAAGTGCAACCCACGATACTTGGCGATATATTGGAGTTGAGTCCGTAATTCCAATAAGATGCATAACATACGTAACCATATCATGCCAGCCCAGCTAGATTCCCTCCGGGGTATTATATAAAAACTTGCACACTTCAGAACGTCCTGACACCCCACCCCCAGAGGATTAATCCCAGAGGCCCCCCTCTCTATTTTGTACCAGTGCAATACAGCACGGCTAGTGAATATACTACAAGAAGCGTCACAAGCACGCCAAACAATCAAACGCACAGACAGCGCTCTATCCAAATCCATCTATCTGTATATGCGAATCTACCCCTCGTCCCGCCTAACCCCTCATACCATCAGCCAATCCTCACCTCGCATCCCTCTCCTCCTCTGGCATCTGCACCTCCGGCACCTCCCCCTCCCCCTTCCGCCCCAAAAGCTCCCCAGCCCTCTTCTCGAACGCCTCAATCATGACCGAGGCAACCTTCGGCGCAACCGCCGCACTAACAATCGCATAAACCGGATTCCTGAACCCAAACTCCAGAAACAGCGACACCTTACTCCCCGCCTCCCCGTCCTTCACAACCCACCGGGTAATCAGCTTCTCAAAAATCTCGTTCCGGTCTCCATTCGCCTCAACAGTGCCAGCCTCAGCCGAGCACGTAACGACACTGGTAAAGGTCTCATCGAACGACCCCCAAGCCACGCGTAGCTCCGCTTCCGTTGGTAGGTGCGTGCGCGGACAGGTTTGGGTCACGCGTGAGCCCAGGCAGTACGGGAGGAATTTGTGGTAGGCATTTATGTCGGCCACCAGGCTGAAGAGACTGCGTGGCGGGTATGGGAGGGATCTGCTGGTTGTGAAGCGCTGCGGTGATGCGGCGTTTGGGAGGGGGAAGAAGCGGCGGTGGTGTATCGAGGGTTTTTTGGTGATGGGGTGGTGAATTTTTGGGCGGGCGATTGCCAGGCGGGGTGGCATGCTTTGTTTTCGCTCGTTTCTGGGTGATCCGAAGGCGAGAGGGCGGATGGGATGGGATGGTGATGTCAGGGATCTCTCTTGTCCTCTGCTATCGTAAAGGGAATCGCGCCAAGACGGGTGGATCATTTTAAGCCGCAATGGTCCGGGGATCTTGTCCTGATACGGGTATGATACTGTACAATGCAGTACCGGTACTCGTGCTGGCAACAATTTCGCCGTATCGCCCATTGCGAACACCGATTCTTTAATACGTATAGTATCCCCTGAGAGTATGTAGAATCCTGGAGACCCAAAAATGAGTTTCCATCATCAAAATCTTGGCATGCACTGCATCACCAACAACCAATGCCGGCAACCTCATCACTACCCAATCATCACAAACCCTCACTCGTGCACACCATCCGAACCTACCCACAGCTCATGTAAAGTCTCCCTCCACAAAACGTGAGGATAGGGAGTGAAGGATTGCGAGCAATCAGAGTACGGGGGTAGACGGCCCATAACCGCTCTTCCCGACCACCAGCAAATAAAGCGTAAAAATTAGTTGGCACTCATAACTTCGGCACCGTAGCGTAATGGCTAACGCATTGCTTTCCGGTTCTTCAAAAGAAAATAACTGCCTGGCAAAGATTGTGGGTTCGAGTCCCGTCGGTGTCGAGTGATCTCTCTCTTTTTTTTTTTCGCATCCCCCGTTGGATTCAACTCTACCCAGCTACGGTATTGGGGCGTAGGATCATCATTCTGATATCATAAGTTGAGCTCTTTTTTCTTTTTTCTCCTCCTCCTTCTTGCTTTCTCCTCTTCCTCCTTTCAAGCTCCGACCCATGCAATTGGTCTCCGCGACAACCATTCGTTCAACCCAAAAGTGCGGCGCTCTTTAACAGCTCCCTTTTCTGGAACCCCGTTATCAAACCATTTCTCCGTTTCTATTTCCCTCTAATTATTACAGGATGCTTCGAGCAGCAACATCCTTACCCCTCCACCACCCACGCCCAAACCTCAACATCTGCTCAGGAGGAATAATCCCCCTCCTACTCCCGCAAATCCGCACAGCCCACTCATCCCGCAGCAATCGTTCCCCGAAACCCGCCGTACCCCGGCGGGCAGCGGAAACAATGACAATCCCACCCGCAGTCCTCCTCTCAGCCCACAAATCGGGTGCAAGCTCGATATCCCCTGGCGCAGCTCAGGCACTAATAAACGACTACGCGGGTAGAACCACGTCACCGCCGTCGGAAGCCCTGGGCGAGAAATTCTGCAGCGGTTTATCCCCATTTCCTCCGATCCCTAATTCGGGACGGGATAAAAAGTGGAAAAAACAAAGCTAATTTATCAACGGGAGGGAGGAAAAGACCACGAAGTAACGCCGGAGGATTTGGCAATCCTGACAAGTCTCCTCCTGCGCCTTAATGCCCCCGGTAGTCTCCCACTGCTGAGGCACTTACTGACTACTTGCGCGCACATGAATGTGCCCAGCGCGGTGGTGCGCTTGCACTCCCTCCTCACGGCGCAAGTCCGCCGCGGGGGCGCGTCGGCAATGACAGAGGCGGATTTGGCTGCGACGACCAAGCGCCTGGCTAGGATCGCGCCGGAGCATGCGGGCGGAGCTTTCAGGATGGGCGAGGCGATGGAGATGGCGGGAGAACTTGATCGGGCGGAGGTGTGGTTCGAGAAGGCGGGTCAGGGGGAGGTCATGGAGGGATGGGTCAGGCTGGGCACACTGAGAAGGAACAAAGGTGATTTACAAGGAGCTAGGGAGGCCCTTGAGAAGGCGGCGGAGATGGGGAGCGCTAGGGGGTGTTATTTCCTTGTGCAGGCGATGGAGGAGGGGGAGGGGGGTGTGGAAGGGGCGGAGGAGGGGGAGGAGATTAAAGGGGTTGGGGGGAAGAGGTTGGGGTTACTGACTAGAGCTGGGGCTGGTGGGGTCGTTGAGGCGGCCTATGAACTTGGGTCTTATTGGCGGGAGAGGGAGGCAAAGTTTGCTGAGGAGTGGTTTCTCGTTGCCGCCTCTCAGGGCCATGTGGAGAGTATTGTTGCTCTCGCTCAGCTATTAATGGATAAGGGGAATATATCGAGTGCCAAGATTTGGGCGCAGAAGGCGGCGAACATGGAAGGGGAAATAGGAGCGTATGGAACAGAGATTTTACAAGAGCTGAGCAGGATGGAAGAGGAGAGGCAGAAGGGGAGTTGTGAGGAGTAACAAATCTCACTTTGTCTATATGACTATTGCTCTTTTTTCCCCCTTCACATGAAGGCTTTCATTGAACCACGCATCTATTCATTAGGAAGTTCCACAATTATCATATAGAAAAACGCCATTCAACGTATAGTGAGGGTGCCAAGCATGTTTCTCTTCAGGGAACCAGAGACAAAGTAGGCAGGTAGTTGAAAAGCAAAAGTAAAACGCCTTTTATTCTAGGGTTCCGTTTGATTTAACTGGGGCAGAGGCGGGCACCGCCGCGGGCTGAATTTTCTGGAGTTTCTCAAGCACTTGGTCGAGGACACTGTGGTTATTAATTTATCAGCCCATACATATATTAATAGGGAAGAGGAAAATACCCAGCGCTAGCAGCCACAAAACCTAGATACGGCTTGCTAGGACTCAACACCCTAGACAGGTACTCTGGATGGAACTGAACGCCAACGTAGTAAGGGTGATCCTTCAACTCAACGATCTCCATTCTTTCACCCTTGTCATCCTTCCCAACAAAGTTCAACCCAGACAACCTCTCGATATACTCAGGATTGACTTCGTAACGATGTCTATGGCGTTCCAAAATGACCTCCTTCTCACCGTAGAGTTGGCGGAGCTTACTCCACTCACTGCCAGGCTGCCAAATTGTTGGGCGAATACCAAGACGCATGGTTCCACCAAGATGGGTTTTACTTCCCTCAGGCATGAAGATGACAACCGGATCAGTGGCATTAGCGGAAATTTCAACCGAGTGAGCATCTGTGATGATGTTAGTGATAGCTGATGTTATCCAATCAAATTACCCTAAACATGCCGTTAAGTCCAATGACGTGCCGAGCATACTCAATCACAGCCATCTGCATTCCGAGGCAAATACCAAGGTAGGGAGTCTTATTAGTACGAGCCCACTTTGCTGCTGCGATCATCCCCTCTGTTCCTCGAGTTCCAAATCCACCAGGAACCAAGATACCGCTAGTCTCGGGCCATTAGCATCTCTCCACCTAAATGGAGGGGTAAACAAAACATACCCAGCAGTGCAGACATCATGCCACGCCTTATGAAACTTGGCTGGATTCTCCTGCTTCATGTGGTCCTCCAAAGCCTCGGCCTCAACCCAAACCAAGTTCAATTTACGCCCACACCTCATAGAAGCATGCTCTAAACTCTTAACAACGCTCAAGTATGAATCGTGTAGATTAGTGTACTTTCCTACAAGCGCAATGTTGACTTTATCAAAAAGTCTGTCTTGCGCAAGGGTAAGAGACTTCCACTCATCCCAGATGTCGATACCCTTCTGAAAGAGCGCCGGCGCAATATTGAGCTTCTCCAACTCCAATACAGATGTGAGGGGGCGAATCAAATTTTGCTGTTCAAGAAGAAGTGGGACATGGTATGTGGAATTAACGTCGTGAACCGCAACTACCTGTTCATGGGCAACATCGCAGAATGCCGCAACCTTCTCAACGGTGGCTTTACTCAGCGGCTCCTGGCAGCGACATGCAATCTGCTCTATATTAGCCTCAGAACTGCGCCTGTGGTGTACATACGATAGACATACAAGATCAGGTGCGAGACCCGCAGATCTAACGTCTCTAATGGCCTGTTGGGTGGGCTTCGTCTTCTGCTCCCCATTAACGACCGGGACCAAAGAAACGTGAATCTGTAAAAAGCTTTCTTTCCCAACACGACGTCTAAGCTGTCTCATTGCCTCAATGAAGGGTGCAGACTCGATATCCCCCACAGTTCCTCCCAACTCAATTATACAAGCGTCCGGTTCCTCCGAAGTCTCGTCGACGGGAATGCGAGCTACACGTTCAATCCAATCCTGGATAGCATCCGTAAGGTGAGGAACGACCTGGACCGTCTTCCCAAGGTAATCGCCACGTCGCTATTTCCCCTCCGGGTTTAGAAAACTCTCCCTCACAACACCAGGAACAGATGAGAGGGGGACAAACCTCGCGCTCAATGACATGCTGATAAATCTTCCCAGTAGTGATATTATTCTCCCGAGTAAGCGTGATATTAAGGTACCTCTCGTAATTGCCAAGGTCTAGATCAACTTCACCACCATCGTTAAGGACAAACACCTCTCCATGCCTAACCGCTGCCGATCAGCAACAAGCAACTAGCTTCCCGACTTCCCAAATCTCGTGAGAGGAAGGAACGGGAAACATACTCGGTAGGAGCCATAGTTCCTGCATCGACATTCATGTACGGATCGATCTTGATGGCCGAGACGTGAAATCATAATTTAGCGAGGGGGGACATGAAAGCCCAGAAGGGGGAGACAAATCTTAAGGCCGATAGTCTTCAGTAGCAGACCAGTCGAAGAGGCTGAACACATGCATCAGCGCGAACTGCATCTCACACTGCAATCAAAAACAAAACAAGCCCACTTACCAATAACACCCTTCCCAATCCCACTGATCACACCTATGGTTCAATCCCCACAATTAGTCCCCTACTGCCGAGTCTGACCGAACCCGAAAATATGGGAGGGGGAGGTAGAATAAAATAAAATGCTAACCTCCAGAAACAAGAACGTACTTCATCTTTCCAAGCTCCCTGCAATTAAGCTTGACTTTCGTTTCAAGGTTGGTACGAATGTTCTCGTAAATAAAGGAAAGGAGAGACAAGGTCCAATTCGTCCTAAACGAGAGTGAGGTGGGAAAGGGGGGAGGGGAAGGGGGGAGAAGGAAGGAGGGAAAGAGAGTAAGATTGCACAGCAAGGCAGGAAGGTAAGAAGGGGTAAGAAGGTAGGGAGAAGCGAAAAGAAAAAAAGAAAAGAAAAGGGAAAAAAAAAAAGACTTGAGGCTGTTAAGTGATGGGGTGGGTGAGGGGGATACCGGTAGAGGGGCAAGTACTAGTACTATACGAGTGCCGCCGATAGATACATTCGTCATGTGAGTCTGATGAGAAGATTTCTGTGCACCTTTTGGCTGCGATGTGTCCTTAGATAAGGCACGTGACGAATATATTTATCGGCCACACTCGTAGTCTGAGGGAAAGAGAAAGTGTATAATAATATTATGATGCCTAAATTCCTTGGCAACGTCGAAAATTTTGGGCATGGATATCTTATCTGTAACTCACCGTATTTCCTCGTGGAATTTAACCCACACATTCATGAGATACCGGTAGCCCTCTTCTTCACCACCATCACCACCACCACCACCACCACAACACGCTTCCAAAACAATGTCCCCCCCAACAGCCCTCCTGTCACCTCTCCCAATGGCTGACGGTTCTGCACAATACACAGACGGCCCGACAACCCTCCTAGCTTCAATCAATGGCCCAATAGAAGTAAAGCCTAGAGATGAAATCCCATTAGAAGCTTACCTCGAAATAACAATCAGGCCCTCCGCTGGTGTCACCTGTTTGGCTACCCCCCCCTTCTTTCTTTCCAATCAATGCCGGCCTAACTGACAGCCATCCTAAAGCTGTTCGCGAAAAACATCTAGAGGCCCTCCTTCGCTCGGCTATATCCCCACTCATAATGCGTACCGTCTATCCACGCACGCTCCTGCAAATCACCTTGCAGATTATCCAGCATGAACAGGCGTCTGCGGCATGCACATTACATACTTTGTTAGCTTCGGCGATAGTAGTTGTGGTGCTTGCGCTCGTAGACGCGGGAGTCCCGATGAAGGGGATGCTGGCTGCGGCGTTTGTGGAGGAGGCCGATGGGAGTGCAGCGCACGTTTTTGGGTATACTGTTACGGGAGGAGGAAGAGATCCTAGTGAGGGGTTGGTATTTGTGGAGAGTGATGGGGCATTTGACGAGAAGGGATTCGTGGAGGCCTCGGAGATTGGGAGGAAGAGGTGTCTGGAGGTCGGAGAACTGATGAAGAACTGGGTTAGAGAGAAGGTTGGAAAGGATATGAGATATCGTTTAAAGTGATATCACAGATTTCCAGAGGGCATAGTCTAATACAGTTATAATATACAGTCATGACAAAACAAACCGAGCATAGTGTATACACCCAACCAACCAAAAACTCCGATCCCAAACAGCCAAACACGACCCATCTATCCCTAACATCTAATCTAAACCCTTCTTCCTTCCTTCAACCTCTTCTCCAGCTCCATAAAAGCCCTGATCCCAACCGGAATATCCTCAAACCCCTCCCAGAGCCCCCCCTCATTCCCGCTTCCCGCTTCCCCCTCCCCACCTCCCAATTTAGCAAGAGCAGCCCTAGCCCTCCTCTCAGCACTCTTCCACTCCTCCAAATCCTCGCGGAACACCTCCCAAGTGCAATTGACGCACCCGCTCATGCAGCAATCATCCGGTTCCACGGGCTTTGGCGGGATCCACACGCCAGCTACGACTCGCCCGCCCGAGCGCTTTGCCTCGCGCCGCTTGGTTGGGCCAGCGAGGGGGGTGACGAATGTTACGCGGGCTTCGGAGGATGTGGGTGGGTGTGAGCTTGCGGGTGTTATCGGGTTTTCGAGGAGGACTAGTGGCTGTCTGTTAGCTTTTGGAGCGGTGGGGGCGGGGATGAATGATGGGATGAATGATAGGAAGGAGTGGGGGAGTACGTTTGTAATAACCATGTAGTGGATGAGCCTGCTGTTTGCTCTGTACCCCCGCGCTGGTAGATATTCGTCTCGCCCTGAGTATTGGTATTTTTCTCTTCAGGGGATTCATGGTTGAAAAGGGGGGGTAGTGGGTAGTTTATCCGATCGAGGGATTGAGTGATTCCAAGGGGAAAAAGTCTATTCGGCGAGACAGCCGAGGCACTGACGTCAAGGATCGGATGGATGCAGGATGTGTTGAAAAAAGGGTCCTAACAATACGGGTACCGCAAACGCCAAGCCAAATTTTTTCCAGCCCTCCCGTGGCGAAGCCTATCATACAGTAGTCTAGATCTTCAATTTCTATGATAACACCTGTCGAGTTGAACACAAAAACCCTACGGCAGCCTAGACCACCCTGCCCGCTATGATACCGATTCACTACTGATGCCCTTCCCTAGATAAATATAACGCGCCGGCAAGAGCAAGAAACGATACCGCGCGCACCGCAATCAAGGAGTCTTAAAAGAAGAAAAGAATAAGAAATAATGAAAAACCGAAACTCCATAAATCATAGTTCACAGCAAATTCACCCATTTCCCCTTTAGCGCAGCCAATTACTTCCCAAGTTTGCTGGCCTTCCAGACCCGGACCAGTCTCGAAATCTCCTTCAGAGCAGCCATGACCAGCGGAGCTCCCACTGGGCCCATCAATGGCAGGTACACTGCCACCTTATGTTCTTCGGGAAAGTATACCTGGCCGACCATGCTTTTTTCAAAGAAGGCCTTCTCAGCCTGTTCTTCGGCATTCCTTCCTTCTTCCAGAGCGCCGCCGAAACGGCCGCGGCGGAGTTCCTGGCAAGCTGCGGTGAGAGAGGAGAGTGTCGATGAAACAGATGTGGACACGGATGACGGGATTGAGATGGATGGGAGGGCAAGAGTTAGGCGGTACAGCGATCCCAAGGTAGATGAAGCGGAAACCAACAGCTCGGCAGAGCGCTGACGGGTAAGGGAGTCCAGGCGGATAGGCAGCGAGGCAGGATGTGTAGGGGCTCCGAGAAGTGCAAGAAGCTGTGTCGCAAAAATATCCAAGGCCGGCTTGAGTGCTTCCTTAGTCAAATGTGTAACATCAGACTCGGCCGGCGGATTGTGAATCATAACACCACCCCATTGTGGTAACAAGAATGCGTTGGTTGAGCTTGTGGGGATGATGAGCGGCGATTGATCGGCCGCCGGAATATAAATGATAAAGTTTATAGTGGGATAACCCGTAATGCTAACCAATGGCCATTCGGCACTGTTTATAAAGCTGCTCAGGTCCTCCTTCTTCAAGGTATACCTCCCACCGGCGCCCTCCTCCTCCGAATGCGGCTCCCAAGTCGGAACAACACTAGAAGACAACGAGGCATAGAACTGTATCTGCGAGTCCACCGTAAACCCACTGATCCCACCCAGAGCATCGAGCAGCGGCTGCAGGTACTCGGAAACCGCCTCTTCAATCTCCCAGCTGCTTGGAGCTCCGGCAGCGGTGAACAGCGAAAAGGTCAAGTGGTACATGGACGAGTACTTGACAATCCGACTCATCTTCCTAGCGATCTCGGCGGTGTTAACTTTGCTGACAACTTTAACTCCATTCCCTCCGTTTCCGCCCCCGGGAGAAGGCGATGGCGAAGGCACAGGGGCAGACGAAGCCAGCAAATACGAAATCATCTGCTGTTCCTCCGCAAAGATCTCCTGGAGTGCACTAGCCACGAAAGCCGACAAACTGGTGGGATTGTAAGATGGCGAATAGAACAAGTCGATGATCCTGGACGAAGGACTCAAAACATAGGAATGCGGAGACCCCGCGGCACCCTGAGATAGTCGTAGAGTCGCCGCAACGCTCTCCCCCCCATCGTGAACATGGGACGAATTCGCAGAAAGCCGTAGCCGTAAATGGTGGGCAGAGAAATCGTTCGCGTCGTCAAGAGCATGCTGTACCGTCTTTAATAGATTCTCCGGATCAGGTAGTGTGGGTGCTTCAACATCGATAAGTAACGGAAACTCCGCCCGGCAAGCCTTCGAAGCCGTCAGCAGGAAACGAAAGAAAAAAGAAAGAAGAAAAAAACAGGAGGCCGAAGGTAACAAGCAAGAAACACCTACTCTCCCATCAGCCCAGCTCTGCATCTCGTTCAGCGGCAGCGGCGCACGGTATATCGCCGTCGTGACCCACCATAACGGCAATCCCACCGTTATGACCACAACCCAGAATGACAGGATCACCAGTGATCGGTTGCGTGTGTTTTCGGGGGTGTCGGGAGGAGGTGACTTCCTCTTCTGAGAAACGGAAACGGCGGATTCGGGGGGTGTTTTCGATTCCGCAGCTACCGCCAAAGCAGCGCTGGCAATTGTTGCTGCGACGTCGGGCCCCAACCTTTCAGACATTGTTGAGGGATAGGGGGGGTTGGCGGAGACGAGATGTTGACAAGGGACATCAGGTCAAGGTGTTGCCATCCGGAAGTGTATGAGATGTGGTCGCCGGCTTGGCGACAGGAGGTGCCCACCATCCGGCTTCAGCTCGAATTTGTGATAGTCTAGAGAGCCCGGTTTGCTGAGAACTTTAATTACACACATGACCTGAATGTCCCGTTGGATTAGACAATCGGAATGATGGAGAAGAGTTATCTGCTGCCTGAGCCTCCCGGAGGATCACATTATCTATCGTATACGGTAGGTAGGCCATGGCAGAGGACCATGAGTTGACACCCGACATTCGATAGCGCCATCACTAAAAATCACTCGAAATTCAAATGCAGTGCACATTGTACGTAAAAGTATCATACAATAAGCAAGAAATAGCCTTCATGACCTCTAGTATAGCCATGATTCGGATATCGGTACAGCAACTGAGGGCGCTGCCAGAAAAAAAGAAGAAAAAACCTGAACTACAATTGACCTTGACAAAGCACAACCATAGTATTATATAATGACCCTCCCGATCTACGAGAAGATAACATTCAATCGCAAGCTAAACGGCAGCCCAGGGTCGGTAATTGCAATCTCCTCCCCGTGATCCACAAGATCCTTCATCTTCTTCTCAAGATTTGGCCTTGTCTGCTCATTCAGTTGGGGCGGTCCCTGGTAATACAGCTTCCGCCGCTCAGTAACCAAGGTCGGTTTCTTGATTTGACTGTTTAGGATTCAGCATTAATTGAAGATGAGGTGAGCGTGGGGAGAAGAGGCTTACACTTCCGGCTTCTCCCCAAGTCTATCGATGAACTCTTCGAGTGTCCATTCGGGATCAACCGTGTAATCAGTCGCCAAGTTTCCACAAACTGGACAATCGGGCTTTTTCTCGTGCTCAAAGGTGTGGGTATAGATACCCTCATTGCCGATGTACATCATGTAGTTGTTGAGGTATGGATTAGCTCCGGTCGCGATCTTGAGAGCTTCGTTGCAGCAAGAACCAGCAATGATGGAGTTTGTCGAGGCGATAGCTGGGATGATGTTTTTAATTACACCCTGAGTTAGGGAATACGTGACGCCGGAAATATTAAACTCCTGGGCTCTTTTCAATGCCTGCTCGTAAACCCACTGGACATGCTCGGGATCATCATTGTCCAACTTCTTATCTGTCCCATCCGTCAGCCCTCTACTACCTACCCCTACTCTACTCTACTCTGCGGGGCTACTCTACGGGGAAGGGCGGGAAATACCTTCAAACACTCTTGGCCACTCCAGCATACTCGCCCACTCAACACAATGCGCCGGCTGCCGGGGAATTGTAGCAAGCGTGCAAATCGGCACAGCGGCCCGCGGCGCGAGCATATCCAAAGAGCACTCATAGCAGCTCGTGAGCGTAGGGAGAATAACCCTGGACTGTCCCTTGAAACCTTCCGTTCCGCCATCGATCAGCGGCTTCAAACTCTCCGGATTATTGTTATCCACCATATCGACCAGAGTAGCATTGATCCACCTCCTCGCTTCAACGCTATCGAGGCCGCAGATAACGAGCTTAAACTGCATATAGTAGTCCTGACCCTTATCCTGGATTGCGCCGTAGTATGGGGTTATAGTGACGCCCTTGACACGGTTCATCACGAACGAGGCGGCCACCGTGGCTTTCGGTTGCCCGACATCGGAGGCTCGGAAGAGAAATTGGCGGTTAAGGTTCGAGATGTCAATCGTGTCCATGTCTATCACATGGATATCCTTGAAGCCAGAGAGGGCGAGATTTTTTAGGATCTCACAGCCCAGGCCTCCCGCTCCACTGCTCCATTGTTAGCGTAACTGTTTGCCTGTTCTCCTGCGGGAGGAGGGTACAAACATGACCCTGATGGTGGCAACATTAGCTTCTTGAGTGTTTCACGGGTGCGAATCCGTAGAACTTACAAGACTTTAAAGTCATCCAGGAATGTCTTTTGCATTTCGGTGTCATAGTCCTCATCGGCGAAGGGACCCTTCCGGCTGAGGATCCGGTTAAGATACTTCCTGCAAACGTTAACCTTCATTTGGATCTCAAATAGGGGGGCAGGTTATTACCATCTTGGGGAGTCAGATATCGTCATCGCTGCGATGTCAGGTAGCTGCTCGGTGTGTGTGGAGCTGGATTGCAAAGGAACAGCTGGGGATGGGCCCGCGGTTGACGGTTCCCGATTTAAAGTCTCGTGGGGCAGCTTTGGGGCTGCGGGGGATTCGGCCGGGCGTTGCATGTTGCACAGACTGGGGTTGATTCAAACCTTAAGTTACGCGCAGCCAACCTATGAGGTGACAGGTACAAGCACCAGGCATGATGTTTTCGTACAAGGTCAGAAGAGCAGGGATGTTTAAGACATCAAGTTTACTAGCTAGAAAAACAGAAGAGCATTGAGCTAAGCAGAGCGAGCGAGAGAAATCCTATAATGATATGGGAAAGTACAAAGAGAAAACAGGAGAAAAAAAAAAGAGAAAGCGAGTATGAAGCAAAGCAGGGTGAGCGAAAGCAATCCAATAATGATACGGTGAAAAAATTGGAAAAAAAAAAGATACAAGAGATGAGGCACAAGCAGGTGTCTTAATAACATAATAGCCCATATGTATACCGCCAACCTTGAAAGCAAGTAGTTAGCAAATAGTGACATAAAGAACTCAGATATAGTTGAGAGTTTAACCTGACTCGTCCATGCAAAAAACCAAGCAAGTTGTGCATCTTAGTAGCCAGAATGACTCCCATTAGCTAGACGAACCTAGAGAGAAGATAGTTAGTAATAAATCACAGTGAGCCAGAGGAATGCCAATTGTATGTACCTCATACAGGCGGGTAGGAACTGAGTCTACTAAAGACTCAAGTTCATCTGAGGAAATAGAGTCCCACTCCTCAGTAATGGCAGTACGTAGCAACTCATTTGTAGTAGGGAAAGGGTTGCGCTTGCGGATGCGGTCTTTCATGGTCTGCCAAACATTTTCGATTGGGCTGCAGTCAGGAGAACAGGGGGGCCAATGGATGAAATACCCCCATATTCCAAGTTCACTGAGGTGGTTTTGTGTATAAGTGTTAAGAATCCTACCTGGGTGGGGTGCGACAGGTAACGGTTCTTAACTGGTAGCGAGGAGATAGTTCTCAGGCCTTTGCCTACGCGATATTGATAGCTAAGTCCTTATAACTTCAATCTTATTGCGCCTATTCCTCTAATCTTCTTAAGTCCTCGCCTAGGACTTAATTACTCGGCGTGGGAGGAGAAATAGTTTTCTCTCGTGGGAGGAAAGACAATTCTTGGGTTTCGTAAGATAATTCTTAAAGAGCGTAAAGGTAGGTTTTATTGACAACTTATATGTAGGAAATAAACAAGAAGAACGTGTGAAGAGCTAATACTAGGGGTCCTAGTGACCCTTTATATAGTAGCTCTTCACCTAGCGTGACTCATACTTATGCGTCACGCGAACCTTGTGACTCATAACTATGAGTCATGCGAAATCCCTCAGCTGACTCCTATGAGTCGCTGCGCAACATACCTAACCAATCAAAACATAATAAGCAAGTCAGGTGCGCAACTCGCGTCACCTGAGTGAAACCCATGACTCATAATCTGAGTCATGTGCGAAAATCATAACATCGTGTGACTCACAAGCGTGAGTCACGAACAGGTAAACATAATAACCTATGGCGCACTAATGTGCGTCATGTGAAATCCCCACATACCTATAGCTCGGAATTCCAAGCTATGTGAAATCTGCCTTGCTTAGTCACAGTTTGTGACATTAGCTCCCCTCTCCCTCAGCCCGAGTCCCATCGGGCTTTATTCGTGTCTCCATCCTCCTTGGTGGTTCCTCCAACTCTTCTCCCCATGGTAGTAGCTGCGATTGATCCTTCGGACCACTCTTGCAGTCCTGTCCGAGTGTCTCCGCGCCTCTTCTGCCTGGCTCTCCAACTCCCTTTCCAGGGCTTCCCTTGCTCCCCTCTCCTTCGCCAGCTCGTTCTCGAGTTGACGTACCCTCAACTTGGTTCCTCTCTTCATTGCCTCCAGCAATACTTGTGTTAGCCTGAGGTCTTTTTTCAATTCCGCTATCACCGCCTGTTGGTCCTCTGCCTGAGGCAACCTCGGCGTAGCTTCTTCCATCTCTTCCTCCCAGGAGACGTGCTTTGTCCTCCTAGGTTTTGCCCATTTCTGTTTTTTCGCCCCCCTCCTCTTCGACTCCGTCCTCGGAGTCGGTTTGATGTATTGTACCTGAGCTACCGGCTCTGGTGTCGGGGATCTCACGGGTGATCCCAGGGGTGAAGTCTTGGGTGGCCATCGGTTTGCTTCCCGAGGCCAATATCCCGAGCCTTCCTTCTCGCTTTTGTGCACTTGGCACTCGTCGTTGTAGCATCCTGTTCATGACAGGTTCGCGTGTTCCCTTTCCGGTGTGGGGGTTCTCGATAGGGGTAAATCCACCAGATTTACCCAGTCTTCGTCTGTGGGTTCTTCCTTGGTTGGTGTTGGGGTCCGATACCCTGGGCTCGTTGGTGTAATGTGTTTGAACGCGTCGCGTTCTGGGGTGTTTTGTAGAGCCGACGGTATCGCCATTTGTTGGTAATTCATCTTGGGATGTTCCCAATGGTATGAGTCTGTGCGGTACAACGTGGGTGTGACACTCTTGGATTCGGGTATGTCCTCGACTGTTGGCTGTTGGTTTGTGCGGGTATCGTTCGTGGAATTGTTGGACTGCATTTTGTGCGTGTTTGAAGTTTTCGGCTAGGTACCAGGTTTTGTCGTGTTCAGGAGAGTACCCGGTCCACTTCGCTCGGTATTGCAAGCGACCGTAGTATAGCCGAGCGTCGATGATTTCTTCGAGTTCGTATTCTGATTCACCGTCTATTTCAATAGGCGGTGGTGGGGGTTTTTCTTGAGATGGTAGAGGATCGTTTTGATAGGGTTCGAGGAGGTTGATGTGGAAGGTGTTGTGTGTCTTCATCGTGGGTGGAAGGTCGATCTTATAAGCGCGGCTTCCTATCTTCGCCAAGATCTTGAATAGTCCTATTTTCTTGTAATCCAGTTTTTTCGTTGGTCGCGTGGTTTTGATGTTCCGTGGTAGTAACCAAACCATGTCTCCTGATTTCAGGTTTGGATCGGGTTTTCTGTGACGATCGTATTCTTCCTTCTGACGTAGTTGCGCCGTGACCATTTCTGCTCGTAATATGTTATGTAGTTGACTCATATCTTTTTTGTCCGTTATCTTTCCTTGGAGCATATGACCTATGGTTTCGTGTTCTGGGTGCAGTCCGTAATTTGCGAAGAAGGGGGTTGTCTTGATCGTTTCTTGTTTTCCGTTGTTGTAGGCGAATTCGGCCATTGGTAGCCAATTGCACCAGTCATCTTGTTGGTAATTGACGTAGGCCCGTAGGTATTGTTCCAGTATGCTGTTGATTCATTCTGTTTGTCCGTCTGTCTGCGGGTGGAACGCCGTGCTCATGCGCCGTTCGATTCCAAGTTTTTTTGTTATCTCTTTCCATATTTCCGACGTGAATAGTGATCCTCTATCGCTGATGATGTCTTTTGGTAATCTGTGCAGTCGATATACCTCTTTTAGAAACATTTCCGCAAATTGTATTGCCCTCATATTCGTCCTGCAAGGTATGAAGTGACTCATTTTGGTCAGACGATCAACTACTACCAAAATGGCGTTTTGATTATTTGACTTTGGTAAATCCGTAATGAAGTCAAGTGATATTGATTTCCATGGTTTTCCTGGGGCTTCGTTTGATTTGAGTAATCCATAAGGTGCATGTCGGACCACTTTAGTCCGTTGACATGTGTCGCAGTTTTTGACGTATCGCTTAATGTCTTCTCTTATCTTGGGCCAATAGTATCGTCGGTTGATGAACTCGGTAGTTTTGGCTGTTCCTCCATGTCCTGCGTATGGGAGGTCGTGGTGGTGTCGTATGATCTCTGTGCGTAGTTCTTCTTTATTCGGTATCCAGATTTTCCCATCATACCACAAGTATTCATCCTTCCATTCGCATAGTCCCAGGGCTATGCCTCTGATTTCCTTCGTGCCGTTCTCTAGTTCCTTTCTTATCTTCTGACATTCTTCATCTTGCTGGCTTTCCTTCCTGATATCTTCTTCTAATGTCGTTCTTGTATTGATTTCGTTCAGCGACTCGTATCCACTGTCTTCTTCTTCCATTTGGAAATATTTTTCCTTTGGTAACAGTATTTGTTGTCTTTGTTTGATTCTTTCATCCTCTGGCGTAGTTGGTTTATCGTTCGACCTTCAGGTTAATGCATCTGGTTTTCCTCCTTCTTTTCCTGAACGGTATTCGATTTTGAAGTTGTAAGTGCTGAGTTTTTCCATCCATCTTATTTGTTGTCCATTTAGTTCCTTCGTAGTCATGAAGGGTACTAAGTTTTTGTGGTCTGTCAGGATTTTAATTGATGCCTTGTTGTTTTGAGCGTATCTTCTCCATTCCTTCAAGGCCTGAACTATTGTCAATAGTTCCTTATCGTGAACATCATAGTTGCATTCCGCTGGGGTCATTGTCTTGGATCGGAACGCTACTGGCCTCCATTTGCCATCTTCACATTTCTGAGATAATATGCCTGAGCATATATATTTGGAGGCGTCCGTTTCGATCATGGTTTCTCTTTCTGGATTGAAATGCACCAGAATTGGTCCTTGGGTGATCTTGGTCCTTAATTCGTCAAAGGCCTCTTTTTCCTTAGGTCCCCAATCCCATTTGACGTCTTTTTTGGTCAGGTTGTATAATGGTTTAGCCGTTCTG